ATTATCTATCACGAGAAGAACTCGATCTTATCAGTTTCATTGAACCAATATATTCCTATTTGACTTATCATGTGTTGTGGTCGGCTCCCGTCTCCGTTATTTGATTGCGAACCTCGATCGGAGTCATTAAAATCTTGTAATTCTATAGTAATTCTATTATGTAGAGTATGCCCTTTTAAGGTTAAATGATTTCCCAAAACAACTTGTTCCGCATCATCGATAATTGTTTTGTTTTATTGAGTGATATGCTGATGTGAACATGTTTTCCTCAAATGGTATTACGATCGTTCATCTGGAAACAATTCGAATCGAATTAGTATAATCTCGGTGGAACGTCTCGTGAATGCGCGGCGTCGACGAACAAAAAATGGAACTCAAATAAAAAAAATGCGGCGCGAAAGAGGCTATCCAGTTTCGCGGCATTGTCCTAAATTTAAATCTCTTCATCAGATTGAGCAACTTGATTAACTGGTTAGTTGGTTCGAGATTTCCAAGAATATTTTTCTACACTGATTGTATACAGTAGTACATCTATCTATTTATACTATTTATAATCCTCGGCCGATATCATAAACAGTGTATCTACCCGGGACAGGATTTCCCGGGATCCCGGGAATTTCGTTTCCCGGGTTTATCCGGGAAATCCCGGGACTCCAATCCCGGGTCTCGTCCCGGTTTCGTCCCGCAACTACCCGGGATCCCGGTATCTCGGGATCCCGGGATCCCGGGAAATTCATTTCCCGGGATGAGCGGGTTCCCGGGAAATCCGGGAAATTCCCGGGTTTCCCGGGAAATTCCCGGGAAACCCGGGACAATCCCGGACAATCCCGGAAAGTCTGCAAACACCGCGCGCGCAAACGCACACTCTTCGAATATTGCGTATTCTCGTTTCATTTTAATGAATTTTCTTATTTTAAAAAGATTCCAATGCTTAGAAAATGGCGTAGGAAGTCCCTATTTGGAATTTTTAAAATTTGGCAGAAAAATGAGTACAATTGAAATGTGCAAATAACGATTTTTCCAAATTAGCAAGAATTTTATACGAAATAATGGTTTTAAACTTTTTTCAATATACTTTTTTCAACGAAAAAACTTATTGAAGATCGATCAAGTAAACAATAAATTATAATAATAAATAATATCGCTGATTCGATCTGAAAAGACTGACTGAAAAGATTCGATTTGAATATGTCGCGAATCAGAATGACAAAGAAAATAAGAAAACTCATAAAATTTCGAAAAAAAACGACAATACGCAATATTCGAAGAGTGTGCGTTTGCGCGCGCGGTGTTTGCAGACTTTCCCGGGATTGTCCCGGGATTGTCCCGGGTGTCCCGGGAATTTCCCGGGAAACCCGGGAAATGAATTTCCCGGGATCCCGGGATCCCGCGTTTCCCGGGAAACGAATTTCCCGGGATCCCGGGATCCCGGGAAATTAAGTTTCAATGAGTCCCGGGTCCCGGGAAAATTTTCCCGGGAATTTCCCGGGAACCCGGAAATTCCCGGGAAACTTCGTCCCGGGTAGACACACTGATCATAAATAGGCAGTTTTTTATTTGCTATCTTTAAAAAAGATAACACTATTCGTATTTTTTTGCCATATTTACACTTGCTTACCTCATTTTTATGGCACAGTATCTTTTAGAATTCATTTTTTCATGCCGTGTTTGTAGGTGTATTTACAATTCTATAGTCAAATATTGAGGAAAACCGAGAAGATTTCTCTCAAATCTTATAAATAGTATTTGAAATTTCTGGAAGGTGGGAATTTCTCAATTAAATACAGTGCGCGTCATAATGATACGCTACCCCCCAAATTTCGCAGTTTTGAGAAAACCATATAAATTGGTGACAAGAAAGTTTCATTTTCGAATTCAGGGCCATTGAAAACCTATACACGCGTATTATCATGAGGGTCCGTTGGTCCGTATCTGCACAGCCCGAAAAAGTTGGATTTTCAAGCGCGTCATAATGATACGCCACCCCCTATTTTTTATCTTTTCTTTCGGCATTTTTGCATGTTTCTCGCTGATTTTTCTGTATTTTGTACAGTTTTTCAACAATCTTATTATTTTATCCATAGAGCGATCGTAATGTGTGACAAGCGCGTAAAAAACACGGTGAGGGTGAAAAAAAAATCAACGAAATTTTGTCGGCACACGTTGAGGACATACCGAAATAATGGAAAGGGAACACGCCGAAACGGAGGCAACTAGGCTAAACAGAGAGATCGTTGAAAGCCGGAGGTAGTAGCGAAGCGAATACGATGAGGACGAAAGTGGGAGGGGGAATAGAACGTGGTGACTAATCTAAACAATTCGTTTCTTTTTTTAAATATTTTTCCCGCTACTTTTTTGAATTCTGTAAAATAAATAAATATATATAATTGCCGGATTTTAAATAGTATTTCCGGTTTTATTGCGGCTTTGATTCAATGCCGCCGCCGCAAAAAATCTAATATTTTCTTTTTGTTTACTTTGAACCGCGACGAATACAGTGCGCGTCATAATGATACGCCACCCCCCAAATTTCGCAGTTTTGAGAAAACCATATAAATTGGTGACAAGAAAATTTCATTTTTGAATTCAGGACCATTGAAAACCTATATGTGTGTATTTTCATGAGGGTCCGTTGGTCCGTATCCATACAGGCCGAAAAAGTTGGATTTTCAAGCGCGTCATAATGATACGCCACCCCCTATTTTTAATCTTTTCTTTCGGCATTTTTGCATGTTTCTCGCTGATTTTTCTGTATTTTGTACAGTTTTTCAACAATCTTATTATTTTATCCATAGAGCGATCGTCCGCTTCAGTTTTGGCTTGAAATCGGGCCGAATTCGGACCTTTGAACAACTTCGTTTTGTTTAAGGACTAAAACGCAAGAAAAAAGTCCAAATAACTATAAGACAACAAGTTTGAATGCGAGAACACAACAAATTCAATAATTAGTAGTCTCTCCATAGTTTTGGATCACTTCACATGTTCGGTTTCGCATTCTGTCGGCGAGTTCCTTGAGGTATGCAAGTGACCCACTGTTCCATTCCAGTCAAATTGCGGCCTTCAGCTCATAAAAGGTTGGCAAGCTACTGCTTGTTTAGATTAGTCACCATGTTCTATTCCCCCTCCCACTTTCGTCCTCATCGTATTCGCTTCGCTACTACCTCCGGCTTTCAACGATCTCTCTGTTTAGCCTAGTTGCCTCCGTTTCGGCGTGTTCCCTTTCCATTATTTCGGTATGTCCTCAACGTGTGCCGACAAAATTTCGTTGATTTTTTTCACCCTCACCGTGTTTTTTACGCGCTTGTCACACATTATAGTGGAAGAGAAATTTTCGGCGGCAATTTGAAAATTTTCGTTCTTTTAGTTGTGTTTGATTTGATGTCTCTCGAGAATGAACTCAACTCCCGTTTTGACATATATGTTCGAAACATGTTTGACACTCCGCCTACTCTTCATCTTTCTTTTTCTTCATTTTCTTGTTTTCATTTTTATATAAGTGCCAACACAGAAAAATAAGAAAGAAAAGAAGAAAAAAATTACTTTGAACTTTTTTGCACTGAATTTTTCTCTATTTTTCTTTTTACTATTTCTCCATCTTTATATTTATGTTTATTTTTTATTTTCTTGTTTTTGAATCTTCACAACTTGTCCATCTTACAGCATTTTGTAGTAGATCAACAAGTATTCGTGTTACAACAACAAACACTTTTAATTTCCAACCAACATGTCGGACAAATCGAATCGTTTCCTGCTAAAGCCCTTTATTTTTTCTGAAAAGCACTTTTTTGACGTCACTGTTTTGTGCTGGAGTGACGTTAAGAAACTTCCGAATGCGAAATGCTTCAAAAATATCGAATCGCTAGCTGTAAATCCGCGTAACTGTGTTTATACTATTACACAGAATTAGTTTTTGCTGAATTCGTGCTCAAACGTTTTTAAAAATATGAAAATTTCTGGCAGACATGTGATTCAACTAAATATTTGTTTTGTTTAATAAACAATTGGCTCAATTTCTATGGTTCAGAAAGCGTTATCATGACTCTCTCAAACACAATCAGCTGACCGTTTAACCTATTGCTTTAATATTTATAGTCTGTTTCTAATAAAAAGCGGCTACATGAAACGGTGGCAACAAAATACAGCTCATTTTTTGTGGATTATTCAATTATATAATAAAAACAATAATTTCATGATCGAATTTGTTTCACAGTTTTTAAAATTCCTAAATCTTTAACCCTCTAAAACTACAAATAATTGAAATAATTTGGTGGCGTTTTTTATTTAAAAATTTTTTGGATATGGTAATTAAGACGCAAACACTTTTTCGAACTGAGTCTCGCAGCGATCGATTCTGTTAACCGCTTTTTAAAAACACAACATACGAACGTGGATCTATTAAAACAATTGGCAAATGAATAGAATATGAGAATATTCGGAAGCTGAAATGTCGCGACCATTAACCTCGAAAGCCAATCTTCATTTCTCTGCGTTTTCCGAATCTCTTCATGGCTATTTTATGGGTTCGCTTCTTCTCTTTCTCATTCATTTTTTTATCCTCAATTTCATTCTCTTTTCCGCGCACAGCCGCTTCCATTGTGTTTTTGATTGAAAATAGAATATTTGAATCGGCGAATATGAAAAATGGCCGAAGTTTAATGGACTAGATTTTTTTCACATTTGTTTGATGGAAATTTCGCGCGCGCGCAAATTTATCACTTATTTGGCATCCACGATTTTAAGCTGTTCGGATATAATTTTTAATATCTGTTTCCGAACCTTTTTTGTTTCTTCTATCAATTATATTCAGTTTCAATATTCAAGAGGTAAATTTTGACACTTTCTCCATTTGACCTATCTTTTTGGTTGGCATTGTTTGCCGCCAATAGGACACGGCTGTTAATTTGATTATTTGCCACTTTTCTCTTTCCTTTCAACTTGCCCAAATTCAAGTGTTTATTGCCTCCAGGCTGCCAGAAATAAGATCGGAGCGGGTGGCAGCAATGCTCACTTTATTAGAGCCACCGGGAGCGAAACGCTCACAAACCGTTGGCAATTACAACAATCGATCTGCTCAACATCTACTCAACTTGGGTAATTATTCATTACCGAATAAATATTAAAAGCAGCGGTTTATTAATTCAGCACCTGAGGATGATGATTTATACGAACAGTTCGATGAAGCAGATGACTATGCCGAAAATGTAAGACCAACTGGCCACTTTCTATCCAATGTAAATTTTGTTTCGATTCATAACCAGTTTTCTGTTCCTTTTCAGTTTCTGGACAAGTATTTGGTATGGAAATCGTCGTCAAGCGAGTACAATGAGCGTTGGAAACGCGAGTTCCGCACAAGACCGTCGTGGTGCGACGCAGACCTCTGCTTGCAACAAATCAAGCGCGTGAGTCGGTTTGACATATGACACGAGTATTTAAAAATTGGGAGATGCGAAACAGCTGCTTGCGCATTTAGCATTCAAAAAATGTGTTGTCTCGTATTCCCATGGCAACGAAACATATGTTCTTAAGAAAACAGCGGAAGGAAAAGAGCAATTTGTGTGACGAAAAATAATGGCTTATTTGCCTATCGCAGAGCATTGAAATTGAACGATATGAGCGCCTAGGGGTTTATTTCTAATTATCTCTTTTACAAAATTTGATTCTTCTGAGAAGTCTGTGAATTGTAATATTACGTTTTCTCATTGCTACCCATTAATTCTAGAGATAGTTTTTTTTCTGTGAGATTCGCTACCCATAGTGTCACCGTTGTTATTTATAATAGTAGTCGCCGTGGTTGCTTGAGGAAATGAGAAAGAACATAAAAAATTGATGGCCATTTGGCGTGGACTTGCGTTCTCAAATGAATTACACTAAATATATATATATATATATATATATATATATATATATATATATATATATATATATATATATATATATATATATATATATATATATATATATATATATATATATATAATTTGAGTGGACGACTCTTGACTCATATTTCATATAGTGACCGGATCCACAATGAGTGTTCCTGAATTTCAGGCGCAAACTTGCTTATGAGTGCTGCATTTTTTCTCATTTCCCACAATCGAGTATATATTGAAGCGTTTTTTATTTGCGCAGTTTTAAATTGCATGTGTATATTATGTATACGCCGTGTCAACGAATTACTATTGGGATTGGGACACGAATTGTATCCGTAATTTGAATTCGTAAATTTGTGGAGCCTGCAAGTGTTTTCGGAAGGGTTACTCATCTTTCTTCTAGATGCGCTGCCGTTGCTGTTGTGGCGGCGGTGGCCGCCCAATTCGTATAGCCGGCGCTCAGTCGCTCTTTTTGAATTAGTACTCAATTGAATACTAGTCCGATTAGATTGTCGTAAAAATGTGAGACTTTTGAAATGGCGTCCGCACGTCATCCCATTCAAATTTTACTGCCATTGGTGGTCTAATGCACACCGTTTTTGACATTAACTGAGAGATAGATGCGAGCGAGATAATTGACACCGTGTGCCGCGCAGCATTGGTTTGCTGTGAATGTTTGTGTGTTGTGAAATGCGGAAAGTTGTGCCCTCGACCTCATAATTCACGAGGCCAATTGGCCTCAAACGGTTTCCTTTTCGTCGCCGACCGCGTTGAACTTTTTTGTTCAGAAATTAATTTGGTTTAGTAATTGAAATTTGACACCTTTCTGCTTGTTTCGAAAAAGTTCAATGAACTTTTGCATTGAGCGTATTCAGTTTATATAAAAAAAATAACGCGAAAGAGAGAAAACTTTGTAAAGTGAAACTTGGAAACATTGAGATATCGAATGTCGTACACATACACTCGCAAGCATTTTTTGGCATGCAGTTGCTCGCAGTATGATGATTGAAATGATGAATGAAGAGGGTTTTGAAAATTGAAAAAGAAGAGCAAGAAAATACCGAGCCACGAACAATGGATTTCAGGGAAAAGCAACTGGAAATCAATGGGCTCTTTATTCGAGGAGTTTTGTCCAAAAACTGCTGTTTGCATTGGGAAATGCAGTTCATCGCAATGCGTTGTCCGTGATTCTGATGGTGTCGATGGTTTTTGCCCTTTGTTGCTATGGGCTTCAATTTGTGCATATCGAAACCGATATCGTCAAGTTATGGGTAGCACGTAAGTCATTTTCGATTTCCTTGATCGAATAAATGAAACATTTAATTTCAGAAGGAGGACGGCTTGATGAAGAACTAAACTTTTTACCGAAAATTAAAGAATCTTTACACCCGAATATGTCAGACGCTGGACCGGAAATTTCTAGAGAAAATGGACTTGGTGGTGGTTATCAGGTTCGATTATCGTTCTTATTTGCTTCCTCGTTTCACTTATGAACTTTTAGGTATTGATTCAAACGCCAAAGTATGAAGGACAAAACGCGCTAGACATGGAACCATTATTAAAGCATGTCGAGATTATGAAGGATATCGCCAGTTTTAATGTGACAGTCCATGGAGAGTATGTCACAATGTGTTATGGACTTTAAGCATTTATACATTCTAGGCAATGGTCGTTGTCTGATATTTGCTTTAAACCGGCACCTCCATCGATCGCAAATGGTTCAATTGCAACTTTTGTTGCTGATGTTATTGACAGAATTGTACCATGTATTTGGATTACTCCTATTGATTGCTTTTGGGAAGGCGCAAAGGCTCTTGGTCCTCATCCAACGTTACCGAAAAAATCGCTTGGGGCGCTGTCATTGGTTTTGAGCTCACTTCCTGATGGTCCGGAGATTCGCTGGTCGGATTTTGATCCAATTAAAGTCATAAACGAAGTTCACAATTCCTTCAATCTTGGTTCACACTACACGTTCTTTGAAAGAGCTGGTGTCAGCCATGGATACATGAACAGGCCATGCATTGATCCTCTTGATCCAGAATGTCCAGAAATGTCACCGAATCATTTTGATGTGTGCCCATATGTTGATAAAATTCGAGATATCGCGAGAAAAAATGGGATCGAACTCAAATCGGAAGCTGTAATGTGAGAATCGATTTACCATGAAATCATCGTTTTTTTTAGCTCGAAGACGGTTCCCCTTCAATATTCGATATTTTCTCCAGAAAGAAGCGTCAAGCACCCGAGCCAGGCGATTTTAGAACACCTGAAGTCTCTACTGACCCAACCCCATCCCCACAGGAATTAGCGGAAAAGGCAGAGCAAGAGGAAAAAGCTCGAAAAAGAGAATACAAAGAGCGTTAGGATTGAATAATTCATTTTTAGATGATTGATTTCAAATTTAGATTGCCGAAAATTCCGCAAATCGACACATGAATGGTTGAAAGCCAACCGAGACAAATGGTCTGATGTGATTCCGGACGATAAACAACCAAAAAAGGTCGAATACGGCAAAATTATGTCTGGTGGATGTACCGGATTTGCGTCGAATGTGCTCCATTGGCCAGAAGACATGATTCTTGGAGGAGCTCGTCGTGAGAAAAAGAATGGCCCGCTGATCAGTGCCGATGCGTTGCAATCGGTGTTCCTTGTTGCATCACCTGGCGATATTTACTTGAGATTCAAGCCAAAACCTGGACGTAATCCAATCAAGAAGAATTTGAATATTTCGGAATGGAACGAGGAAATGGCGGCTGAAGTTTTACAAGCTTGGCAACGAAATTTCACCAAAAATCTTTATAATCATGCAGATAATTTTGATGAAAATGTTAGATAATTTCAGATTAACCTTTATATGAAATCAATATTTTAGAACAATGAACGACGCACACTTCATCCGCTTGCCTCAACGTCAATTGCTGATATGCTCGAAGAATTTTGCCAATTCAACTACACCATCATTTTAATCGGTTACGGTCTCATGGTAACTAATTTTATTTCGCTTTTTTCATTTTATCATAAAATTTAGCTGGTGTATGCCATTATCACACAAGCTCGATTCGATTGGTGTCTTCCATCTTCCGAATCTGCTATGGGTCTCGCACTCGGAGGTGTTCTTGTCGTTACATTTGCATCGGTCGCTGGACTTGGTCTTGCAACATGGTTTGGAATAGAATTCAATGCCGCTACTACCCAGGTATTATTCCTTCTTAAAGGTGTATCTACATTCAATCATGTGTTCAGATTGTACCTTTCCTTACTCTTGGAATCGGAGTTGATAATATGTTTATGCTATTGCACAATTATCGTGATGTGGTAAAACTTTCTGGAGGTCGAAACGAAATCGGAGTTTTGATGAGGGAAACGGGAATGTCGATTTTGTGCACATCCATCAATAACATCCTTGCCTTCTTGACAGGTTGCATCGTTATTTCAACGTGACTATTTCAACTGTAAATTTCTTTAGGAACAATCCTGCCAATTCCGGCACTTCGATCGTTCTGCGCTCAAAGTTGCATTCTTCTCACTTTTAATTTTATCGCCATTTTGACAATTTACCCAGCAATAATTTCCATTGATTTGCGACGAAGAAAAGCCGGAAAACGGGATCTTTTGTGTTGCTTGTATGGAGAAACGAGAGAAGAGTCGTATTCGATGATTTCGAAGCCGAAGCTTCAGGTACAATTCCATCAATTGTCATACCATACCATGTCATTTCATGAATATATTCCAGGCAAAGCGAATTATTAGCGCGACATCTGATGTTTCAATTATCCAACCATTTGATGGAATTGTCAATTCGGTCGATGATTCTTCTGATGCTCCTACTCCATGGACTTTGCACGCGTTTATCAGATACTACTACATTCCATTCATTTCACATTCGTTCTCAAAAGTATTCGAAATTCGTATTTTTGTTATAATTTCCGTTTTTAGATTTCTGTTATTGTTTTGTGCGGCTGTATGCTATTTGCTGCATTCCTTGGAATACAAAGATCAACACTTGGACTTGAGTTAAGTGACGTTCTTCCAGAGCACACAGCTCCGGCTCAGTTCCTTCGAGCTCGTGACAAATACTTTAGGTATTGAGTTGAATAGTGAAAGTTTATCAAGTTAATGCGCTTATCTTTTAAGCTTCTACCCTATGTTTGCTGTTCTTCAAGGTCCAAATATTGATTATGCTCATCAGCAACGGCAAATAGATAATTATCGTAGAGCTATTGGTAAGTATTATTTTGATGACCTAAAACGAAACATTTCTTATTAATTTTTTATAGGAACATCGAAATATGTAATCAAAAATGCGTTCGATGAACCATCGGAGAAATACTGGCTTGGATTAATGCGCGATTGGCTTTTGAGTATACAGAAAGGATTCGATTACGAAATGGGTCATGGATCATTCAATATTGAAACTGGTGAAATTATCGGAAAAAATGTGTCGGAAGACGCTAAACTCGCTCATGCTCTTATGTGCAGTCACGGGACTAAGTTCGAATGCCGTGGAAGAGTTGGACATATTCGATTGGTTGATAAGAGTGGAATTATCAACACAGATGGCTTTTACAACTATCTCACTGCTTGGTAGTTTCACTGTTTTATTCAAACATACTGATTTAATTTTTTAAAGGTTCAATGTCGATCACATGATGTACTATGTCTCTCAGGGATCGTTCTTCCCGATACCACCGAAATGGGAGTTGTCGAAGGATCCCAATGAAAATTTTATTCCGCCGGCTGAGCCACTCGCATATTCGCAAATTCCATTCTATCTGACTGGGTTGACGGATACGCCAGTTATTGTCGACATGATCGAGGACATTCGAGGTGTTTGCAAACGGTTCACTGAACAAGGACTACCTAATTTCCCCCAAGGAATCGCGTTTACATTCTGGGAACAGTACTTGTTCTTGCGCGGTAACTTGATGCAGGCGATCGGAATCATCTCACTCGCTGTTTTCGTCGTCATTTCTTTGTTACTGTTCAATCCGTGGGCGGCCGCCATCATTATCTTCATTCTGACTGTAATGACAGTGGAATTGGCCGGCTTCATGGGTTGGATGGGCATCAAATTGAATCCGGTTTGTTTTTTTTTTTATTTTACGCGACCTCATTTTAGCAATGGTTATTTGGTTGCAGGTGTCAGCGGTGACATTAATCACAGCCGTGGGAATTGGTGTTGAGTTTACCGTTCATGTCGTCGTCTCATTTCTGACGACTCTTGGAACACGGGCACAACGCACATCGAACGCCGTTGATCGCGTTTTTGTGCCAGTCATTCATGGTTCGCTATCAACGCTTCTCGGAATTTTGATGCTCGGATTTTCGGAGTTTGAGTGGGTTTTTATTAATGAAGCATTGATATAATTAATTTTTTAGATTTGTCGTCAAATATTTCTTCATTGTGATGTCAGCGCTTATCGTTACTGGTATTATTAATGGATTGATTTTGTTACCCGTTCTTCTTTCTTGGTTCGGCCCATGTAGAGAAGTGGGCGTGTTTTAAAGACATGTAATTTGATTTGTTTATTTATAGATTACTCCGACGAATGGAAAAACCCATTTAGCATTGCCACCACCATTAGAGCGATCAAAACGAATACGTCGATGTGAAGATTCAGATGATGACGATGATCCGAGCGGTTTAGTGATGTTCTCAAAAACGACGCCTAGCAATCGGACGTCTACTCAAGGCAACAGAAATGCGAGCACGAGAAATTTGCCCGTGTAGTTGTTGATGATGTATTCTTCTAGTTAAAAAATTTAGTCGTTCCTTAACGTTTTATCATATTTTTAATTGTTCACAACTTCTCATTTCGCAAACTCTAGACTGCATTTTATGCTATGCCTAGAACTATCATCAACAATTTCAACATTAAAAAAACCATGGGTGATTTTCATTGTGTTCTAGTCATCGGATCTGTTCAGTTTAGAATCATTTCAAACAGTTTTTGATCATTTTGAACTCATTTTCCTTTTATTTTATTTTTATCCGAAACTCCATTTCTTTTTCGTTTCTTTGAATGTTTTTCTTTCGATAACTTTGTATTTATTTGAATTGCCTCAAACGATGTTGTTTTTCTGGTGGATTCGCTCAAATTCATTCTTCTTTTTCTTTTTCGTAATTTTTCTTCAAAAAATGATTATTTATGTATTGTGCTCTCTATTCATTTCAACCGAGTATTTTTACTTGAATTGATTTGAATAGAGAATTGAGATTCAATCCTCTCAAGACCATTTTCTTCTTCTAACACACCCGCTCCCCTTCTCATTCGATTTTAATTTAATAATTAACCCCGAAAAAAAAGTGCAATCAACTTACGATTACTTTGAACACGAGCACCAAGAGCTTTAAAGTACATTTTTAGTTATAAGTGATGCATTTCACTTCAAATAGCTAGAAATAATAGGTCCAACTCGGTATTTTCCCTTCTTTTTTTCATATCAATTGTGCCTCCGTTTTTGTAGATAATTTAAGTAAAATTTCAAATGAAAATCAATTTTCCCTTTCACGCATAATTTTTGTCGATTCTTGTGAAATCACTTCCAATTTCACTGTAATCACAAAATATTATTTACGGCATAATCGACTGTGTACAAAATGACTCGGGACATTACTCTATTGATTGCATCCGCCGAATTACCCATTGTTCCACTAATCTCTAAAAATCTCTTTATTTTCTTTCTTTTCTACTATTTTTATTGTCCCTGTGAATGATCTCAGTGAGCTTCGTCGATTTAGAAAATTGGCCATTGTAATTTAATTGGTATTTGCAAAAATAAAACGGTCTAACTTGAAATTACATATTCTTATAAAAGTTGTAATAACGGAAAGTATGAATCAATAGCGAATATTTTTTTACAATGGCATACGCCGACGGTCGACAACGAAGATTTTCAGCAGACTACGCAGATTCTAATTATTATAGAATCTGTTGAACGTCTGCACAAGCACCACGATTTTCGCATGATATCGTAGAAAAGTGACCGAGGGTTTCCATTTTTTCCGGAATTTTTTCTGTTCAAAAGTGCTTCTGTTTTTAGGAAATGAAATGAACGAAGAGCTTCCATTAAAAGATGTTCGCAATAAATCCCCAGATCCATTTGATGACACCGAAAATGATTCAAACGATTCTTTCGATTTACCGGTGACTGATCCAATTGAAAAAGCACACCGTAGACGATCTGAATGTTCACCAATTAAAGAAAATTCGGAAATTTTAACCGACGTAACGTTAAATGAGGTAAATTTCACGGACGTTGTCTTAAATATTTGCGGTCAAGAATTAGAATTCCGATGAAGATGATCATATTTCGTTTGTTACGGAGAGAAATGATCCGATCATCGAAATGTTGGATGAGGAATCGGACAATGACGAAATCGATTTTGAATCAAATGAACGAGAAAACGCAGCATTATTTGAATGGACCAGCAATGGTTTAAAAAAAATAAAAAATAAATAGTGTATAATAATGATGATAAAAGGAAATTTAGAAATACCAATCATGTGTTTTAATAATACGAGCGCCGAAAAGAATGACAATCTTTCGACAGTTCTTGCTTCCTTTAAAACACCAAATCAGAGACGACAAAGCAAAGAAGAGGATAATACGTCGAACAAGAGTTTTGACGTATTCGGTGACAGCGACCATTCAAGAGGTGCAATGCCTGTGTCGAGACCGCCATCGCAACAGGAGGAAGAGCTTCTGCCAGTGGCCTTACCAGCCAGAGAATGTGACATTGGATCACCCGGAAGAAAAGTATGCATTAATATAAAATATAGCAACGCGTGAACATTTTAGCGATTTCGTACTGAAAACGACGTGTTTGATAGCAATAAGCCTTCGACATCTAATGAAGGACAAAGTTGTTCGAACTCTGATGATTATTGGAAAACACAGAATGTCTTTACTGTGAATGGCGAAACCTACGAAATAAACTCCTTTGTGAGTTTTAATTTTTTATGGTGATTGTAAAATAATTAGTTAAGAATGATTATATGCGTTTAAAAATTAACAAGCTTAATCATCAAGTGAACACAATGAATTCGAAGATGATTGAAAAAATTTCAAACATTTTTAATGGTCTTTCAGTTTTCGTCAATGGTTATACTGGTTGGTTAAATAATTTTTAACAAAGTTATCGATTATTCCTAGAGCCTCCGGCGTTAGTAATTCGCGATTTAATAATATCACATGGTGGTGAATATCATTGCTATTATCTTCATGGAAGAACTTCTTATATAATTGCTTCGTCGATTGCAAAAGCGAAAGTTGACAAATTAAGAGAAAATGAACGATATATCAAGGCAGAGTGGATAACAGAATCGTAGGAACATTTTATTACTTCGTTGAAATTCTCGTGATTCAAGAATAAACGCTGGAAAGGCTCTACCATACAAGGAATTTCTTATATATGAAAAAGGCGCAACAGAAAAAGGGGTTATGGAAAAGTTTTTAACGAGCAATTCGGACGATACTGACAAGGATTATGGATTTTTAGATGCAAGGAATCCTGATTTCATCAAAAATTATTACTCTAGGTTAGTTTTTGGTTAATTATTTCGGTAGAAATAATTTCAGGAGTCGACTTCATTTAATTTCGACTTTAGCTCAGGATATGAAAGATTTTGTGGCAAATTTGAAATCACACAAAGAATCTCCAATAAGATCTTTTGATGAAGCGGAACTTGACGCTCTTAAATCATTCTCAAAGTTAACTGATCCCGTCATATTTCATGTAGATCTGGATTGTTTCTTTGTTTCGGTTGCATTACGATCCCGTCAAGATTTAGTCGGTAAACCAGTGGCAATTACACACAGCAAGGTCTCTAATGAAGATTTCGAATAAATATTGTCAACGTCGCGCGACTGCTGAAAATTGTCTAAAAGAAAAAACCTCTCCATAAATTTTTAGTATTAAGTCAATTTTCCGCAGTCGCACGACGTCGACAAGTAGTTTTGAAAAAGTTAACAAGTTGTTTTAAGGGAACAACGTCGAGTAGTATGAGCGAGATCGCTTCATGTAGTTATGCGGCCCGAGATTGTGGTGTTCGAAACGGAATGCTAGTCAAAGATGTTCTTCAATTGTGTCCCACAATAGTACTTCTTCCTTATCAATTCGACGATTACGTACGAGTTAGTAAAATAATCTACGAAGTGTTAGCTAGGTAATTGAAGTATAGTCGGCGTCCGGCGACTGCTGTACGCAGGTAGATTTACGCGCATGCGCCTTGAAAAGGTAACGTCATTCGATTAAAAAATTATCGAACCGGTCCATAAAATTTGAAATAACCTGTTGGTCCTTGCGAGACCACTACGAAAGACGCATTCTCGTAAATCTACCCGCGTGCAGCAGTCGCCGGACGTCGGCTATAAAACAATTTAAACGTAATTTTTTCTCTCAGTTACACCCTTGAGCTACGAGCGATATCATGCGATGAAATGTATCTAAACGTGACTGCTTTATGTGAAAAAGTGCACTAAATCAACTCAAGATTGTATTAATTTGAATTAGTTTAGCATTCCATAGGAGATCCAAAAACTCTTGCGGAGCACATGAGAGCAATGATTCGGAAAAAGACTGGCTGCCCAGCAAGTGTGGGTATAGGTCCAACAAGTCTACTGGCTCGTCTTGCAACTCGACATGCTAAACCAGATAATGTGTTTTGGGTCCAAAAAACAATGGTTGAAAACTTCATGAAACAAGAAAAAGTAAAAGATTTGCCCGGCCTTGGTTATCAAATGTTGGAAAGGTTACGAGTATTGGGTTTGTTTCGGATATGATATTTTGAAAACATTGAGTTTTCTTTAAAGGAGATATCAATACTTGTGCGCAGTTACAAGCGATTGATGAACTAGAATTAGCGCGAATTTTAGGTCCGAAACATGCAAATAAGGTTTTCACTTTTCACTAGTGGTTATTACTTTAAATTTAGATATACAAACAATGCCGCGGAATTGATGAAGATCCTGATGATTTTTGGAAAACCAAACTTCGAAAATCGGTTTCTTGTGATATTAACTATGGAATTCGTTTTAACAAGAAGACTGAGTTGATGAATTTGTTGAAAGCAATTGGAAAAGAGCTTGAACGGAAATTAATTGATTGTCAAATGAAGGCATCAGCCGTAACTCTTAAGTTAATGGTGCGAGCGGCTGACGTACCGGTCGAAACGGCTAAGTTTATGGGACACGGAATCTGTGATTCATTCACTAAAACATCGAACTTTTCGTCTGCAACGCAGAAGTCAGAAGTAGTTGACATATTTTTTTCGTCGAAAATTATTACTATTAAGGTTATCTATTCGGAAGCGTTGAAGTTGTATAATAAAATTGGTCCTAGAGTAGAAGATTTAAGAGGGGTAATTTAAATTCATTTGTACATCATTTGTTGTGTAATTACACAGGTCGGAGTTACATGTGGCAAATTGCAAACCAAGACTAGAAAAGATTTGGCTGATGCCGTCAAAGATATGTTTTCCAAAGGGAACAACAAGAGAGCTGAAAAATCAATATGTAGATTTTAATTTATTGTGGATAATGGAACCTTTAATCTTCAGGTTCGACTAATGACAATGAAGAACGGGACGAAGAAGATGAAGATATGGTTCAGACTGTCGCGCGAACATGCTCAAGCAAAGGTAATTATAGTCGGCGTTAAAGTGTGTACATTTACGACCTGCGCCTTTGGCTAGAAGTCTGGAATGAAATCGCTGTTTATTTCGCATTCTAGTGCTTATTTCGATAATTTTTATGAAGTTTACATGTAGCGAGACCAAAGATCAATCGTACTCGTAAATCCTTCAGCAGACGACTTATGTCGGCTCACAGGTGAGCCCCATCCGGTATGGATGCGATTGAATGAACACGTGTTTGCATGTTGTATTGTAGGAGGGTGCTATATGCTTTTTGTGCACATACTGGATTCATCTGAAATAAAAAGGAGTCCATATCGGTTTGGGCGCTGTCTTCCTTTTCTATATGAACCTTTAATATTTGTTTAACAGTTTGTGCCCATATTTACAGTTGAAATCGATCCTTGTGAAAATGAAGAATCCAATCAAGGAGTCGAATTCTCTTTAGAAGCTGTTGACGGTGCTACTGTCATGGAATGGCTCACAATGACTAATAGATCCTTTCGACGCTTCACATTAAACACGAAACTGGAAAAGATCTCTTCGACAAACCACATTGAAATTGAGAAGAATTTGAAAGAAATATGTGCGCGAACTCCGACAAAAGAAAAGATCCTTGAAATTTACACATTATTTGAAGCATTGATGTCAACAGGAAAATTGGAGACGTTAAGAATACTTGTGAATATATTTTTGAACATGGCCGCAAAACGGTTAGGAATGCCGATCGTACTCGATAAATTTGTTCTTGTTTCAGCGAGATTTGTTCTGTCGAATGGTTTGATATATCGATTTTAATTGCGAAAAGGTTGACCGAAGAATCGAAAAATCTCTTCGAATTTCCGATTGATTTCCATATTTCCGTACCTTTTAACCGTACCATTATTAGAAATAAGGTTTGTGTTTTGTATTTCATAATTTATCTATACTAATAAATAATTCAGGAGGAAAGAAAAACTGTTCTGCAATTTGAAAAAATCAAACTATCTGATTTGTAAATGACCACCACCTTTTTACATGTAAAATAATTATAAAGCTTTTTCATATTCCATTTGTCAATAAATATTTTCATATTTACTCATCAATTCGATCGGAACGTACAGCGGTTTCTTACTGATTTTTATAACACGCGGAACATTTTGGGATAAACAGGGGCAGTTCAATTGTTATCGGTTTGAATCGACTGATCGAAATTTAAAAAATGTATTTGTTTACTGCCTCGACACAAAACAGATCTTCCGTCTTCCGCGTTACGTATTCCGTTAGAAAAAATTTATATCCTTTCGTGTATTTTGTAATTCATTTTCATAATTGTGGACCATCGCACATATTCGCGGCGGTAATTCAAATTCGCATTTAAACACATTCGGATACCGTATTCTGGATAACCTGCGAAGCTAACTCACCGTAAATCGGGGCAGGGTGCTCGTTTCTTTGCGAATGTATTGTCGAAGTCAAACGACTTGACGAAATTTAAAAAATGATTGGCTATGTGCCAATGCGTCTCGAGGTAGCGAGAAGTACGCGAAATTGCGTACCTTGCATTTAAGCGTACGCGCATTTAATATTCAGTCAACGAAAAATTTAAATCTACACTGTTTTCACGAATTTGAACATCCCGCCTTCTTTCAGTCGTTTGACGCCGACAATATTCCCCTAATATTCCCCAATTCGCTATATTTCATATCAATAATTTTCATTGCAAAATCAAGTTTTCAAATCGAATTTAAACAATTTCTCAATCGAATTTCAATGATTTTAATCGCATAAGGTTAAATTTTATCTATGTAATTTTCCTTCGAATTCGACTGATTTTCATTTACCTGAGAAGATTCGGATTTCAATTTATAAATAACTTATAGACGGTCTCCGATGAATATGAGTAGATTTATGGGCGCAGTGGTAATCGCCGAACGCGGAAATATTTTGTTGAAGTGTGAATCACGAAAATCGACATCCAGTATGTAGTGCTGTAGTTGTCTGTTACTCATTTTCTCTTCAAAGTTTTCAAAAAATACGGAAAAATAGCACATAGAATGAAAAATAAAAAATTACAGTACCGACTTCGCGACGTGACCTGCGCAACTTTTTTCCTGCGCCTTTTAAAATAAATAGCGGAGAATTACGATATATCGCGTCAATTTTTTGTAATTTCCGACGTGCGTGCATAGGGAATTCAAATGAAAAAAATTGTTTTTTTTATTTCTTCCATTGCATGAATAGGTCCATTAGAAGTTAAAATTTTTTGGCTACAAATATCTTATTTGATTTTGTGAAATGGGAGACGTTCAGTGAAAATGGATGTCTTCACTAGAAAGTGAATTCACTTCCACCCACGTCTTGCACTTCTAGGAAGCTTGCTTTCGCTGAATGTCTTTCAGATCCTTTGGTGTGACGTATAAAGGTCAGCAGTGTTCCCTTTCTCTTTGTGTGACCTTCTTTTCTCTTCCTCACTCTGACCGAGTATAGTCACACATTTGCCCCAGTTGAACTAGACACACGCGACGCAACACGCAAACGCGTTGGGCTAGAGTGGAAGGCAGAGACGCAGAGGAAATTGAGTGACGCCAACATCCTTCCACCACATTCTAACTTTTATGAATGCAAAGATTTATTCTTCTTCTGTAGTTTGCGTTGATTTGTAATTTCCCATCCGTGATTATTACTGTTATTTTTCTCCTCAACTTATTCCTACTCACTCTATATCGATTGTCGCATTCATAAGAGAGGACGCCATTTTGTATGTCGTCTATACAGCACCAATTATTCTTTCCTCTCAATGTTGCTTTCAAAAATTTTTGACTTTTAGATCGGGAGCTGTTGACGGTTAAGCTATCGTCAACTTCATCGTCAAGTATGGATAATCATAATCAGGTATACGTTGTCTTACATACTTTTATCCACCTATTTAATGAAATTTCAGAGCGGATCTTCTTCAAGCGGAGCAGATAGTTCATTTGGCGTTCTGGCCATGCCTTATGATGAATTTGACATCACGCTCAAGGATATCAATGAAGAAGAGTTGGAAAGGGTGCGTTTTTTATGATTTTTTATCTTACCAGCCAGTACAGCGTCGCTTTGCGGCACGAATTGCTAAACCCTTATCATCTTTCTAAATTCCACTAATGAACCACATTAGACCTTTCTCTTTTCGAACTTGGGCCACACAAAAACAAAAATCTTTTTGCAAATGCAACGGATTAGTTGATTCCAATTAAAGGCTGATCTAGGGCACAAACATATGCTTTAGCGCTTTATGAATAGTATGGATTGTTAAAACTTATTGCAGATTGGACTTGATCAAGAAGTGAAGCACTTGAGTCCAGCGACGTTCTCAGATCCCGCTTTTCCTGTACAAGGAATCCTGCATGGACCGAACTCTAGGCTAATGGTCCCTTTGATCTTCCAACGGGCCCAAAAACCCGATTCGCCAATCATCAACGTCTGGTGTCTCATTGACACGGGAAGTCCATTTACGTGTCTGACTGTCAAGACCCTGGAGTCTTTTTTTGGTGCCGGAAACGTCGTCGACGGACAGTTCTACTCATTCGCCATCCAGGTTTCTTTGTTACTATTGTTATTTCAAAATTATATTGTATGAAATTCAGGACCAGTCGACTCGAATCGAGTGTCAAGTCAGTAAAGTTGGCACCCATTTTGAGCATGTGAACATTTTGGGAGTCGATTCGTTGCGTCTTTTAAATGTTTCCTTGACTATGAATTGGCGTGCCAACTCCTTCTCTCTTATTCGAGTGTAGGTACCATCAATAGTTTTCCTTTTTCACTTGCTTTCTCCGTTTCCATTAGTTTATTATTATCATAATTGTAAAAGGGTATGTTATTAAGACTCCCCGGGAATTCTTGATTTTTAAAGTGTCTACTAATTCTAGGAGATCAAGATTTGTTAAAGCTTTGAGATCTTTGTGAAGCTTTGTCATTTAAAAAGCATAAAATTTATAAGAAAAAAGAGGTGAGTGTAGCGCAAAATAAGACTCGTATAACTACACCCATGGAAATCAAGATTTTATATTGTCGGCGTCAAACGACTGAAGGGAGGCGGAGCCTTCAAATTCGCAAAATCAGTGTAGATTTAAATTTATCGTTGACTGAATATTAAATGCGCGTACGCTATAATGCAATGTACGCAATCTCACTGCCTCGAGACGCATTGGCATATAGCCAATAATTTTTTAAATTTCGTCAAGTCGTTTGACTTCGACAATAAATTTCTATGATTTTCATGATATTAATGAACATGAACAATAAACAATCTAAAATACACAAAAAACGTTGAAAATTGTTGAAAAATCACCTTTTCCCAAAATTGTTGAAAATAGTGTGAACATTGAATCAAATAGTCGTCATTTTTTTTTCAATAAATGACTAAAATGTAAGAATTTGGGAAATGGGTGAAAGGGTGCGTTAGCGTCAACCTTTCTTATACTACTTACGGCATAATCGACTGTGTACAAAATGACTCGGGACATTACTCTATTGATTGCATCCGCCGTATTACCAATTGTTTCACTAATCTCTAAAAATCTTGTTTTCTTTCTTTCTCTACTTTTTTTATTGTCCCTGTGAATGATCTCAGTGAGCTTCGTCGATTTATAAAATTGCCCATTGTAATTTAATTGGTATTTGCAAAAATAAAACGGTCTAACTTGAAATTTCATATTTTTATAAAAGTTTTAATAACGGAAAGTATGAATCAATAGCGAATATTTTTTTACAATGGCATACGCCGACGGTCGACAACGAAGACTTTCAGCAGACTAGGCAGATTCTAATTAGAGTCTGTTGAACGTCTGCACAAACACCACGATTTTCGCATGATATCCTAGAAAAGTGACCTAGGGGTTCCATTTTTTTCCGGAATTTTTGCTGTTCAAAAGTGCTTCAATTTTTAGGAAATGAAATGAACGAAGAGCTTCCAATAAAAGATGGTCGCAATAAATCCCCAGATCCATTTGATGACACCGAAAATGATTCAAACGATTCTTTCGATTTACCGGTGACTGATCCAATTGAAAAAGCACACCGTAGACGATCTGAATGTTCACCAATTAAAGAAAATTCGGAAATTTTCATTGCAAAATCAAGTTTTCAAATCGAATTTAAACAATTTCTCAATCGAATTTCAATGATTTTAATCGCATAAGGTTAAATTTTATCTATGTAATTTTCCTTCGAATTCGACTGATTTTCATTTACCTGAGAAGATTCGGATTTCAATTTATAAATAACTTATAGACGGTCTCCGATGAATATGAGTAGATTTATGGGCGCAGTGGTAATCGCCGAACGCTTAAATATTTTGTTGAAGTGTGAATCACGAAAATCGACATCCAGTATGTAGTGCTGTAGTTGGTTTGGCAACTTGAACAGAAAACTTTGCTGCTATACTACACAAAAATGACTACAGAAGATTTCAGTTGTTTTTCGGAAAAATTCGGAAGATGAAAAAGTTCTTGAAAGAGTCCTTCTTGTCCTTGATATCGTTCGATCACTCCGCCAGATTTTCATAAAATATGAAAATATTAGATGGGTGTGATTAAACATTAAAAAATCGTATTTCCTCATTAACTTTGCAAATGGGAAAAAGACGAATTTGCTGAAAAGTGACAAATTGTTCAGTTACTTCTATATCTATTCTTAATCCACTTTTTGAAATTTTTTTCTTTTAACTGTTGCAGTTTTAATGACAATTTAAAGAAATCACTAGCGAAAAATCACAATTACCAATTAGATTTCTCAAGTTTGCGGCACTTTATTTATTTTTAATGAAGACAATCTTTTCATAATAAATGGTCGTTTATTTGCGGGAAAACAACAAAAATTCGATCAAAATAAATAAGTTGCGAATTTTTTGTTCAGAGATCGTATAGTTTGTTATTCAATAAATAAGTTTATATTATTGGGAATGAATAGTTAGGTGAAATTACCTGTGTTATAATATGAGATCCTAAAAATATAAAATCATTAGAAATATGCAGAATTATCATGGAAAATTTCGCTTCGTTGGACCGTTTCCTAGGCCTTCCAAATCGGTCAGCGAAAGTTTTGAATTAGAAGAAAGGGACATGTCTCTTTCGGATTGACGTTCTAAAATCAACTATTAAAATCAATCAGAAAAATAGAATCCATACTTTCATGTTGAAGTTCTGGCAACACTTGCATCGCGTTCACATTGAATTTCAGTTTTCGTAAATGTTGTCTTTGAGGGTGACTTGATAACTTTGCCGACGCATGTGTATGAAGAAGCTGAAGAAAATTTTAAAATTAATAATTATGTGTAGTAGCGACTGCTGTACCCGGATAGATTTACGGGGTCCGTCTTTCTCTAGGCCTCACCCATTCGAAAATCTACCCGCGTACAGCCTCAAAAAGTACGATCACCGACAAAAACGTGGTCGTTATTTTTACGATGGTAATGCGGTTTGAAAATTAAATTACCTGAACATCGTCGTCTAATGACTCAACGTATACGGGCGGTACTTGATTGTGTAATCCATCAACAATCAACATTGCAATCTGTAGCGATTTTGAAATAAATAAAAGCATTGAAAACCACCTCCAAATTTCGCTCCAAGATATAATTAAACTCGAAATCTTCATCATCGGCTCCGAATGGAAACATTAAGTCTTCTCCGACTTTCAACCAGCCCACGTAAAACAAAAATTGAAGAACAGTGAACACCGGGAAATAGCTAGAAATGAAATTGAAATTACAATATAAATTATCATCGAGTTACACGTCGACAATGTCGCCATTATCTGTCTGACTTGGATATTGACGCCCAATCAACGCGAAAAGAAAATAGCCATATACGGAGATGGTTGACACCTAAAACATTGCGAATTATTGAAATTGCACTGTGTGAAATTGAAAGAAATGATGAGAATCTGACTGAAATTACGCGAATGTGTCTTCCAAATTGGTCTCGAACAAATTTAGCATGTTTAGCAAGTCAGTATTCGGAAATTGTAAGACCTCTGAAGACGCATTCTCGTAAATCGAATCAAATTCTGCAATTTTACATATTTATATATATATATATATATTTATATATATATATATATATATATTTATATATATATATATTTATATATATATATATATATATATATATATATATATATATATATATATATATATATATATATATATATATATATATATATATATATATATATATATATATATATATATATATATATATATATATATATATATATATATATATATATATATATATATATTTATCTATTTATTTTTTTGTTTCTGGAATGTCACCGCATATACCGAACATGCAAAAAGAAAGGGGGGGAGCATAATTATATGAATGGGTGTAGAAGGACACGGCAAATGAATACATAATTAAAATGAGCGCGGACCTGACTATAGACGAGTGGTATAGAAATCCAATCGTATAAAAAGAGACTCGAGATGCGGTGACGGAAGTCTTCCAGATTTTGAATAAGCATTTGAAGGGAAGTCATGAAAATTAAGTCGACTTTTTTAAAGCTTCTCTATTTTTTTCTATTTTTTTTCTTATCAATTTTAATTTTCAGCTTGTTCTGTTTTTGGCGTATTACATAACCTGAGTATAAACTAGTGGAATAGCTATCCAGTCGTAAATGAACAATTGAAAAAAGCCGTGTCGATACTTTTCAAGGGCGTCGAGAAGAACGCGCAGCTCATTTGTATGCGTCAATGTCCCCTTTTCGAAACAACGGACCATCATTGTTTGTATCCAATTCAAAGGAACCCACCATTTCTAAATATCGTATTTCGTCGAATTTTTTTTGCAAACAGAAATGTTGATTGGGTGTACCTGATGCGGATCTACAGATACAACTATCGATTTGAATACTACTAATTCTTTTCGTGTCATCAATCCAGAATCAACAAGATGCTCATCAGTTGGATATCTAAATTTTACATTAAAGCAATTCTCGAATTTGTTTTCCAAAAAGAAACCTAGCTAAAACTCTTAATGAAATACTTCTCCATGCCAAAACTGATGTTAAAATTGCATATCGAGCAATTGTCTTTCGAATAACCCGAGTTTCTGCCTTTAATATAGATTTATACAAAATTTGAAAAAAAAAATTATAAATGCTTACGTCTTGGCCACGAATTAATGCCGAAACATTGTACAACAAATGGTCGGGCCAGCTAATCAATTGGCAACAATCCCACCATCTGAAAATAAAGAATCTCAATCGAATATGATAATAGAATTGTAATCGACCTTCGGACAATCATTGCAACATAGAAACCAAGCAGAAATGTCAACGGTATTTGTTTTGTCCATCCGTCGACTAATAGCACATATTTGATAAATGATTTTTGCTGTTCTTCCGTCATCCAAAACCTGGAAACAAAAAATGAAAGTCAACTTATTGTATTTGTTCAAAAATCGCCAATTACCTATAGTAAACATTAATTAAATAATATAATACTAGAAATACAACTAAATGTTTCCAAATAGCTTTCCATAATGATCCTTTCCAACGGAATAATAACCGAATGAATGTGTCCGAATAGGAAATAGTCATTCACTGCAATCAATCGATGAATATTTTTAGAAACGAAACGAAAATATCCGATCAATGTGAGTTACGTTTTTTGATAAATTGGGGATAAATTGAGGAGAAGACAGTTGTTGAGATTAGATTCGACAGACAAGTGCATTGAGATTAAAGGTCATCGAATGTTTCAATTATATGTGGGAATAATTATAAAGTTAATTTTAAAAATATAATATAAGTTAATAATCATCATAACATATTAGTATAGTTGGATCGAGTTTCTCAGAAAAGCAAATGCTTCTTATTATTTATGTTACTCATTTGCTTCATTTTATTTATATAACACAAGAGTTTGAACGAGAAAACAATGTTTTGTTTTAAGCTAAATAGAACCAAAATTAAATTTTGTGAAATATGCGGAAAATTGAAAAACCGCAAAAAAGACGAACTTGATTTTCGAAAATGAAAACATTAAAAAGACTTTAAATGCGATGCGAAAATGTCAAAAAAAGTAATGTTGTGTTTGAGATATTTATGCAAAAAAAAAAGAACAACAAAAATTGAAAAAAGTAAATGCAAAATGTCGTTTTCGAGTTCAATTCACTGATTTTTTTAACGACTAATCTTTGAAAAGTGGCTGCGAGCAATTAATCAAAAATCACAACAATTTTCGGGTCTCGATTGGATTCGATAATATTAGAAAATAATTGCGCCACACCCAATTTAAGATTGAATCGTTAATAGCGAAATTATCTTGTTTCTTTTTTCTTTTTTTTTCCAAAGTGTTAAATTGCGGGAAGAGCAGAAATAGAAAGAAAATAGTGTTCATTTTGACTCGTCATTGTGACATGATCCGAACGATTGGGATGGCAATCGAAAGACGAAAAAACCTGCACGCGGGAATGGCACGACTGAGTTTTTGTGAGCTTCTACGCTGAATCGGCTGATATCCCCGGGTTCGGCGAGTGATTGTGCGAGACACAGAGACGCAGTATCGACGGGGCACGAGTCAGACTCTTTGTCGTCAAGCATGCACGCTTCTTACAACACACTCGATTGTGATAATTGGATTTCAATTCAACAAATGTTGATTCAATTCGACCATTGATATTTCAATTAATCGATAATGGGCGGCAAACTAAACAAAAAAAAAACACGAAATTCGGGAAATGTACTTAAAATGTATTGAAGCGCATTCAAATTCATCCGGAAACTATTATATGTAGTCGATTGACGGACCCAAAATTGTTCGTAAAATCTGTCTTGCGAATAAAAAATGAACAAATTAAATAATATTTAAATTATACAGGCGACCATAGACTATTTTTGAACCACAGTGGCATAAATTGTGATTTTATCGAATAAAATAATCAAATATAGTTTAATTTAATTTGTTTTTTGTTTTATTAAATTTCTTCTATTTGATATATTCTATGATTTTTCTCATTTTGGTTTTAAATGATTATATATGTATTGTATATTTTTAGTCAGAAATAAATTTATTCAGAGAATTCAATAAAAATAAAAATTTCAAAAGTTTTCAATCGAAATTACAATTTTTGTTAACATTTATAATGAAGTGAAAAAAAGCTGAATTTTATACATTATTATGAGTTTCTTCGGGTTCGACTCAAATTTGATTGAAATATTTATTTATTTTCAAAATCATTGAATTATATGCAAAAATTTCAAGAATTCGTGTAAACTTATTTATTTTCGTTCAATTATTTTTCTATTTGTTTTCAATTGAAGTAACATCCAAATTTAGAAATGTTGTAAAATGAGCAAACACTAATTTCTGAGGAAAAGGAGCACCCAAATGTTGCGTACGATTACGACATCGTCAAATAATTCGAGGATGCTATATAAAGAGGAAGCGAGTCGTCGAATCCACAAGACAATGATGCTCAAAGTCGCCATTGGTTTGGTTCTTCTCTCATCTACAGTACTCGCATGCGGTTCAGGTACAGTACACCTTAATGCCTCTCATACGAAGTGCGTTCAGGGGCCAGTGATTCCGAGTACATCCAAGATCCCGTGTTTCAAATGCTGCTTAGTCCACCGGTCGGATGGACATATTTTCCATCGGCACCAAGCACAGCAAACCAAGCTATTTGGTATTTTGTGGGACAGTCCAACGACACTCTGACGGCAAAGAGTCGAGCTGATACCGAGATTCAAGCAGCAATGATCGAGGCAATTAATGCGGCGAGTCTACCATCGACATCAGTTACCGTCACCAATGATTATCAGCCGGTCGAGGTTGAAAACCCCATGGGAAATCCGCAGGCTGGAGCGACTTATGGAAAAGTTGAAGGGGGCGCTTTGATTGCGACAGCAACTGCTGCTCAAGGAGCAAGTAATGACAAAGTTGCTATATTCTGAATTATAAGACTAAAACCATTTTCAGCGGTTCTTGAATACACTCCATACACGGTTCAACTCCGAGTTTCTGTGAAAAACCTCGGAACGACTCGATTCTATTGGAGTATCGTTCAAAACACGTTCCTTCAAAAGATGTCAATGAATTATCACGCCCGATTCACTGGCGACGTGACCGTCAACAAAGTTTAACTACTCATTAATTATTTATTAATTTTAATCCGTATCAATAAATCATTCTCTCGGACAATATGGCAAACTGTTGGACAAGTTTATGTACAAGGAGGAGTTGCAAAATGAACTGGCAAGAATCGAGAAATTCGACGAATTGATTCCTAATCGAAATATGGAATACTAAGGGTAAAGCTTGATTGATTGGATGCAGAACAACACGATATGCTCCTAGGAAAAACAGTCAATGAAAAAGAAAATAATTTAATTTAGATATCCATAAAAGACTCGTTGAAACGTAAGAAAACCATGAGAATTGAGCATCGGAATTTTGGTTGCACTTTTTCCTCTGCTATCGGCTCAAAAATTAATTGTTGGCTAGGAAAGCTATACATATGAGACGGGTTGGTCGCGAAACAGCTCGAACTCATCAGCGAACACAATGAGATTAGTGGTCATCGTCGGCGATGTAGTCGACACATCGTTGACTATTCGGATGTTGCTGATATTGTCTTCGTCGTCCTCGTCGGCGTGCGACGATTGTCGGCGAAGAGCTCGATGCTGTATCTGAAGAGCAGGCGACGTCGATGATCGCGGCTGGCAAACGACGCATTTGTTCGCCGAAGAGAAGCACTGAAACAATTCGAGTTTGTCGAAAACGCGTTATAATCGGCGAAAAATTAAAAATAAAATAATTTCGCTGGCCAAAAACGAAAATCATTTTTAGCTTCTAATGGTAACAAAACGTTTTGCGAAAATAAAAAAAATCTATATGAGATGCACTATTTTTTGGCTTAATTAAGGATTATTTATTCAATTAATTATGGAGCTATTTCGAAATGCTTGCTTGAATATGGTGCCGGTTAATATTTTGTGCCCTTTCATCCATGAATTTGTTTTTTCGAAAAAAAATTCAATTAGAAAGAGTGAATTTTAAATTTTAATTCAGGGATTTTAAAAATAGTTTGGAATGAATAAACGCCTAATTATTAATATAGGAAAGTGAAGTTTGAATGGATCATTTCAGGTGAGTGATTTCGAACTTAAAAATCAATCAAATCATATCAAATCAATCGATAACTTAAAATTGAAGCCAAACCTGTTCAAAGAATCATGCGCTTTCTCTCATGCAGCAGTATGTATGTATGTATGAGCAGCAGTAGCAGTTTGGCGGGTAAAAATATTTAAATTAAAAAGTTGGCGGATTGCATTCGATCAAAGCCGCGTCGATTCGACCTACAATTATGGGAGAAATGTTAAGGCGCGAGGAAAATGGAAAAAAGAAATGAGAAACAGGGTGTGAAGCATTCAGCGGAATTTGGGCTTACTTGATCGTCCAACAGCGCCTTCAGTGTAAGCATTCTCAAAATTTGATTTTGAAACAATATTGAAAAACACGTGTAGTGTCTGCTAGAGAGACATTTGAATGCCGATGATTTGATTTTCACACAAACTCACACAATGTGTTAGTATGCAGAAGTTAACTTGAATTTTCGAAATACCCCCCACTTACCTTCGAATGACTATTTTCAATAGTGGGTTTCTTCTCGTAAACTTCTCGCTCGATTACTTGGATTTTATCCATACGATCAATTGATGAGTCTAGAAATCGCAATTCAATTTCTCCCAACTATTTTTAAATCGCTCATTTTTACCCATTGGCGATATTACAATGCTAGTCGTGTAACTTTTTCGCTTCTCGCCGGCATCGCCACTCCGCCTTTGAATCGAATCGGCATTCTGCCTCCTTACTACCGTACTGTTTTCTGTTCGTCTCTCAACGCACACTGAATACAAATTTTGCTATGAAAACGAACATTAACTCGATAATTACATTTTGCATTTGGAAGCGACGTTGTCTGCTCAACCGGCTTCCTAGTAGTTTTCAAGATATCGGGAGTTGAAGGAAGGAAAATTTGTTCGTCTTCGTCTTCATCGTCGGTGTGATCTTGATCATCCAAATCTTCAATATCATCTTCGATATCTGACACATTCCCACCGTCTTCCTCTTCATCCTATAAATTATCTAATCAATGTATATCAGAGATAAGCCTATGGTATGCCTTTGGCGGCTCTTCAACACTATATCGCGAAAAGAAGTTCTGCCAGTCAAGTTGTCGATCCATTCCGAATATTGCCTAAAAACCGAAGAAATTTGATTCAAGCTATTTCGAAGAACACCTACATAAGCATTACTGATAAGAACCTCAACTGCTTTATTCAAATATTGGGTATGTGTGATTGCTGCCGCATGATCAGATCGTTTCGGCGATATCCAAATAAGGGATGGTGAAATTACGGTCGAGAGGTTGGCAGCGCCCATCAAATTCACATCTTGGAACCAGGATACTCGATTTAGATGAATCATAATGAACTTGAGAGTTTCGTAATTGTGAATTGGAAGACGTCGAACTAATGATTTGAGCTGTTCGACTTTGTCTTCTTCACAAGACGTCGAAGCCCCACAACATTCGGTACCGAGCTTTACAAAATCATCATAAAGGTCATAAGTGAGCAGCGGTTCCGGTAGTTTTCGCAAGTAAAGCTTCACAACCGATGCCAAATTCATTGGATTCTCATTACTCAAATCGATTTCGTCTTCTGATGTACACCTGAATCGAGAACATCAAATTAAGTGTCAAATGAATCATCTACCGTTCAAATGCATTACAAATCTCCTCAATTTTCGATTTCACCCCGCATGTTCGGTATATTCCTTTTGCACGAAGACCCCTTCGTTGCAGTTGATCGATACTCTTTTCAAGAATCAACGGAATATGCCTATTCTGATGTTCTAGCAATCCTTTGAGTGAAACACCGAATATTGATGTTCGTCGATCGACCGATTTTCCAGTTTGTCCGCACATGGTTGTTATCTTAATTCGAATTGATTTTGAATTCGATCAATATGGTTCGATACCCTGGGAAAGCAAGCTTTGTGCCATTGTCCGCCACAATCGATACATTGCACGGTGTACAATATCGAGAGGGTTTCGCACGCCGAACACTTCGACGGCTGAACGGTTCTCTGAATGTGATGCGAGTGGGCCGCTTCGGATATTTCGTGATTGTCGAAAGTACGGCCGGCTAAACAATGCTTCAATCAGAAGCTCTGGAACGAACGAGACTAACCATAACTAGTCTTCTTATGGCGTTTTGTGTCCGGCAATACACCTTCGTCATCGGGATTGATCGCATTTCGTCGAAGCGAAGTCAAAGATGACGAACCATCGCATGACGCAACTCCTTCATCAATTGACCTATCCGATCTGAACATTTTTTTTTGAAATTTATGAACCCATGAAGACTTTTTTGAATACCTGACAAGACTACTACTGGATGCTGCACGAGTTGGAAGCGTCTGTAGGAATGCCATGTATTCAGTGCCCGGCTGATAGTCCCTTGTCGCATTCGACAACTCGTGAAACGATCCTGGCAGTCGAGCCCACAATGCTGCCAACGACTGAAAACATGGATCTTTCGAAATCCGCGAAACTCTTTTCTTGAAATCGAAATTCCGTGTTTTTTTTTGGTTATATCAAGAAACATTTTTTAAATGTATGCGCATAAAAAAGAAGCCTGAAAATCGGAAAATTCTCAAATAGTCTCTCATTTAAAATTACTGAAATTCCGGAAAAATTCTAATGAATTTTTTTGTCTCGAAAATTCTTCATATTGAATTTTGAATTATGTTAAATATGTGAATAGTTTTTAAATGAAATTTAAAAGGAAAAATGGTGAACAAAATGATACCGTAAAATAATGAACAGTACAGGCTTTGGTGGTCTGCTCACACTGGAATATGAGCTCACGGAGTCGTTCGATGACGCTTTCCTGCAAAAAATATATCTCAGAGCTCACAAAAACAAAAAGTTGAAGGTGGAAAAAAAGGAAACAGACAGAGCATAGTGCCATTTTATGTCTTTTTTGTTGTTTTATTTTCCGCGTTCGCATATTCCTAGGAGACTTGCTCGATTTACGAGATTAAAGACGCAGATAAATGAGGGAAAAAAAAGAAAGTTTTTTGGAGAGGCGGTAAAAAAAAAGAATGAATGATCGAATGCCTAAAAATAATCATGAAAACGATACATATCGAATATCATGAATGAATGGATTTTAGCGCATGTTCGGAAGTTGGAAATCTGACACTTGGTTGTGCAAAAAAAAAAGAAGAAGACGCCTAAAAAGAAGATGAAGGAAATAATAGGAAAAAATGGGAATTTTGAGGAAATTGGCGACAAAAAATGAAAGAGGCGAACACAAATTCATTGAAAGAAAGAATATTTCGGTGCGAGCGAAACAATCAACAAAAAATGATGACATTTTTACGATTATTATTATTCTTCTTTTCATTGTTTCTACAGTCATCTATGTATTACGAGGAATATTTTCGAAATTCAGCAACGTTTATTTGATTTTTTGAAACATACAACATGTTTTCCTTCAAAAAACCAAGAAAAAATTATGAAATTGCGAGTTTGGGTCGATTTACGAGCATGCGCCTTCAAAGAGTGCGCTACATGTAAAATTTTTCTTTTTTATTCGAAGTTTCAATACGAAAAAAAAAATTCGTTTGGAAAATGTATTTAAAATAAAATTTGCAGGCCACTTTTGAAGGTCCCTTCTTGATCTACCCATTTCTAGCTAGGATTCACAGTGAATTTTGTGTTAATCAAATAATGATTGAGAGAGAGAGAGAGAGACGAATATTGACTTTCAGAATATTGAAAGTTTCAAATGTTCTTTCTTTTTTGCTATTTTCACTTTTTCAACACCACATAATCCAAAAATTGCTGAAAAAGGAAACAATAGAAGGAAAATGAGAAGGGGAGAAGACAAAAAAAACGAATTGAAAAAATGAGAGCGAATGAGCAAAAAAGTTATGAATGAATGAATGAATGAAGCTATTTTGATGTCGTCGATCCCACAGAAAATGCTTTTCCTTTTCCGTTTTCCTTCCTTCTTTCAGCCCCGTTCTTTTTTTTTGCTTCGTTCGCGGTTACACCATATTTATTCTGGATGTCGACGATTTATGCTCTTTTCGGAATTGTTGATGAATCATGGGCGGCCGTTGTCGGCGGCGGATCAAACGGCACACCTACACAGCTCATTTGATATGAAAAAAAATGCGAATATTCTAATATGGAATCCAAAAAAAATATGAAGTTGAAATGAAATTCGATTTTAATTCGATTTCGATCCGCCCAATTTTATTTTATTTTGCATCGCTCGCATTTTCGACGTCGAAATTGGCCAAAACCACTGATGAATACGATCGAATTAATTGCAATTTTTAAACCTTTTTTGTCTTTGTTGAAACCAACACATTTTCAATTAAAAAAAACATTTTTTTGTGATTAATTTTACTTAATTGACATATCTAATTTGATATGAAATAGTCGAATATTTGTGGGAAATGAGAGCGAGTCATTTTCAAATTAGGATTGTTATATCTGTGTGGACATAAACTGGCCCATTTCTCGGAAAACGTCGCGGCAGGACCACGATGGCAACGAAATGAATTTTGGAGATATGAATTGGTTAGGTTTGAATGGATTCTTGACGTCATCGGGATCACATGGAGAAACAACACAAAACGAAATAAAATGCGGTCTTCATTTTTTCTGCTTCTTTTCTTCTTCATCTCCTTCTAACTTTTTTTTTCTGTTGTCATCATCATCGAATCGACATCATCAGGCTCATCATCATCGCGTGCTCTTCAGAATATTCGCGGCGCTTCTTCTCTTTCTTCTCGTTTTCCTAGTGTTACTTCATCTTTTCGAGGTGAAGAAGCGCCGAAAACTTGATTACCGTTGGATGTGAGAATGACTAACCACAAAATGAACAAAGAATCACAGCGAAATTCATATTAACCGTATGCCTACTACTAATTCTTTTCAATTCAACAACAATTGCAAACTTTCGATCAAAAATAACTTTTAAAAAAACGCATTGAAACTGATTATTTTTAGTTTTTTTAAGACTATTTTTTGGAATTATCTGAAAATTCTATTACATCGTCGTCAGGACAATATTTGTACTTTTATGGACCTATTCATGCAATGAAAAAAATTTAAAAAAAAATCAATTTTTTCATTTGAATTCCCTATTGAAGAGGAAATAAGTAACGGATTGAAGAACGAAGAAAAAAACCAATTATTGGTATAATTACTTCTAATTCGACAATTAATGTCTATTTTTCGCCATTTAGATACTAATTATCATGAGAAATTGTGATATTTGTGTTGATTTGATGCAGACTTCGCTCGATGACGTTTGTGATGAATTTTTAACGTTGATTAAACAAAATCTCTTACAGATTTCCAAAAAAAAAACGTTTTAAACGCTCAAAAAATGAACAATTCGAAAAAAACAGCCATAAAAAAATACAGTACCGACTTCGCGACGAGACCTGCGCAACTTTTCGCGTGCGCCTTTGAAAATAAATAGCGGAGGATTACGATATATCGCGTTAATTTTTTTTTGTAATTTTCGACGTGAAGGAATTCAATTGAAAAAAAATTGATTTTTTTAAAATTTTTCATTGCATGAATAGGTCCATTATAGTGTAAAAATCTGAAATGAAAAAACTATCGACGGTTATCAATATGCTGCATGGTTAATGATGAGGTTCGGCAGCTCAAAAAATATATTTACAACGGTCAAAAAGCTCTTGCTTAGAAGAAAACCGAAAAAAAAAACATTCTGCAAATAACGTGAAAAGCCGAAAAGTGCTTGTTTTTATAAATTTATTGCGGCAATTCCAGAGAGATTCAACCAAAAATCATGAGCTTCGTAAATTCTTTTACCTTTCGCACGTCCAATGCACATATTTTCGTTTTTGTCTTAAAGAACCGTAGCTTAAAATATATAAGCTCACAAATTTTCAACAAAAAAAAAACTTTGCACAACTTTCAGTTTGTTTCGAAGTCAACGAAAAAGTTGTGAAGTTTTCAACGAGATATTCTCATAGGAGTCAATTGGAATATGGACAATTGGGCTCAAAAAAGGGCAACGGTCGAGACTGCTGTTGGATTCATGCGTATTGATCTCGAAAAAATTAGAAATTATCGAAATGTACGATAGAATGCAAAAATAACTACAAAAAGCTATTTTGTTTTTTCGATGCACACGTAATGAATCCGTGCGAGACCATCGCGAATGCTCGTAAATCGACATCGCGTACAGCAGTCGCCTGATGTCGACTATATGAGCTGGAAAGGCACGAATTCGTAAAACATGATGGAAAATTATAAAAATCTGTCACGGCGAATTTCATAATGGAGTTTGAATATCCATGTCAACGTCATCAACTTCCGATGACGAAGATTTTTTTCAGCAAAAAAACGATGAAAAAAAGCCAAGTTTCTCATTGGGAAAAAACAGTCAAAAAGAAACAACTGACAGATTATTAACTAAAAAGAAAAAAAGAAGAATAAGACGGCGACGAGGATGGCGAAGACAAATTCTGAGAAGAATTACAACTTTTTACATACACAAATAAATAAAAAAAAGGATTCAACAAATTGTGGAAGAAGATGGAGATGAAGAAGAAAAGAACAAGTTGAAAAAAAAAAAGTTCGAATGTGGAAGTGACAGATTCAATAAAATAGCGGAAGAGACGACGAAAAAAAAAACTGGAGAGCCATCACGTTTTTATTCACCAAATATAATTTAAGTTGTGACAATTTGAGCATAATAGTGGTCACGCGACGAAATTGGCTCGCAAAAGAAGGCTTCTAGTAGGCGGCGAATATCAGCCACCGGCGACGTCGTCATCGCTCCTCTCTCTCTCGCTTCATGTTTTTCGTTTGTTTGCAAATTTCATTTCATTTTATTTTTGGTGGCATCGCCGAGTTTTAGAATGCGCCACAAAAAAAAGAGACACGCATGCCACCAATTTTCGCCTATTTTCGTTTCTTGTTTTCCACATGAAAATGAGGCGAAGCGTCGAATCAGAAATGCTACGCCGACGATGTCAAAGGGCATCTTTTATGACAGAGAAGGAGCGAGTGGGAGGATGGCGCAAAACAGTGAAAAAATGCATAACGAAAAAATTCGTAATCAAATTTCAAATGGGGGGGGGGGTTCTCTTCGAGTTTTCATAAAAAAGAGATATTCGCTGAAATGTCAAATAGAAGAAATCTTCGAAATTTGAAATTTCTAAACGATCAGTAAATTTCGATTCTTTTTCTGATCTCGAGAAAATTCATATCATATTTTGAGACTTTTTTCTTATCCAAAACCAGTAAAAAAAAGAGTTTGGACGCAATTTTTTTTTCGAAATGTTGGTTAATCAGATTGTGTAGGAAAATGAGAAATGATTCGTCGAAAATGAAGCGATACTGCCGAAACACAGGAAATTGATTTCGATTCACGGCCGGAAATTAGACGAACCACAAGACACCGTCGAAAAAATGAACTCGGCGTTGGGTTGTGACTCACATCATTGTCATATGAAACTATGAGCATTCAGACGGCCGCGTCATTCTTTTTTTTTCTCATAAAATTCTAAAGCCCAATGAATCAATTATTCAATGAATTCGGGGTGTCGAGTCAGCAGACATTGGCGAATTCGTGAGCCGAATCGGCGATGGTCGCGATTGCACGGGTGTGTGCTTCGAATACGCATACATTTACGGATATATGTATGAATTGCAAACATTTGACACGATTAATTAAGCAGCAAAAATTCCAACAAAATGAATCAGAAAAGGTTTGCAGCAAATATTATTATAAATTGCAAGAAAAAGAAAATTAAAATTGCAAGAAAAAGAAAATTAAAACGAAGGCTCACCTTGGTTTTGTCAATATCCCGCCGCTTTTTGCGCAGCTCGCTTGCAATTGACAACACTTGTCTTTCAGCTTCATCCTTCTGGAAAAAATCGCTGGATATTTGTATGATAAAAATACGAATCAAACTACATTTTTTGTAGCAAACAAATTCATTTGGAATACTGTATTTGAATTGATACGGTAATCAAAATGATTCACATTAATCAAAAATCATTCATATTCACGAACTATGAGGCTATGAATTATTCTTAAGATTTTCAATTGTCATTATGAAACTATAATATTATATAGATTATATGATGATAATTGAATACCTTTGCCATGGCTTCTTCAACGGCTCGATTCTTTTTGTCGATGTCTCTTCTCCGTCGAGATGCTTCGCGTTCTGGAGGAGAACTTTCTGTCCTTAAAATGCTTTCTCGAGCCTTCTTCAAGGCTTCCTCTCTCAAACGAAGAGCGACTTTTGCTTTGTCATAAGCTTCTTCGCAATCGTGCTGAAAAACAACATGACTAGGTTTAATTCATCATCAATCTACCAGAGATTTGATCGATTTTGACCATTCGATTTTTAGGCTATTCCGGCTGGCATCATGCTCTTTTCTGCGACCATCCAGTGCCTAAATTAGAAATGAAAATATTTCAAAATGTTCGAAAAGAAACTCTTACCTCGACAACTCGATCCCGAATATGCTCAGTAGTCTCTTTTGTATGTGAGACCATCTCGACTTCAGTATCAAACGAATTCTCAAATATCTCGCGAAGAGGCATAAACGGCTGAAAACATTTCTTATATGAGTAACCGATTCATTTATATTTGATAATGGCCTTCTGTTGACACTTTACTTAGTCGTTTTCTTTTCTAATTCCTAACCCATTTATTTGTTTAGTGACGCGTTTTGCCGAATTCATTTGGATTCCAATTTCCGACCGAAATTCTCACAAACACCTTACCTTGCTAATGTCGCGTCTCGAAGCATCAACGAGTGCTTGAACTTTTCGAGCATGATCTTGCTCCAACTGGATTCGAGCTCGCACAAACGCGATAACATCTTTGCAATATCTAAAATTGCTTTAATTCGAATGCTTCAACAGAAACCAATCAAACAGGCTCCATGCTTTCGTTCTTTCGAACGCGACGTCGACACCGTCAGAACGGGCAACTAGTAGTTTGTCGATTTCCATCAGACGATCGTTTTGCGATTCTGAACATTTTCCAAATTTGACACCCCGATAGATGATTGAGAAACATACGATCAAATGGGCCGACTCCATCGGAAATCGCAGTTTGATGAGTCGAATGTCGTCGTTGAAGTGTCAAAGAAACACTATTTGATTGACGTGGGTAAGCTTCGAGTGAGTTCTGAAAATGAAAACAATAAAGCAAAAATAGAATTACAAATTTTCGTTGATGATTTTTTTGTCCACAATTTTGAAATTTCCCACATGATTTGTATGGGAATCCAAAAAAAAAAACAGATTGATGCGAGAAAACTTGAGATTCGTTTGACACCAACTCGGTAATAAATAAATATTATTTGAAACATCTTTTCATCGATTTCTAGCAAATCTCTTCTCATGCCAGATTCGTGCATTTCTAATTCGTTCGAATTTTTTATTCTGCGGCAAATTTTAAACACAAAACCATACATTTTGCTTCCAACGACCCAATGTTGAACTCCTCGTCGGCGTATGATGTGCCGATGTTACGATGTGACGATTTCTGGAAATTTCACACAAAATTCCAAAATTAGACAAATCGATGAGACAAAAAATTCGGGCAAAGCTCGAGTTTAATCCTCTATAAGAAGAGGTCGTAAAGTTTACAATCGAAAGAAAATCCCACTCGGAGCTTTTATGTGGAAATTTGGTCTCTCGTGAAATGCACAACGCCAAACTCAACACACATTCGTCTATAGATAGGCAACACGTCGAAATTACGAATAATCTGATCATCTTCTCATTTTGCTTCACATTATTCGACAATTTGTTCTCCATTAAAATTGAAAGCACACAGTAGGCATTCGGCAGAAATTGTTTTTGGTACCCACTCGAAAAAAAAACCTATCGACCATTCATTCGGCTCTAGAAAAATCAGTTCATCTCAAGAAACAGTTGAAGTTCGATGAAGAAAGGCATTTCGAAAAACGCGCTGGCCGTGTTCCGTTCGAAAAAATTCGTGAAAAATCGACAAAATCGGGCAGATTTTACGCAGCTAATAAGAAGAATCGGCTGAAACTCTACGCAATCTCGACTTTGCCGAGATATGCACGAAAATAATTGCGGTTCGACGTTTTCTATAGTTTGATTCCAAAAGACTATCATAGTCCGAATTTGAGTTTCTTGAAAGTTTTTTTATACGAAAATTAAAGCTTTTTAAAGTCAAAACACAATAATCTATTCGAATTGCCATCAAAAATGATCTTCGTTTTAAAATTTTCAGAGAAAAAAATTAATTAAGCCACCTGAACCAACTAAATGATGTTTTCAAATAAAAATTATGCTGTGAGTCTCAAAAATCTTTGAAAATTATTGAAAATTGGCGTCTAGTTTAAAAACTTCGCTACAAACTGCCACGTGCGGAAACTGTTCTTTTTCAAATCATTTTTTGAATCAATAATCGTTCAAAAATAGCTATCCGATTTGAAAAAGATTTATTTTTATTATGCGGCTTATTTTTTTATATAAAAAGTAAAAAATTATTACTCCAAAAAAAAAAACACTTAGAGTGTAAAGAAAAATTTTGAAAACGAAACATTTCAAAATCAAATTTAAAAAATAAATAAAACGCAAAAATTGAGATCTAGACCGAAAGTCGACAGTTTTTTTTTATTTCGAAAGTTTCGCAATTGTGAAAAATGTTGAGAATTTTATTAAAAAACGGGAATTTTGAAATAAATGATGGCGTAATTTCAAAAATTTTCTAAAAATGAAGAATATTTCATAAAACTATTATTAGCGAAAACCAGCACACACACACACACGATAATTACCATCGCCATCGTGTGCATCAAAATAAGCGCGTTCGGATTTCTGGTTTATTCACACTCCATTTTTTTTCATGTTGTGCATTCGCGAATAAATATTTTGTGCACGTACACAACGATTTCTGAACACTTCTACAGATGTGTTAACACTTACAAAATAATGTTGAGCACAGCTGATTCGAGCTGATCGATGATATTGATGACGGGGCTCGTGTCGACGGAGCACGTATCGAATTTCAGGTCTGAATTTGAAAATGAGCGAGTTTGTGTCGAAAAAAAGAGTAAGTGATGAGTGCTGACTGAGGTCGAGAGGCAGAAAGATATTTTAATGAGATGGGATATGAGGAGACACATTTTTCTTGAAAAAAAAAACATGAAAATACGCAAAAATAAAGGCGGAGAAGTGCTCAGTCGCATGGAAATGCAAATATTCGCGCATACCTTTGACGGCTTGGACGAGTTGAAGCGACGGCAAAATAATTGGATTGGTTTTGAATTGAGGATATTTGAAAAGGTCCCGCATCGACTCTGACACCATCTCGAGTGCCGCGTGCACATTTACGCACATTTGCTCGCCATCTCAAAATGGGCAAAAATGAGAATCAAAAGTGAATCATTCAATTCCGGACTAACCGACGATTGCAGTGTTCACGTCGAGAGTTGATCGAAGGCGATTGATGAATATTGAAAATCGGTCAATATCCCGTCGAATCGAAGCAGGAATCTAAACATTTTCCTTTTTTTTCAAATTCTTTTTAATATTTCGCAATTAGTTTTCATTCTTCGTAAGCATATGTATTCTCATTGGAATTCTTAATTCTAGAACATAATATAATATGTGATGGCTAGCAATCGACGTTTCAATTTCAACTTTTTCTTTTTTTTCCAAGAAATTAATTAATTGACTACCAAATGAAAATCTCATAATTTGTGTTCTGCATTGTGCCAATTTTGCCAATAAAAATATCCCTCTATGTTTTTTTCTCCAACAAAAAACGTTCGAGGGATTCTTCAATTATGAAGGAGATTTTTGAATGACATGCGGCGATTAAAAAATTGCAAAGCAATTATTTGTGTGTTGGCCGAAGGACATAATTGTCAATTCTTATACTACTGTAGATAAGTGATAAAGAAATCTATGATGCCAATCTAGAATTACCCTTCGAATGACTGTTTCTAAAATAAAAACCTCTCAAAGAAGCAAGTTTCCTGTGTTTCTTCGATATGCATGAAAAAAAATCATTTATTGATTTTCGGTGCTTATCATTTACTATATATATTGGAATTTGAAATGATTTAGTTTTTATGAACATAAACGTTTCGAAATTTCCTTAGTCTGGCTCTTCTTACCCTTGTATCGATAATGAAGTCTGCTTCATTTGACGAGCAGACGCTGCTCGTCGATGACATTTCCGAAATGCGAACCAATAATCGGCGATTTGTCCCAAAATTGCGGTGTCCGCAGAATGACTCCTGAAATATGTTGCATTCGAATCGAAGAGAACACATATTCAATAAGAACAATGACGAAAATGAGCCGAATGAAATTCTGACGGATTGATGCGCTCAAACCACCAACTATTGACGTCGATTTCCCACACGTCAAACATTTTTTTTTGGTTTTCTTCTTCTTCGTGCTTCTGATAAAAAAAATAAACAGAGCCGAGAAAATCGAGAAGATGCGCAAATTGAGCAAAAATTTGCGCTGCAACTGAGACGAGAACATCGTTGAAAAGAATTGGCAGAAAATAGAATCGACTGACTAAGGCCTTCTCGAATATGATTGTGGGCATTAGTTGGCGGTTGAAAACACATGGGTTTTCGTTGGATGTCCGATCAAAAAAAAAAGTTGGAATTTGATTAAGTCGGGGGTTGTTCGAAGAAGAGTGAGCGACGAAATGAGACGGAAATTATTCAACAGGCATGAATAATTAGAGGAAGGCTCGAATTAAAAAGAAACAAAATATCAAGTGATCGAATTGAAAAGACCATGTTTGTTAATGAAAACCGCATTTCATCAATTAGTTCTAATGGATTTGATTTTGGTATGTTAACGAATCTATCTCTCTCTCTCTCTATCTGAAAATATGTTGTGGCTCTTCGAAATTCATCTAATATGCTGTGAAGTGTCTTTTCCACAACCCGCTGATTTTCTCGGACCAGCAACGAGAAAAACGAATTCATTCACAAATAAGTTTTCAATTAGAGCAAACAAAAGAGAGAAAAAATGAAGAATGAAGGAGAAGGAAGCGGGCAGCAGCATCGAACGAAAAACATACGAATGTATGTTCGAAAATTAACAAAAAAAAACGGGAGAGAATGTTGTGTTTAAAACCGAGAACGCAAAATTTTTGGAGGAAAATGACTAATTCCAGCAGACAAATTTGATCGCGGTGCCGTCGGCCATCAACAACGAGAATGAAACACACATACATACGTCAAGTGCATTTCGAAGGCAGGCGAAATTTTTGTATTTCGAGAGAATGACGAGAAAATGAATGAAAAGGTCGTATGCAAGTGTGTCAAATTTGAAGAACAATGTTGACAAAAAAGACTGTTTGGCGGCGTTGGCTGGTGGTGGATCGAAACGCGAAAAAGAGGTAACCTTGTATGTCGAAATGTTTGAGAGATGATCGAAAAGATAGCGGCTTCCGAGTCTCTCGAATTCTCGTAGTATCACGTGTGCGTGGAATGCGACAAACCCATTACGAGGCCCTAATAACCAACCAATATTGCCCCGAACTTTTTTCCGCTCATCTGCTCGATTGCGGTCGGTCAGATCCCACAATTAACCATTGCATTTTTTTGGTGATTGAAGCTAATTGAATTGGGTTTTTTATTGTCAGATTGTATTTATTTATCCAACTAATAACGAAAACCTAGCAATAATTTGGACGCGAAAACCAATATTTTCGATATTTTCAATTATTAACAGGTTGTTTAAATAATTATTTTGTGTGGATAAATATTATTCAATTCGGCAATAGATTTCAGACCAAAACAATCAGAAACACATGTGTTTTTCTCGCCAAAAATATTCATCTATTTTGTTTTTCCTCGCATTTTTTTCCACAAAAAAAATATTATGCTAAAAAATTTTTGAAATCCTCTTGTTCGTCGAGATTATGAGCACTGTAGCAAATATGATGGGACCACGAATGACGCAAATAGATAGACGCACATCTGGTCGGAAATAATAGATCAAAATAATGTGATTTGGTTCGGCTCGATCTCGTTTTGCGTCAACCGACTCCCGAAAGAATCAATTTAAATGAACAGTGTGAAAACAAAATTGAATTTGGACGAGAAGAAAAAAATCTCGTAAAAACATTTTCCAAAACCCTCAGAAATGTGATTGAGAAAAACTTGAAGGAGCAACATTTTTGTTGGATTCCGAAAATAACTCGATGATTCCAAATTTTGATAATATTTAATGTAGTACAGGTAGCCACTTTTAAATGAGCTTGCTTGAAAGAAAACACTTATTTCGTTGTTTCACATTTTCGTCTATAAGCAATAAGGTCTCGAAACGATTGGAATCATTCTGTTAGAACATGAATATTTCAAAACCAAACGCCCCCGCAAATCCGAGTTGAAATTCTCTTCGGGCATCTAGCCAAACACGGTGACACCCAAACAAAATTTCCTATCAGATCATACTAGTCTAATATGATTGATTGAAACGGGTGTCTGTGTGTGTGTCTTAGTGGTTGTTTTTATTTATTAATCTATTTCTTCTGGTCATAATTGAATATTTTTAATTGAGGAAAGAAATGTGTGTTTCGATGAAAAGGAAAAAACGAAGACGAGTAATGTGTAAGAAATCGAGTGGAACGCGCAGTACAAATGAACTTTTGAATGATACTCATAAAAATTTAATAGCGGAAATAGATTTTTTTTTTTCTTTCGAGTAAAATAATTCAAACTTTCTTAATTATTACGTTTCTGAATAATAACTGAAATAATAGATTAGAATTCATCAAATTTTTTCACAAATTATTTCGGCTAATTCAAAACGAAAGGTATTACAGTATACCACTGGAGATTCATAGATCTCCGTGACTTCTGGTGAATGATGGATTCAATATATGGGATTGTATTTGTATGCAATTACTCAAGACATTCTCTCTTTTTTTTTCGTTATTCAATCGTCGTCCAAACAAATACGGCAATTTCAATTTCAGCTAAATCGGACGCTATCAAACCGCTTTCATCACATTTTTTTGATCGTCTTTGCAGCTGGACGACATTTCGTCGCGTATGCATATAAACAGTTTTTATTACCTAAAACGGGACAGACATAGAACGAAACGTCGGTTGAAGGCAAAAAAAATGATGTGTGAGAAAAAGAAGCTGACATGCAAGGCACCGCGGCGAATCAGCACGGATCAAGCTGAAACTGACAAACGGTTTACGATCGCAACACTTGATGTTCGCCTAGTTTTTTTTTAATGCATTTCTTTTCTTTGATCTGATTTTGGCATAAATTAACATGCAAAACGGGCTGACGAATAGTAATGATTCAAACAACGAACATGAGGGCTACGAGGTGATGGAGGAAGGTGATGGAGGAAGGCGATGGGGAAACCGAACGATCACACACTATATTCATGTATGTTCATACAATAGGTGTAAACAAACAAATAAAATTATACAAGAAAGTCTGGGCTCTCAGAATATCATCGAATCGGGTGGAAAAAGCGAAAGAACGATTATTCAAAATTATCTCAAAACTATACATTTCAAATTGTTTTAAATAATTTTAAGAAAACTGCACATTGACTTTTATTTAAACTTTTTTCCAGCGAAATGCTAAAAGCGATTTGTTGTAAATATGAATTTTTTTAAATAAATAACGTAATAATTGGATTCAAAATCAATAAAATTGTCCAATTAGAAAAAAAATAAGAAAATATAATTGAAAGAAGTAAATGGCGGGAAACGAGTAAAAATTGAACCGTCCTTGTAAATAAATTGCAAAAAAAAATGGGTGAAAGGCGTAATATTATTGGAAACGCAAAATTATTTGACCGGTTTGCACGAATAGCAAAAAAAAAGAGTGGGTTGAAATGTCAATGAAGTAGAAAAAACAGGAAACGCAAAGTTGAGGAAGGCAGAAGCAGAATACCAAGAATCGAAAGTCTCGAATTGTAATTTGCATTCGGATGACCCCCGCCCACAAACGACGCTCATTCAATTGTTTCGTTGTTTTCTATGTAATAGCAATATCACCGGCAATTCCTACCGTTGCTTCATCCGCCCGTTTTTCAGCGTCCATCCGAATATACGGGTCAAACATGATACGCACTTTCCGACGGACATGAAAAAAAAACGCGCACGGAACGAATCGCGACGAATTCGAAAAACGCGACCTCGATTGCATAATAATAATAATCGATGACAAAATGATTAAGCTGCCCCCGATTTTGGCTGCGTGAAAAATGTTTGAGAGAAGAAAAATGATAACGGATCGCGTCTGCCTATCACAATATTATTCTATGAAGCCGTTTGATAGCAGCAGACAAAAAGGGAAAGTCTCCGAATTTTTGGCATGCGACGAACTCGGTTCAATTCGTTTTCAGCGAAATACCTCCAACAGTAGATGGTTTTAAGAAAAAGAAGCTGAAAATAATAGGTATTCCAAATACATAATGATACAATAACACTTGAAAATGTCGACTATAATGAACAAGCTTTTTTTTGGTTCGAATAGTAATTGTTACCTCGCTGATTGCGAGAACAAAAACGCAATTTTGGCAGGTTTTCCACGCCCAAAAGCAAACAGAAACCGCAAGAAGTGGCAACAAGAAAGCAGAAAAAGCAAAAGAAAAGAAAAGAATTTGAAAAGACGAATATCGTAATATTATTATACACATATTTTCTTGTGTCGAATGCGCAGTTTTCAAGTCAAACATTAATATGATATACATACGAGTTTCAAAGTGTATATATGAGTCATGATGTTGTCGGCGAACGAAAATATTGAAAGCAGGCAAGACGCGCTGAATTCATCGTCTATAGTGTTCGTTGTTTTAGTTTTTCTCGGCTTTTTCAATGCGGTCCAATATGAATGGTTCACCTTTTGTTGTTGGACAAGAACCAGCAAAAAAGAAGGGATTTGATTTGAATTGAATCAATAATGCGTAAAAAGAAGTCTAGTCTGATTGCGAGCATTGTCTAACCAGACCGCCGACGGGATACCGAAGATAAACATTCATAACACCGATTAACATGTCAAAACGGAAAATGCCGGCCGAACAGAAAATGGAATGATCGCGCGGTGGCGAGCGAGCGAGCGAGCGGTCGTCGACTACGACGACGACGACAGCTGATGCAGATGTGCATCGAAAACAATTTCGATGGTGTGATATGCGCCAATTTGATGCGGGTAGAGTGATCCTATGGCTGAGACTCGAGCAATTCCCGGCAGGAAATGACGACAGGTTGTAATACCGAATCGAAAGTGTATCGCATTAGACAAACCAACAACACTCGAGATTTACTTCAATCTCAAACAAACTCCACTTCGATATAATGATTATTAGCTAACCGATTTGATGAGCATTTCGGAGAACAATGTGGAAACGAAAATGTATGAAGTATTTCCTGCTTTAAAATCGGGCACTACTATCTTAAAATATAAGAGAATTTCCGTTATATTACATAGTGCCTTAAGCGATAAAATAAATTAGAGCTTAAGATACACACAAATATTTATGGTTATATTTCAATCGGAAAACCAGAAAGATCGAATTGAATCAAGCAGAAACGCGTGAAACATTTACGGAGTTTGAATTCACAGCACCTTGGGTAAATTATGTTATGTTTGTGCTCCCGGAGCACACTAGATTTTGTAACTAAGCTTCACGCGGAAAACTATGACCCGAAACTCGGAGAGCAAACAACGATTAGAACAAGTTTCGACAATGCCAAAATGAATGTTTTTTTTTTGGAAAATGTTCCAAATTGATTGCAAATATGTAGAATTCAAATGTGTGATGCTTGATGCATTCATTTTTTTTTTCACTTTTTCAATAAATTTGACCACATAACTTTTCATTTTATATTTATATCTTATTTGTGTCAGAATAATATCATTCTCAAGTTTCCTTTAGATTTACCTAATTGAGGAGTAGATCATCGATGTGTTAACTACATATTTGTAATACTTTGACAATAAAACAAGAGGATGATAAAAATAAATTATTGACTTTTAAAGACGTGATATTCGTATAGAATTAAATTGTCAATGTATTGTCGACGTCGCGCGATTGCAAAAAATTGGCAAAATGCGAAAAAATTTAACAAGAGGTCTCAATGCGCCAAGTTTCCGCAGACGTCGACAAGAAATTGAAATTAAATTCTTTCGAATTCAGATGTTTAAGTTAACCTTTCTTTTTAGGTCCTTTCTTTCTTAGGTATTCAATTTTTCATTCGTAGTATTCATTGATTTTTGAGTCTCCTTCACTAGATGAATATCTTGCAGATTCTTCCTTGGCTTTTACGTTTTCAATGATTTCGATTTTTTCTTCATAGTTTATATGTTGGATGAATTCAAAAAGGTGTTAGGTCGTTTAAAAATTTCATTTAACAACAATAAAAACAATAAATACAAGTGAAAAATTCCAAGTGGACAAAATGATCACATCTACGTCCGGCAAAAAAAAACAAAGCAGCTTTTTTTTAGAAATGACACATTTTGAGAAAATTAAGGCACTTTTTTGAATGAAAAAAAAGTGTAAAAAACGTCATTTTTGCAAAATGACCGCACAGAATCAAATTTTTGAATACACTTTATTATTATTATTCTTTCGTATTACCAGTATCTCACAGAAATTACAGCAACATTCTTCTTCTTTTGCGAAGGATTTTGGCAATATTCGTATCTCGCGGACTCTGGCGTAGAGCATACTATGGTTTTGAGCTGATGTTCAGCTGCCTGCGATCTTCGGCCGTTTATAATAATCCAAGGAACCTAATGAAATACGTAATCATCATCAAAACAATCTCAACAAACCCAATTGACGTAGTCGGCTTTACCGGATTGGATACGCCCGTGCTCCATCATTAATTTAGCACCAAGCTGACTCTGAGCACAACTCATCATGCTGAAAGTGGAGAAAAATGAACTTAAGAAATTTGTTAATGAAATCTACAAATTCTCATCCAAATTAGGTCTTGGCACCACGTTTACAATGCATTCTTCAACTGCTTTGACCATTTTTCGTTTTCCTTGAAGACAAGCAACTGAAATTATGATTGGAATCACGAGTAGATCTGGAAATCAACAAGAATATTACCAACTGGAAGGTAGAGCTGTGGAATTCCTAAAGCGCTTATGACGCAAGCTTGAAGCTGATTCATTTGGCATTCAATTGGTCCGTGTTGGCATCGACACCTTGAAATATTCTTCGAATACTTTCATTACTCATTCGACCCACTTGATTCCGTCCGAACTCGTCAAACATGATGCCAATCCGAACGGATGATATGAGACGTTTAGCATATTCGTTGAACCTAATGCATTCCAAACCGGCATCAATTGCTCACGGAAAAACCTGCAAAATCACTTATCACATATTCATATATTATATTTGAATACCTGTTAGTATCTGGGCACGATGCTTCTCCAAATATTTCGATATTAATCTGGTTAGTCGCCAATCTTCTCGCTTGATCTTCCATCATTGCCTTGTAAATCTCCATTAAAGATTGGCATATGACGGTTGCCAACAACAGCGAGCATATCAATAATCGCAGAAGCATTACCTTAATCAAAATTTTGTCAAATGAAAATTACAATGATTTACACAAAAATTCCGTTTAAATCAACAAATGAATGAAACGCTTGAGAGTTACATCAACAATTAATATTGACTTTTTCTTATTATTTCAACTACAATTTGTTTGTGGTCTCGCGATGATCGCAATTTTCGACATTCACAATTATCTGAAGTAATCATTTTGAAATTTTAAACTTGATAAATAAAATGATTTTTCAAAGAATAGCTAATTAACGATTTAAGTTGCACCCAAATAGACTACATCTAGTTGGCATTTCAGGCGAGAATAACCATAATTCCTAAATATTAGATAAAAACCTTCAATAGTTTCATACAAAATCAAAAGAAAATTCGTTGACCTCAAATAAAAGCAATCCGCGAATTGTTGGTTTTGAAGGCAATCGCCAAGAAAAATAAGACAATTTCGAATTTTAAAACATTTTTCAATACCATGTATGTTCGGCTATCAAACGTTTTATTACGGGAAATAAAATAAAAATGGAAATATTTTCCACTTTTTTTTCAAATATGAAACAGTTGGAAAATGGTCAGAAATGCCGATATTTCGACGAGAGGATTGATTAACGGATTTCGTGATCGGTTATCATTTCTCTCGGTCGGAAGTGTGCCTCCTGATATATACACATTCATATGCCTTCAACGCAACTTTTCGTTATAACACCTAAAAAGGTGTCAAATGAGACACGAAAAAGCGGTGCGAGAATTGATGGTAGGAAAGGCGCGAAGGGCGATCGCTGCATGACAGATGATAATGAATAAGAGATCGAAAACGAATAGAAAAATGAGAAAACAAACTGAAAGAATAGTTTTTGAAATGAAATTGAGAACACAAATAATTGAACGGTCGAAAACACCGGCTGCAAAATGCAAACAATTAATCATATCAGTGAAACGAAGAGCAATTAAGAACCAAATCAAATTTGACGATACCCCCTCCCTGATAAATAATCACTAATAACTATGTTAATTATGCCGTATATAATAAGAATGGAAATTAAATTGGAACAATGGTAATAGCTTGGTGTTCATTCTACAATATTCGATATACCACTCAATTAAAAGCAATTTCCAAGAGCCCATTCAGTGATTAGATTGCAATTAAGGATTCACGTATTTCTTTTCAAGTTTAAACAGTTGGAATATTATAAACATGGCTTAGAATGCGATTATCCTTGTTTCGTTCTTTTATAATTTGACTTTATTCATGTTTATATACATTTCAACAACAACATTCGAAACAAAAAGAAGTTGCACACAACATTCTTAAAGCTCTGGACAAAATTTACAAAAATATTGAAAAATGTACAAATTTAATAGAACGATCGTCGAGGACATTCGATTGGTCGCGGGTGAAGGAATCTATCGCAAAGCAATTGCCATAAATCGCTCTCTCCTTCCTTTATTCTTTTTCCGTTAATTATGACCCATGGAACCTGGAACGAACATGATAATATAAAAATAATTAGCGGTTAATTACCCAATAATTATCTGGAGCATATTCCAATTTTGCCGCTTCGTGGCCCCAGAAGAGCTTCTTCCCTTTTCTTCCCGTCGCACATTCCATCATTCTAAATTCAACAATTTGGTTAGTTTCAGCGATACGAATTTCGACGAATTACTGTTTTCTGCTCAATCCCGGCTGATTGAAGCACTCATTTCCAGCGACAGTTGCATTTTCTTTGCCTTGAATGCACCCAACTAAACTTTTAGTATTTATGGTTTTTCTTTTTAATCAGAGCGGGTCAACATACCGTACGGCAGATGATCTTCGGTTCTCGGAAGAGCATCAATCACACATGATTGAAGTTGGTTAAGTAAACATTCGCGATCTCCGTGATGGCATTTACAACTGAAAATGTTCATTTTCCTTTAGTTAGTTGCTCCATGTTTGAATTACCTAATATCCCCATTTTCGGTATCAATGCACATCGTTTTGAGACCATAAGGATGGTATGTCAGATTGATTCGACCAGATGAGCCAAAAATTTTCCACATTGGCAGTAGATGGTGTTTAAACCAACTGAATTTGGAAATTAGAAGACGATTCAATTGAATGTAGAGTTGTTTGGGATTAAGAAGGGGTTGATATTCACTTACTATGTCGTGTCTCTGCATCTTCCTTCACCGAATGCGACAATCTCAACCACATTGCCTTCGCCGATGAATCTCGCACGAACGCTTGATAACAGTGCAATTAGTAGAATACTCGTAATCATAATAAGATAATGATGTGAAGAGACGGTCGTCTGTGAGTTGCTTAAAAACAGTTCGTTGGGCGTGTCTTGAAATTGAAAAAAACAATCGAAACGGATCGTCATCGCCAATCTAAAGCGTTCCTCCCCACATCACGTGGATGAATGATATCATACGTAATATTTATGAAAATATCATAACATCGATCTATAATAGCACACGAACTTAACATATCAGGATATGTGAAAAATGCGATTATTTGGAAGCTAAAAGCGGATTAATGGCAATCAATGAAAACAAATAAGAATCGAAAATAAAAATGGCACCATTCGGAGAACATTAGCTACATTATTCACACACGAAAGGAATGTGGTAACAATTACAAATAAAACAGAAAATTAACGAAGTGTCACCTAAAACTTCTAATTTACGACAAAATTCCATTTATTTCAGTTGAGCAAGCATTGCCGAAGGGTGCTCCAAGTAGAATTTCCATCTGAAAGTTTTTATTAAAGCATGGAATTTCAGTTCATAAGCATGTTTTTTATAAATAAAAGTTTTCCATAACAAGTTACCACGTGAGGTAATTTACTAGCTTCTATTGAAACTGTATTCTCTGGTCGGCTATTTAGAACTACTCAGAAAAATAAATAAAAAATGAGTAAATTCAAATGCAGAAAAGAAGAAAGATATCACATTTAATGTAATCTTTATATTTTTTGTAAAAAAAAATCAAATTTATGAATAGCTCAATAGGAATGGTTTTGCTTTGAACTTTTCTTTGATGCCTAGCAGTATCTCAAAAGCTTCCAAAGAATAATGAAATATCATAGCTGTGCGCTGGTTCCTACGAGAACGTTCTAGAATTAAAAAAAAAACAATTCATTTTCTTGATTATTACATATACTAAATGGTGAAGTTTTTTTACTAATTTACAGGGAAAAGTGCAATTCTTCGCTGATATATTTGTCTTACTTCTATTAATAGAAATGATATAATATCTGATGTTTGAAACGATATGTCCATAATACTGGTTTTACGTATCATAACATTCTTCTATAAGGAACTCGTGGATTCGATTCGGTTCAAAATAGTATCAAACCCAATGTTCTCAATACTCGATTTAATCTCGACAATAAATTAAGACAACTAGCAATCAAAAAACCATTTGTCACTTGTTTTTTGAACATTTCAATCAAACAAATTCCTCGTGCTGCCTTGGTCACACTCTGCCGGTTCAGAACTGACGAAAAACCGTGTTATCATTCGTATCTCAGACAGTCAATGTCAAAAGTTCACAGATACATTTCACATTACATTTTTAGATACGTTTTCAAAAGAATGTGATCCCACCTGTTGCTAAATCGAGCCATTGTGGCACCGTCAATGACCCGATGATCAGCTGACCAGGATACTTTCACAACGCTCGCCGCGATCACCTAAAATCTTGTTTCCTTGACCATCCCGAGATTCCTGAACTTACATTATCGTGTTTATCGAACCTAGGAATTCGTTCGATTTTGCCGATCGCTCCAATGGCAACTTGTGGTGGGAAAATGACTGGAGATGCGTAAGTTCCACCAATCTGAATATGATATTTGAAATTAAAAAAATATATTACAGACGTTTAATTCAGTTTCCATTTAACACGTTTTAATAAACGAAATTGAACTGAAATTAACTCGAAAGATAACAAAAATAAAAATAAGTTGCGTTAAAATCAACTTACAGCGCCAATGTTACTCAATGTGAATGTTCCTCCGATCAAGTCATCCCTACTAATTTGCTCGCGTTTTCCAGCTTCCAAAAGTCGCGACAATTCTTGAGCAATTTCGAAGATGCTCCTTAACATTAATAAAACATCAATACGAGCAGAATTTTTGATTGAAACCTTTGTTCGCAGTTTTTGATATTCGGAACAACGAGTCCTCCTGGAGTATCCATTGCGAGGCAAATGTTATGTGAAGCCTAAAAAAATGAACGAAAATCAACGTGCTCATCCTTCGAATTTGCCTTATGAATTATGTTCTCAAGTTTCTCATCAGTTGTCGCGTTCAAACCAGGAAACTCTAGTAATGCGAGAGAAGCCGCTTTGATAAAGAATGGCATATAGCTCAACTTGATATTTCGTTCTTTCGCTAGTTCCTTTAGTTCAGAGCGAATTTTCACAAGAGCATCGACATTAACCTGAAGAAAAAATAAAATATTGTGATATCTTATAAACGTTTTAAAACGGTCCAAGAAGGAAATAAAAAATTGAAATACCTCGTCGTTGTAACCGAAATGTGGGACTTTGAGAGCCTCAGTCATGGTTTTGATCATTGCACGTGTGTATCCACGAATTGGAATAACCACATCTTCTTTCAATGCTTCATACTATAACGATAAATTCAATTTTATGAGTGTTTATTCTGAGCACAACACATACGGATTTTCCCTGTTGAATTGGTGCCTGATGGGTTGTACGAATATTGACAGATCCCGATGAATGATCTATGAACGATTGGAAATATATATTTAACATGCATTAGAATAAAACCTGCTGGAACTTTTCCAAGGAATTTAAGAACGTCCTCTTTCAAAACGCGGCCGTCTTTTCCTGTGCCTCGAACATCAGATAATTTTATCTACAAAGTACTACGATATGTAAACAATTCCTTTCGTGAATTTCAACCTTATTTTCCATTGCAATTCGCCTAACAGCTGGTGTTGCCAGCACTTTTCCAATATTAAAATTTTCTCCTGTGTCTTGAGAAGGTGCGGTAGGAATTGATGCAGCTGGTGAAGATTCATTCGTCGGTTTTTCAGCTTCTGAAATGCTCTTTCGTGTAAAACCTTCACATACGCATTAGTTTTAATTAGATGCTTTCAAGATAGTGAAAATTTTCGTGCCCCTTGGGAAATTTGAAAATTGAGGATATTCGTTTCTGTGGAAGAAAAAAAATCTAAGAATTGATTTTCGTACGTTCAGATTCCACAGATCCTTCAACTTCAACATCAATGAGGGGTTGACCAACTCTCGCCATTGCGTCGACATCGTGATACCTGAATATCAATTTTTTTAATTTGAGCGACACGTCGTTTTCTCTTATCATCAAAAATCTAATAAAAAACAATCGATAAGAATTTCTTGACCCCGCATTTCAAAAGATGATCTGTTCAAATTGTGTACACGTGCAAACGAGAGCTGCACAGGAGTGCCTTTTCCCGTCGGCGTCTCCGAAAATTATCAATATTTTCGTTTTGCAAGTCTGGCGCAATATCAATGATCAAACGATGAATTGGAGATTTTTTTTGACAGCTCACTTACAGTTTTCTGACAACTCCATCATAACGACTAGAGATGGTGACGGCAGCTTTATCGCTTTGGACTTCGCAAACTTTGTCGAATTGGGAAATTGTGTCTCCTTCTTTGACATACCTGAAGAAATATGAAAAAAAATGTTGAAAAAAATATAGTTTTAAAGACCATTCTTTCAGCTGAACTTCTGCAATTCCTTCGCCAATGTCAGACAATTTGAATTGAACGATCGGCAGAAATGTGGCTATAAAGACAATATTAGAATATTATCAACATGGCTATCATTACCGTGTGATGTATGAAAAGATCTGCTGAGTCTAATAATCCTGGTCGGGGCCCCCAAAAGCCGAGCTGTTAGCATTATGTTATTAATTTAAGGATACTATTCGATATGGGAACTGAAAGAGCCAATTTTAGAAACAAATTGTAAACAAGGTGTTGTTTAAAAAAAAAAGTATAGTACCATAGCTATTACAAGTCTTGTGTTCAATGTCATTTGTTAAAAAAAATCAAAATCGGAAAAAAAACATGAGTATCGCGTGCCGATCAGCGGCGAGCTTGATTTGCAGTTTGTCTGTAGTAGGTACACGAATTCCAACTGTTTGAGTTCAAATTTATATTACGCCTCTAAAAAAGTACGGTGGTCCACAATTATTCAAGTTCTCATTTCTTGCGATGGTAATATTTAATTTTTATTCAAAATAAAAAGAATCTCCTACAGAAGACTGAAAAATCAGATATGAAATTTTCAAATTTTAAAAAGTTATTCAAGGATAATTTTTAAAACCATAAAATTACAAAAAAAATAAATTTGAACAGCCTAGAGCTCTGAAACATAAAATAGAAGAAGTACGCGAAATGCGCCAACGCAGTTATGGGCTGGCGCTTTCATCAGCTGGCGCTTATCTCATCTTTAATCGGCGGCAGTTTGAATAAGAATTCCTCCGTTGACCGGGAATGCAATTATTAACTGAACTAGGCTGCATTGAAATATTAAAAAAGAAGAAAGAGGCGAAGTTAAGCGAAATAAAATTTTCCTTTTCCGAATTTAATAATTTTTGGAGAAAATAAAGTTGGAAAATTGACAAACCGCAGAATTCCGAATCAGTTTGTTTCTGGGCAAAAACGGAGTAATGTTCGTCAGGGGTTTATCGAGAATGAGTCGAAATTGGGGGGTGAGAGGCCTCGTGTTCGGGCTTTCTACGTGAGAGAAAATGAAAAGTGTTATTTTTTTTTAATATGACAAAAATAAATTCTCATCTTAAAGTGAACCCAATACACCGTAATTAATGTGAAAATGTGGCGAAGTTGGTGTAAAAGATCTCACCAGACATGATGGTCCCTTGTAAGATATTTGTGGACTTTAAAGGCTTCAAGCAGTATTCTAGATAAATTCAGCATTCCAGAAAATCCCAAAATATGCTACGTCAAAATACTAAAACTGAAAGATTTGTAAAAAAAAACATGGTGGAAAATCGAAAACAAAAAAAAATCTGTAATTCTTGAAAAAAAATCTGTAATTCTGAAAACAATTCTGATTTCAAAATTGATTTTTTTGCCCAGCCAGGTAAAAAGTCATTTCAAATTCGTGATTCCATAAATATTTATGAAACATTTATTTCCTGTTCTGTTTGAGTTATATTTCATATACGAGCAAGCTTTCAAATCTTGTGAACAGAGGTAATGATAATACAAAACTATTCGACATTTTTCATATTTACGTCTGGGTTAAGCGTATTTCTATATATGTATATATTTGTTAGTTCAAAAGCAGATATATTTAAAGATGACGCTTGAGAAGGAAACGTAGTAATAACTGGAACTCTCGAATGCTTCCGGGCATTAATCTGAAATTAATTTTAGAATTAAAATTAATATATTTTATTCAAAATCAAATGATCTCTTCACTTTTACCAGTACACATTCTTTTTTTAGCTGCACGGTATTTTCTAATAAAAACTACAATATCATACATTTATGTGTTTTGTTCGACTGCGTCTGCGTCTCACACCACCCTTCTCTGGATGGAATTCGAGTTGATTCAACGGGAGTATGTTTCCGTGTATTGTCGTTTTCATCCTTTTTCGGCCTTGTCAGAATTTCCAAAAGATATGCGAATGGATGCATAACGTTGAATTCTTTGAGGGCCGACACTCTGAATTACTCAATTTTGGTTTGATTATATTTTTCTTTTTTTTTGCAAAATACCTGTATAGTCGTTTATGTCGTTCTCGAACCTCCATTTCAACGATATTCTTGTCAATCTCACTTCTTTCCATTATGTCAATCTTATTCTCAACAAGAACAACAAGAAACGATGATTCTGAGAACCTCGAAATTTCATTGAGAATTTCTAAAGCATACTCAAAACTCTACAATAATTAAATATTTCGAAGAAGCGTCAGAATTGCTTACGAATAAATCATTTGTCGAAAACACAACGGCGGCCGCGTCGAACTTTTCATGCATGTCTTTCGTCCACTGAAAAAAAATAAATAAATATGTGTAATTTTAAACGATTAGATTTAAAATAATGATTCCAATTCATCGTTTGATCGGGCAGCTCCAAATTCCCAGTTGGACCCTTTATCAAATGAAGTATTATTAGATTCGCACCATTTTCGAGACTTCGGCTTCAACGAGAATTTTTTCATTGTCAACATTCAACGAGGTCCAAAGATTTTCACCATCTCCCGTTGTGCTAAACGAATGCATTAGTGTCTTTTTTCCAACCTAGAAAATTGGGCAATTAAATAATTTATCAGTTTTTTAAAGATCTCAAATACTTTTTCGGCCCCGCATATGACCACTCGAAAACATTTGTCAAACATCGCGAAGTCTGGAGGCATTCTGATACGAAAAATGTAGATGAAAGACCTTAATAAAAACGAAATATGTATGTACAACCGAAAAGAATTTTAGTCGACGCCTGCCGACTGTTTTACGCGGGAAGATTTACCGGTATGAATATGCGCACGTGAACATTCTTTTTGGTAATATGTACATAAGTTATATTTCTAAACTGATTTTAAAAAAATGATTGTAAAAATCAGGGTTGGTAAATTGAAGCTGGGGCCGAAAGCCGGCCGGCCGGCCCGGCTTTCGGTTTTTTTGAATTCCCGCTTTGGCTGTGCGGCCGTAAACAACGGAGTCGGGGGCCGAAAATTTGACAGCGAAAAAAGCCGGCCCCAAAATTTAACAACCCAGGTAAAAATAATAAAAAACCAGAAATTCTGAACATTTTAAAATCTAAAACATTCAGATACAGCATTGAACTTTCAAATTTATTACATTTATGTGCTTTACTTTCACTGAAAAAAAAATGTTTATTTCGATTAGTATTAACATTGAAAAATTGAGCTCAGAAATATGAAATTATATACATGTATTTATTTTTTTTTTGCTACGAGATTTAGTATCAATTCAGCGCTAGAAAAATTGTTGAATTTGTTTTTCTTTTACTAAATGCAGCAATCACGTAAAATTTGACGCAAAATATGATTCGAATATTTATACGCTGAATAGGTCGTAATATCACAACAATGAAGACGAAAACGAAAGAAAATTGATGATCGATGTTTGGATAAATGTGTGAAAAGAAAAATGTAGTAAAATGTAGTTTCCACTTCTTTCTTTTTTTTTTGAAAAGTTGAACGGAAATTAACAATTCCCAGCAAAGAAACTGAATATATTCCGCTTTATTGGTGAAAAAAAATGAACGTAAAATGAAGGGACGAATTCAGTATAAATAGTCGGAATATATTCACATAATTAAAAAGAAAGAGCTTTTACAAACATAATTTTCAAAAAATCGAACATGAAAAGGAAAATATGCAAAATTACACGCAAATCACATATTCATACCGATTTTGCCCCAAATGAAAATTCTTTAAAAAAAAACTGAATAGATTTAAAATCATACAAAATTTTGCATAGAATTATAATCGAATTGAAAAATGAAAACGAATGGAAAACTTCTATTTGGCACCATTTTTAATCATAGAATTCATCATTTCATCTGAACAAAAGACGGGGTACAAATATGAATAATCGCATATAAAAACGAACATTTTTTGAGGAGGTGAATTAGTAAGAGCAAAATTGAAAACGAGGCGGAAAAGAGGGCGGAAATACGATTGAAGTTGAATGAATAAATCAAAATATGTATGAAAAATGGAATTAGAAGAAAGCAGTCGTGGAAAAAAAAAAAGAATGCGGCCGCATCGAATGGAACCTGTCAAGTTGAGTTAGTGCGAAAATGTGTGGCCGAAAGAAAAAGCAACGAATTGTGGTCGACTAGGGCGAACGGAAGTCGTTTTTCAATGAGCCGCTCAGTGTACCAAATTTGGAAAAAAAAAAACATTAGACGAGAAATCAAGAATCACTCGTATGCAGTTCTTTGACATTATCGAAAAAAAAACGAACAAATATGGTCAAGCCTCATTTCGGATTGCTTATCTCGAAAATATGCTGGTTTCCTCATTGCATTGTGTCATTACAAATACAAAAAACTGTATATTTGATTCGCAGGTTATCCGTTGTACGGTACTCGAATTCCACACCCCACCCAAACTCGATAGTTTCCTTGAAATGGAGAAAGGCGTTTGAATTGCCGCCAAACGGACTAAAGATATTTTTTGGGTTTTCTCGCAAATATTGGAAGCGTCGCGGACGGCGGAAAATTGGTTAAATGTCCAAAAAACAATGACAGTTGTCTTGGCTCAAAACTAAAAGTGCAGATTTACAGCTATAAGTTTAAGGTTAAAGATGCACATGGCGCACCAAGGAATTTTTTTTAATTTTTTGGTATTCTGCCAATTTTCTACAGTCGATGATGCCATTCAGTTTTGGTCTGATATTAATTTATTAAATTTGAGATCTTATTCGGTCGATTTTTTCGCTGCAAATTTGAAACTAAAAGAGATATTTTTGAATTTAGTTTCACACTACTACTGGACATATAGTTAATGCCAAGCAGTTTCAATCAATATCGAGTTTGGGCGGTAAGGTCGGCTTGCGGCAACTGCGGGTAGATTTACGCGTGCGCCTTTCGAAATGGTCTCGCCTCGGTGAGATTGGCATCTCCGTGAATTCCCAACTTCATTATTGAATATACCCATAAAATGCAAAAAAAATCTATCCGCTTAGAGCAGTCGCCGGATGCCGACTATATGTATCTTTTTATCAAAATTTGAATTACCGCCACAGAAAAATTATGTTAATCCACAATTTCTCCGAGTGCTCGTTTTTTGCGATGTCACAGTCGGCGTTAAAGTACAAAAATATATGCCAATTTTTTTCAATTGGAATAAATCATCTGCAAAGTTCGATTACTGTACATATAATTTCATAATTGTTTAAATTGCCCTAAATTTATAATTGAATCATAATTTGATGTGATTTATTCATGTCATGTAAACTGTGCCATTATTTTATCGAAAGGGGATTTTGGAAAAAAAAATGTGAAAAAGGCTAAGTGGTGCATTGTGTAGATTTACGATGAGTTTCATATCCAGGTTATTCACGGCACTCATATTCGCACTGTTCGAAATTAAATTTAATTTGGAGCGTAGAAAATATTTGACGATCCGCAACCATTCAAGATGTTCGTTTTTATTTTGCGAATTGAATTTTTATTTTAAAATAAAAAAAATATGCGATTTTCTGGGAAATCCCGTGGTGTTAAAAAACCAACCTCGGTTTGTAATTTGCGAATTGCTTCTAATCTAGCGCGTCGTTTCTCAAAAAAAAAATAGCGACTACCAGAATTGGTGTTGTAGTTCCAACGCTCTGCGGTTCACGTTTATGTGTATAAAGAATTTTGAAAACAAATAAACGGATCATGGCGACATTAAATAATTACGGTAGCGACATTTTTTGGGAACAGCCTATAAATTGTTGTGTAATCACCGCGTATGATCTCTGCGGACTTGCAATTTAATTTATACCTTGCAACTTCAAAAACGACAAGGGTTGCGAGTTTTTCTCGCCAATAAGCAATCGCTTTTGGCGAAGTGGGCATATAAAACCTATAAAAAAGCAGCATCAAAAAGAAACAAATTGAAAGAAAGGGCAGGCTCGATGAAGGGAAATGAAAGTATTTCTAAAATTTAATGAGCTATTGGTGCGATTTTTTTGTTGAAATGAGCTCTTTTGAAGTTCATCAAAACAAACACCAATGAATGAATATATTAATTTAAAAAAATTGAATAATAATTTTTCCAAAATTTTGCGTCGTTTCTAGGTTGCGGGGATCCGTAAAAATTGGGCGACCCGCAATGAGTTACCCATTTTTGAACGTAATAAATGCTTCGAATTAATAATTTTTTAATTCCATTTTTTATTACCCCATTTTCAGGCCAAATTTTTCAAGAAACATTGTTTAAAAACTACTAGTAAATTATAGACAAGCGATATGAATACGTTGCTGCACTCTGCTCGGACCAGATGCAGAATTTCAGTACACTTAGAAGAAGCTGCGTTGAGTATACTGAAAATATGCGCAAACTCCGCTGAATCCCATCAACATCTGCGCAGAATTTCAGCAGAAGTTCATACATAAAATTGCACGCATTTGATGATTATTTCGAATTTCCTTTATAAAATATATTGTCGAAGTAGATCGACTCGGAAATTTCAGGGTCATCAAAATGAGGGACCAGCCTCTCCTGAGTCTTATAGGTCTGTGGAAGCACTGTGCTTGAAAACCCGGGAAAATTGGCAAAATACCAAAAGAAAAAGTCTTGGCGCAACATTAAAAGTGTACATTTACATTTTTGCATAAGTATAAGTTAAAGTCACACACCACTCACTAATAAAGATTTCCGTTGAAAATCGAACATTTGTAGAAAAATTAAATTTTTTTGAAAATTGGTGCTTTTATCGAGAAAATAAACAAAATTGGTAAATAGTATGCAAATTTCAGTTGACTGCTTGATAATATCTATGTATAACCTTACATTTCTTTAGAAATATAAAGAGAAAAAGGATTTAGAAAGCTGTATATATTGCGATTTGCGTGAATTGTTGGTGAGAATACATGTGGTAGATGATACAAAAAAGGATAGATGCTCGCTACATTAAATGTGTTGAATACCACAAAAATCTTAGTCAAACATGCGTTGTTGAAAACAATCATCAAAGAGTATAAAAGGAACATTAGAAAACGCCTTTCTCAAACAAAACAAGAATGCGATTACGAATAGTAATGGCACATAAAAAACGAATACTCATTCATTCATCCATTATTTTTTAGTACCTGACTCGTTTGTCACGACGTAGAAGCATTGAATAGGGTATTAATTGGATGGCCGGTAATCCGGAATCGAAAAAAAAACGTTCAAAAATAGGAGACGCAGAAAAATGAAGAGAAATTCGAAGAAAAACATATTGTGGGTGGATTTTATTTCCATGTTTTTCGTTTCGGAATCGAGGGAATTAGTTGTAAGAACTTTGCTCATCATTAAAACATTATATATAATATTATAACCTAGTCAAAAAAAGACGATTCGACATGAGTGTTGTATTTTATGTTACGGCATTTAAACAAGATCAAACCGAAAAAAAAGGCCTGAAAATTTATATCGCTTTAATGGTGGTTTTAAAAAATTTTTTCACCTGTTTAAAAATCAAATACATATTAAATAATTTAACAATTAAGCACATTTCTTTTCTGGTCCGACTTCAATTTGAATTTACATTTCAAATCAACGTTTTATCCCACGATTTTACAAAAATTCAGTTTATTGTTTCCTTTCGAAAATGTCAAAAAGAATACAATATAGAAGGAAAACAAAAGACACACAAAAATGCGTGTAAAGTTGTCAGATGAGTGACGATATCTGCTGATCCGCATTAAACCTGTATTTTTGCCGCCGTATCCGCACAATTATATTCGATTTATGGCAATTATATTTTTTAAAAGACGCAAACAACTACACACAAACTATACCAATGGGCTTTATGTAACGACAAAAATAAATATTCGAAACGAAAAGTCAAAATCATCTGCGAAACAATAACCTTAACTCGTTAAGATTACATTTAATCACATACGGTAAGAAGAGCACATGGAAATCTTGGGTTGGGGAGAAATATTTCAAACAAATTAAAGTACTGACATTTCAGAAAGAAAATATTGAATGAGAAATGTCTTTATCTTAAAAAAATACACTCGTTAATGTGAGATAGTAAACATTTCTAAATTAAAACATCACCAGATGAAATGTGAATGTTGGCTAGAATGGAATCTACTATACTTTATTTGCTTTCTTATTACCGAACGCAGCCTAATATGTATGTTTTATTGGGAAGCAATAACAGCTGCTAATGGGAAAGAGGTGGATAGATTCGAACAAATCGATTAATTACCCGGGATTAATGATTGCGCATCAAAGAAGCACTATTATCCTACGACCACCTTTCCAGTGTCTTCTTTTCCGGCCATTCTCGGTTTTCCGACGGTGAACGGAATGTAGCGATATTTGATCATATGCTGAAAAATGACTTAACACTCATAATTTTATTTTTGATGTACCATTATTTGCCGTTTGAGTGTGAGGAAAGTCAGAATAATGAAGTACATGACGAGAATCGGCCAGAAGACAGGAACGTTGAAGAATTCGAAGAAGGTGCACGTAGTAGCAACAATAGTTGCCTTCATGAAAGAGTGCCTGGAATATCAAATGTATTGGCTAAATTCCAAAAAATTTAAAAAGGTCTCGGTGGCCCTTTAACCTATCCTTATACCTAGACCCGGAAATCTACGCTTTCAGCCTTGCAGGTCATTGACATTGTTTTTATGTGGCATTTACCCAATTTTATGCAGTCGCGCGATTTTAACAATATAACTTGAAAAAGATAAGTGTTTCCGTAATGGTCCATAGCATTTATGTTAAAGAAACGGTAAATTAATAAAGCATGAAAGATATTGATCTTAACTTCTGATTAACCGAGATTTCACACCTTTTAAATCTGTCAGAAACTATTTCGAGAATTAAACTTAAAACCTAGATTTAAAAAAATATATATTTAAAGTTTTAAGCTGGACAAACTAACCAAAATTTGAATTCAGGAAGTCGACGCATGAATGGACGGAATTCGTCGTTTGTTTTGGATGGAAGAACGGGACCATCATCGTCGTCCTAGAAACATTGAATTCTTTTCAATTTAATAAACTCGACCTACATCGTATTCAAGAGCTGGATCAATCGAAGGAGTTAAGAATAGAAGGAACAAGTTTAGATAATAGATTCCTACGGCGTAGGCAACTATGTAGAATCCCTGAGTAAAATAGCATAATGCAAAAAATAATCCTGACAATGTTTTACTTGCAAATAGATTATTCTTCCAGCGAAGAAAAATAGAGAGAGAATGGCAATAACCCAGCGAACAGCCGTATGCGGCGTGAGGTGATCAAGGTAATATTGATATTTCTGAAAATTTAAAACATTTCCACCTGAACTTTTAATTGATACAATACATACCACTTCAACTCCATGGAAAAAACGCGAAACAACTCCTGGTCTGTCCCTGAGTCCATCATCCATGTTTTACCTAAACTGATCAATGCAGAACTAATATTTCATAAATAAAACAGGTATTAAATATAAAAAACATTATATTTTTTTTTAAAATAAAAGAGTTGTATATTTCCTATAATTCTGTTGAAATTTCGAAACTTGGGCCTTCTATTTTTATAAGGCTATGTATCAATAGTCATTCGAAAGTTTTTCCATTGCAAAAACAATTTTTAAAAAACGTATTGAAATTTTTTGAATTATCAGATAACAAAAAGCGAAAGTGATAAGACGTGCGATGTGAGAAAAACGGATTGAAATTGGAAAAATGATATCGATTTCCGTGGAACACGTCAGGAGCGGTGCACACACCGAGGCAACATAATGCACCGAAGTTTTCAAATTTTTATTTTTTTGGAAAACGATAAAAAAACGATTTTCTATTCAAAATGTTGTATTTTATTTAATAAGTAATAGTTGTTAGAATTTTAAACATTATTTAATAAAAACATAAACATTTTAAAAAAAGTTTATCATAATCAAATTTTAAAAATCAACATTAAATGTGTGTTTTTATTTATTTTTAATATTTGAACATTCGGTTTTTCAGAGAATGATAGATATCGATTCTCTTAGTCTTCCAGTTCTTATCGCTGCTTTAATAGGAGTAATTACTATAATGGGCACCGCAATTATATACCTAACGAGAAAGCAGAATGAGACTGACGAAGATGTGTGAGTAGAATGGAATGAAACTTGCTCTTTCCTAATGATTTTTATCCGCAGAGATGCTGTGATGGATGAAATAGTTCAAACTGTGTCGACCGAACCTCCGAAGAAAAATAAGCATCAACGGAAAAATGACCAATGGAAGGCAAAGGTGTGCTTAAAATTAAATCGAAAATGTATTTAGGCAAATTTCAGGTGAATGAAATCAAGCATCTTTGGTTTGTGACAACCTTAAAAGGGCATACGTCTAATGTCGTAGACATTGATTTTGCCACGGGCGGAAAAAAGTTTGTTTCAATCTCTGATGACCGAACCGCATTCTTATGGGACGTTCGTGTTAGAATTTAGATGAATCGTTTTATATTTATTAAACTTGAAATTTAGGATTTCGAAAACAAAGAACATAAGTGTAGTCGACAAGTTATTGAATATGATACTCCAACTCACGTTTCATTCGCTCCAGATTGTAAAAGCGTCGTTTTTAGTATGAGAAGAGAAAATAAGGTAATTTATTTAAATACATGTGTCATCTCGGAAATTTCTATTCCAGATTTGTGTATACCGACTTGTAAAGAAGGAAGGAACCTCATCTCATCATTTTTCTCATGTCGAAAACCTTGATTTTGAAAAAAGACACCAACCGGATATTACTGATATTGGAATCGCCTCTAATGGTTTTCTTAAAATTGTTGTGCAATGACGTTTTTATATTTCCAGCAAAGTATTTAATGACGGCTTCAACCGATAACAAAATTTATCTTTATGATCTAAGAGGCTCCGTTTTGAAATGTATCGATGCCAAGGTAACTCATTTGCTTTTCAAAACATCGATAATTTTCCAGGCAAATTCATTACACGATTGTCGATTGTCGCCTGATGGAAGATTCGTAATTGTATCCGGATTCACTCCAGATGTTTTTGTCTATGAGGTAAACATACAAAAAAAAATGTTAAAAATGTAATTCCCTCTAAATTGGTTTACAGCCAATATTTTCAAGAGATGGCAACTTCCAAGATGCTAAAAAAGTTTTCAACATGAGCGTGAGTCATTTTGAAGGATTTTACATTATTAAATCCGTCTTTTAGGGACATTCTTCTGGAGTACTTGCCGCTGCTTTCAATTCCGCTTCGACACGAGCAGTTACAGTTTCTCGCGATGGATTTTGGCGGATTTTCGACATTGATATTCGTTATAATGCTGGTCAAGACGCTACAATTCTTAGAAAGTTCGTTGCTTAACTGGATTGTCCAATATTAAAACTGAAACTAATAATTAAGAGGAAGAATCGAAGAATTAGCTGGACTATCTAGTGAAAACATGAGATTAGCGATGAGTCCAAGTGGAAATTCGTTTTCGATTTCAATTGGTTCAAATCTGATGATTTTCAGCTCCGAAGATGAAAATAAAAAGTTCCCTGAATGTATTTGCTCGAAAATTTTAAACATTATTTAAAATCCTATTATTAAGTATGCGAGTTACACGACGAAAGAATCTCAGCTATTCGGTATTCTTCCGATGGAAAACTGATCGCAACGTGTGGTGACAAATACATTCGCGTCGTTCGTAATGTTCCAGAATATCACAGCATTGTCACGAAACTGACAAGAGTAAATAAGAAAATAAAAAGAAAATATTTTTCGAAATTATTCAGGAGCTGCCCGAATGTACACAAGAAACCGCTAGACGTCGGATTAAAGAACAAATTGAAGAAGCGAAAAAGGAATTAGCGAAATTTGAATAGGAAGCTATTTATTTTCTTCTAATTTTACGGGATGTTTCTTCTCTTTTAACTGGGTGTGTATTAAATATTTTTAAAAATAAAACGTTATATTCTATTATTAATATTTTTAGTCCTTATACGATTTTTTTTTTCATTTTTATATTAAATATTAAACATCCACATGATAATTATATTGATGGAGGTTTCTTTTATCAGATAACGTTGAAAGTTTTAAATTTGTATTAATTTATTTTTGTGCAGATACGGCGTGAATTGAGGGGATCAATTCACGCATTTTCAAAAAAATTTGGTTTCCAAAAATATGGAATGCTCACAGAGATTGTCAGCTGCTGGTATTCATAATTTTTCTTTTTTTTCAAATAAAAAGAGCATTAAAGACTCGCCATTAAACTACAATTTGAAGGAAAAAGAAGTTGAATTAGAATTGACAAAAACTAAATTAGATGAGATATTCGCCAATTGTAACCAATTATTGACGATTATCGAATTTTGAGATTGTTTTGTTTAGTGAGCAGTCCAAAGAAGAAAGATTTGGAAGAATTGAGAAAAACGTTCTCACAAAACGACTTTGAACTCTCGGAAAAATGTAAATTATTTTGAAAACATATATTTTATTTTCAATTTTAGTGTCATTTTCTTTGAACCTAAATGAAACCCTAGATTTTCTTGAATCTGATTCGAATGATCTTCAGGTTTGTCCATTACATTGTTGATATCAAATGGCAGAAATTTAAAAAATATTATAACAGATATTTGCCAGGTGTCTCGAGACAAAGCGGCATGTGCGTGTCTGCGTACTTTGCATTTCAGCGTACGCGCAGTTAACAATTCCTTAAATCTCCACTGATTTTGCGAAATTGAACTTCCCGTCATCGTTAGGTCATTTGACGCTGATAATATAATATATCTCAGCGATTCGATGAGGGCGATAGTTAATTGTAGTGTCGTTCTGGTAGGATAAAAAAGTTTTGGGACAAACCGCAGAAGTTTTTTTGGGAACCCCCGTGGAACGTCCTTTTCGAATCGCTGATGTGAGATGTAAAATATTGAAGAAACAGCAGATATGTGTAATTCTTATAAACGGAATTCTTATGAATTTTGAAACAGTAAACTACATTCAAACGACGCTCATTGATCAAACACAATACTATTTCTTATCTATTTTTGACAGAGAGTTCAAACGATGATTTTAAAAATCACTTAGTGATCGGCACAAAGATCTCGTTTTTTGTGAATGAATTACAATTGCAAAAAAATGAGCACACGCATTAAATGTTAAAATAATAAATTTATTCAACTTGTAAATGTTGAGTTGGGATGACAGTAGCTTTTTACGTCGTTGTCAACACCAAAGATCTTTCTTGATTTGGCCAGTCGACCAAAATTAAGAACGTAGATAAGTGAAGTGTGAACTGATTTCACGAAATTGAAGAATTTATATTTATACATTCTTTTATTATTTTATTATCAGGCGTTTGCTGATCCCCCCTTGCCTACAGAAGATTCCAATGACAGCGAATCAGTGAGAATGGAAGCTGGTAAAAATGATGAAGGTACGATTTGCGATATTACTTCGAACCCTTCTATTTTAAAGCGAATATGACAACTTAAAAATGCTACAAATATCATTAAAACGGTAATTTCAGGTGTTTTTGTCTCAAATACGTGTTCAGGTCTGTTGGGAAATAAATAACACGCCATCGGTTCTTTTTCGGATCCGATAGGATATTATTCGAATTCGATTTGTTTTAATTTTGCATCTCAAATCTGATCCGACAAATTACCAATCTCCGTAGATTTCGCAAACAGATCGGGTTAATCTGGAGCCGAATTTTGACGTATCCGATTTTGAGTTACCTCTGTCATTCATTTCCTTAAAGATCTGAATAGGTATTTGGGATAAAAACATCTGAAATTGAAACACGAAATTCCAACAACGAAGAGATCGCGTTTTTAAACCAAATACACTTTATTCGACTACTATTTTTTTGTCGTGTAATTTTACGTTGATTGAGCATTTTGAACACCAGATTTTTTGAGTTTCGAGGGGTCTATTAAAAACCACCCCCACTTTTTCACCCCCAATTTTGGCCAATGTTCAGTGACCAATACTTTTTGACTCATGAAAATTGTATCATGATTTTTTATTCTTTGACTCATGATTTTTGACTAACTTTTTTTATTAACAATTTTTGACTAATGATTTTCTGATTTTTTTTACTTGAGATTCCTTCAGTTTTCTTTTAGCGTTTAATTCTGTTTTTTGGCCAATATAGATGGGTAAGAAACGGAATGGAGGGAATTGGGGGAAATGTTATTAATTTTTCGAAAAAATGCATTTTCAATCGTATGAAATGATTTATGTGTATGAAGAAATTATTGCTTAAGACATTTTTTAAATTATGCCGACGCTAAGTTTTCATTCCAACATTAATATTATTTTAATTTTGACGTATTTTTTGTCATACTCGAATGATTAAGAAATGTTTTAACACTCTAAAGAAGCATTTTTACAAATTTCCATGTTATATCCTTTTTTGGATTAAAAAACATTTTAGGCTCTTACAATTTGAAATATTTCAATAAATTTTACACACGTTGATGAAATTTTTTTTGAGAAAAATATATAAATATTTGGAAAAAAAATAGATAAAACAATTAAAAGCCCTTAAGAGGGCCGTTGGGATTCGAAAGCATTGGAAGTGTCTCGGAATACTTCTCACGACTTGCTGGGTCAAAGAGAAGCCGCCTAGTTGAGGAGGAGGAATCCTCTTCGACCTGCGTGAAACGATGTACCGATTAGCCTGACGATGCCCCCAGAAGTGAGGGCATCGCCAGTTGATCCTCTTCGCCACGGAGAGGCTCGGCACGTGAAGAGGAGGCTCACCAGCTGCAGGTGGGGAAATCCTGAGTGGGTCATTGCCCGATCGCGAACGATCTGGGGGGTGGGGGTGGGGTTGGGAGTGGGATGGGGATGGGAGGGGATAGTGGTACCACTGGGGACGGGGACAACGGTCCGCCATCTATCATCTAGCCTTCTTCACATGATATGCTTCAAACGAGAGGTTTAGCATCACCTGAACCCAACACTGCAAACCACCCACTTAAGGGCTGGATCCGTCTGACCGAATCGGAGGCGAGAATTCCTAACGAGATCAGCAAATCATGATCCGAAGGTTTCGATGATAGACAACTCGCCATTGTCCGCCATCTGAGCCGCATCCCCTGCTTTTATAGTCGATGTGGGCGGAGCCGAGAGCATCGACCGCCCATTCGGGGGGCGTTTCGAGTCGCAAATCTGTCATTGCACACGATATTTTGAATATCGTCTAAGCCGACCCTCTCAATTTCCAACACTATCTCGCTGGTTGTTATGCAATTATTCACAAAAGAATTGCCGCAAGGTCAGCTATGAGCCAACTACATCAATACGAATATCACGTGAACGATTAGCAATTTGAATAGTAGCTAACTAATTACTGTTTGATTCGCAATTATGTAATTTTGAAAAGTATACAAGAAATGAAATATGAAAAAAAAAGTTTTTTAAAATAGGGCAATTAAGAAAAAAATTAAAAAAAAAGGAAAAATGTGATAATTTTTGCATTAAAAGTTTATCAATTCATCATCTACGAATTGCAATTTTCTTCCGGAATCGGAATTCCGTACAATCCTGCCACATAGAATATTGGCCATAGAGGCTTTTCGTACGAAACCTCTCAAAGTGTTCGACTCCTTCATTTTGGCACATCCGTTAAAAAATAATAACAGAATCCGTTTTAAAAACTTGAAATCGATTCTCAAGTCAAATTTTTGGTGTAATTTAAGTGATGTGCCGTTTGTTTGAAGGTTTTGATATTTTGAGTATTCAATTATTAAAAAAGCTATTTATTAAACAGAATTTAACAATTAAAAAAAACCATTTTTGTGGGGCTACTACAACCCATCCTGACTTTTTCACCTCTACTTTTCTACCCACGGTTTTAAGTTTATCATTATTTTCAAACACTCAATTTTCGATTAACAAAAATTATAATACATTTATTACAAAATTATCACAATTGCCTAACGGGCAATGTTGAACCTAACGGGAAATTTGCGATATATTCTTTTAATATTGGATTTAAATTAATTATAGTTGTATTTTATGTGTATATTCGCAAGACTTGCAAAGAAGCTTGATATCAAAATGCACAATTGGACATTTGAAAAATATCGACAATCGTTGGAATAGATTCACGTTTTCGAAGGACGAAATTTTTCTGAACCGGGTTTTCCGAGAATAGTTCATTACTTGTTAAAATTTTCAGCCTTTCATAAGAACGCTACATAGTTTCTGAAAAATGTACTTTAGACATCAGTTCTGCGAATCTCTTCTTTTTTTCTAATAGACCGTTTCGAGGTGCAAAAATGAAGGGTATGAAAGAAAATACACCAGGAATTTTGAAAATTAGCGAATTTGAAATCATCGCAAACCATGCATTTTATGTGCCATTTTTACACAATTTCGTTTCATCTTACTCGTTTTTTATCACCTATTTTTAAGCTTTTTGATGTTACCCCCCCCCCTGATACTTTAAATTTTTAAAATGTGCAATTTAGAATCATCGTCCAATTCGATTTCTTCGACAAATGTATCAATGTCCACTGCTCATTCGCACTTTGGTTTGTATTAATTGACATTAAGCCGAACTAAATAATGTTTGCTTAGAGAATAATCTGGATGATTCGAATCTTTCGACCGCTGTTTTGGGTATTTAAACACAACTCAGTCGATTTCGATTTTCGTTTTCAATTTTCAGGACCATCATTTTCCGAATTCTCGCAGTATTCAGCATTCGACGACTAATCTCTATCAGAGAAAAGTGTCATCAGTTGTGCCTTTGAAAATAAACTTTTATCAAAATTTCTGTTGATAAGCTGCTGATTCCGTCGCCGCTGAACGCTTATAGAAGGCTTTCGCTCTGCATTACGAATTTTGTATTATGCAATTTCATTTTATTCAATTATTATTATTATTATTATGGAGGATGTGTATTTGTGATAATATTCCGCCTGTTCGAGATGGAGAAATGGAACTGAAATTAGTTCAGATAGTAAGTGTCTTTGCTAGAACGATGTAGTTATGTGAGCCGAAAATGTGCAACATGGCTGTGCGGTTTGCGGAATTTTTGGAAATCCCATCACATTCAGCAGACTTTGCATAGTTTCTTAAAAGTGTCTGCTGAAAATCTCTAGTCTGCCCTGGCCGGGGGTATTGACATGGCCTAGATGCCTTCCCTACCAGCTGTTATTGTCGGGGGAGCTCTTCTTTGAGAAAGCAAATGATTTGTTAAAGGTGTGGCGACATGGCGACAGATCTCCGACGGAAACATTCCATACTGACATATTTCAAGAAGATGCTTGGAAATTTGGTGGTGGCGGATTCGGTCAACTCTCTCCGGTATTCTATTAGTTTTTAATCAAGCGTATCAAAATAAATTTTAAAGCTCGGAATGAAACAGCATGTCAATTTGGGAAATATGCTTCGCAAGCGTTATGTTAACATTGACAATGCCACACATAAGTTTTTGCCAGCAGTTTACAATTCTAAATCGGTAATTATTATTATTATTATTATTATTAGTTTCTGGGGTTTTTAAATGAATCGAAATTTTCTTTCAGATGTATATTCGATCGACAGGAATCAACCGAACCCTCGTATCAGCGATGTCAAATATGATTGGAATGTATGGACAACCCGCTTATGGAAATAATATGGGTAAATTTAGGAAAAATAATATTAAATGGATTATATTTGATATATGTTTTGTTTTTCAGGTCTTGATTATCCTGATGATGCATTATGGCCAGTTGGATTCGTGCCAATACCAGTGCACACAGTTGATTATCCCTCTGATTGTGTTAGATTGTTTAATTCTTTTTTTTAATGAAATAAATCAACTTTAGATAGGAAATATTGAGTGCGATTGCCCGCGAAGGGAATGGATTTGGGGACTCGCACAAGAAACGGAAGAGATGCAAAATTGGATCAATTCTCCAGAAGTAATTGCGGTTATCAAATAGAATACACATTATTTAGGTATCGTCTGTTCTTTCAAATTTAACGTCATACATAAATCAAACGTATGCTCTTAAAGACCTTTGGACTGTTCCAGATGCACTTTTTATTGAAGTATTCATTGAAATCATAGCAACGAATAATTATGATCGTTTAGCAAATTTACTTCAACGAAACCCTTCGACAAAACACTTCATGGTTTTCGGATGATTTTTACACAAGACTTGTTGCAGTTAATGATCGCGTTTACATGTACGAATATGGAATATTCGGTTATAAGAAAATATCAGTGATTGCCGTATTCATATTATTATTTTTCAGATAAACCAGCTTATCATGGTGACATGAATATCGGGGTGGAACTGCTCAAAATTCGAGCTGGCGGACTTATGAACGAAATTTATGATAGATTCGGTATGTTTATGAGATATTAAATTTTTTCAACATTAATTCGCCCAACAGAAAAATGTTTTCAGTGAAAAAGAGCGAGTGCACTTATGGCTCAAAACAACCCGATTGTGATACAATGGACCCCTTAAAATATTTTGTTTATTCAGCGGTACATTACACATAATTTATAGTCAAAAAACAATTGTTAATTTCAGCATGACGAAACGGTATACTCAGTTTTAGTGGCTTTTGATATCGAGAGATTTGCAATAAAACCGCATGGATATCCATTATATTCTGCTGCTGTTGCTTTGGAGTATTGGAAGAATACAACGGATAATGCTGATTACTTCAAAGTTGGAGACATTTTGAGAAAAAAAAACCACTTATCTATTTGATTATCGCTTCAGCTCGTTTATCACAAGGAAGCGGGCTCAGGATTCGATGTAATGACTTCGGAAATTGCTGGATGCCATTCCGATTATTGTAGCATGGATATTTTGAAGACGGTTGCTCACAAATACAAACCAGATTTGCCAATTAATGACGTTAGTTGTTGTTTCAATTTTGCGTCATAATCCATCAGACCATTTTGCAACCATGGCGAACAGATTTGACGTCGAATTGAATTGTTTATAAACCCAAATTTTTTCAGTGGTGTCAGGTAGTCGGATCAAGCAATTTCGGATCAACCATCATGCCTTTTATGATCATTGTCGCTCTATCCCTAGAATACCTTTAATTCTTGATAAAGTTGTGTTATCAGTCGATCATTTTTGTTTCAAGTTTATCAGTAGTTAATCGTTTTTGTAATCTGTTTGATTATGTTTCGCATTTTCATTTATAATGTACACTAATCGTTTTAAATTTATTAACTTCAACATTTAAAAGTATGTGATGCTTTTTTTCTCAGAATGCTAATATTATATCTATTATCCATTTTTAACGTCTTTATTTCTGTAAATTCCGTCAATTTGGGTGATTTGAAACTGGTGCTGGTACAAGCGGTAAGAATCCAACATACATACACGATTCAACTGCTAATTTGAGATTTGGAGACATGGTGACAGAGCACCTCAGACGCCTTTCAGAACAGATCCTATCAAAGAATCGGATTGGATTTTTGGCGGTGGCGGATACGGCGAATTGACACCGGTATTATCGAAAATTATGTACAAATTATGCAAAAACTAATTAATTGGAGGATGGAATGCGACAGCATTTCAAATTGGGAAGAGCGATTCGTGATCGATACATCAGCGGTACGTTTAAATTTCTACCGGAAACCTACGATTCCAAAAAGGTTTTCCTAACGAGATAGTCTCTCAATTTATTTCATCGACAAATTATTATAGATCCATATTCGATCCACAGACCGAAATCGTACCATTATTTCGGCGTTGTCTAACATATACGGAATGTATTCTGTGAACAATTCGAAGTCAAGATCTGGTATCGATTATCCAGATATTGCCGGATGGACCCCGGGATTCATACCGATTGCTGTTCACACAAGAGACTATGATTCTGATTGTGTTAGCAATAAATCAAGGGCAATTTGGGCGTTATGAGAATCTGTTTAGGTAGCGAATGTCGAATGCGATTGTCCGCGAAGAGATGCGTTGCAAGACATGGCCCACACGCTGCCAGACTACGTGAACTACACGACAAGTCCGGAGGTGATAGCTTTTGATTTTTGAAAGATCTCGTTTATTGATGGTTTTGGTTCAGTTCTTGGAGGTGCTTCAAAATTTGACGACGAACACCGGCGAGAACATCACAGCAGATAATCTTTGGACGGTTCCTGATGCGTTGCTTTGTGAGGTATGTACATTATTTAATCATTTTTTTTTAATTCATTTCTTCAGAGAATTCATTTTTATGATAGATTGATATCTGAAAACACGTGGTATTCTGATGAATTTTACACGAAAATTCAGCGAATTAATCATCGAACAAGTTATTTCACTTGTGGAATTTATGGTAAATTTCGAAGGCATTTATATTTATTTATTTATATTCGAAATCATATTTTTGAAGCTAAACCATCCATCGTAAACTCAATTGACGTGGGAAAAGAAATTATCAAAATCCGTAGTGGTCCAATTACGAACGAGATTTATGATCGGATGACACAAAAATTGGATTGTGCCAAGAATCCGAAGTGCACAAACCAATTCATTCGAAATCTGCAGTATTATGCGTATTCAGCGGTATTTTGAAAAAAACGAAGGGAATTTTAAGAAATATATTTGAATTTTCAGCATGATGAGACGATTTACTCGCTGATGACTTCATTTGGAATTGAGGATAATGCAGCTCCTGATCCGGGAGAATGGCCTGCTTATTCGGCATCGATTTTTGTCGAACTTTTCACTGACAATAAAAACGATGCTTATTTCAGTGTACGTTTTGTCTGTTATTAGAATCACTTCGAATGTGTGTGTGTTTTTTTTTTCAGCTTGTTTACCGAGCAAATGAGAACGCAACTTTTGTGAGCTTGACGAAAACAATTCCAGATTGTAAATCTCAAGATTATTGCCCGATTGAAGTATTCAAGAAATACGCGGAAATGTACAAACCAGATCAAGATATAACATCGGTAATCGTCACAGTAATATTTTGTTTCTCATTTCAATTTTTTAGTGGTGTCAAGTTTTACCATCCAATTCATCTCGCCAATTTTTCGGATTCTCAGCTGTCGTTGTTGCCATATTTTCCATTTTCAGGATTTGACCATTTGCATTTAAATCAACACTATTTTCCCCATTTTAATGGTGCCATAAAACATTTGTTTTTGGCATGTTCTTCTCATTTTTTTAAAATTAAACACAACAATTTTTAAAAATCCTGCAGAAAATCAACTCAGCACGATTATCCCGAGTGGATATTTTATAGGCATATTTTTTGTTGAATTTAGAAACTTCGGGTTCCGTTTTTTGCCATTTTAGTCTGTTTACACACAGACGTAATTTCGCACACATTTTATTTGACACCTATCAATTTCCCATCAAAATTATTTTCTTTAATCGTTTCTTATAGAAAACGAAAGTAAAATGAGATCGTATAATTGGGAAATGCAGAGAAAATAAACAAGGAAAAGAAAAATGTAACATGGAGAAAATCAATGAAAAAAAAGTAAAATATCCTCTTTTCTTTTTTCACTGCATTGACCCTTAAATGCGGAGACAGTATTTTTAATTAATTTTAAAATTGCTTAATTATTACAGTCGGAAAAGTAAGAAAAGCATGCACCGTTTTACGGTGAATTTGATTCGCAGGTTAGGTAGCCAAATTAACCACGTTTTTAATCGAAATTTGAATTAATAATAATAATTATTAACAGTTTTTTTTTTCAAAAATAAATTTGGAAAATTCAAAAATGCGCGCGCTATTCAAACACTGCAAATAATTCCAAAAAATCAGATAATATTTTTTCCCTCATATCACCTTGTTAATAATTAAATAATTCATAAAAATCCATAACTATAAAACGTTTTGATGGTAAAATTGTCCAGAAAAATACACCTTAAGGCAGCGATTGATATTCATTAAAAAATGCCCAAAATGAATTCAATTTTGGGCCAATTAATAAAAGTATCTTGGCTCGTGATTTTTGGCTCGCAAAAAGTGGCTCGTACGTACTATATTCTTTGGATCGCGAATTTTGGCTCGTGATTTTTGGCTTGTGACTTTGCTGCCATTACCGAGAAAAAGACAATTGCCAATAATTTTTTGCTCCCCGTTTCTTACTCGTCCCTTGATTTTTAGGGTGGCACCACGGAGTGGAACTCGCCGTGATCGAACTCGGCTGTAATAGAACTTGTGATATATATATATGGTTAGATATTATAGTAGTCTCCGTTAGTTTTATGGAAACAACATAAACACAGTTTTTATTCGATAACATATTTATTAAAAACACTTTTAAAAATTAATCAATTATTGTTGGTCTTGTAAGTCTTGCGGACTCTGTCTGAACTTGATTATTCCGATTATAGAGTGCCTTGATACAACTCTAAGTCTTTTGTTTTGTAAGATATTCGAAATAAGTTTCGATCCATTAACTGTTCTCTTTGAAATCCATAATTGGTGAAATTCCAGAAAAAAACAATTTCGTAATTTTTACGCTTACAGAAATAAAAAATGACTTAGCAATAATCTCTCCCCCCATTCAAAAAATACAATTTTTCAACTATACCCCCATACAGTCCTTTCCCCCATTAAGACAAAAAGTAGACGTTCCTCCATCCAGCGATTTCAAACAAATTATTGGCAATTGTCTTCTCGGTACTGGCAACCAATGATCACAAGCCAAAAATCACGAGCCAAAATTCGTGAGCCAAAATTTGCGAGTCAAAGAATATTGTAAGTACGAGCCACTTTTTTCGAGCCAAAAATCACGAGCCAAGCCACTTTTCACGAGCCACATAACAATAGGAATAATTTAGCAAAATTTAGAGAGTATTTCGAAAATCTTCAAACTTGTTTTTGATTCGATATTATTAGATTGGAGAGTGTGCGTGGCGGAGTAATCCCGAGGAATTCACACATGTTTGCTACAACATTTTTATTTTTAATATAAATTATACATAAAAAAATCAAATTCGTCATTTACTTCTCATCAACATTTCAGAGTGATCTTTAATTATAAAATAGTTGCGATTCACAACACAATGGTTCGTAATCGTAAAAGAGTACGGCGGCGCCGCAAAACATGTTAAAGGCGCACACCGCGGCCTTCTTAAAGGCGCACACCGCGGCCTTAGAGCACTGTGACTACAAACCGTACGATTACAAACCATTTTCCCGAGTTGAGAAAAGCCTTTTTTTCAAAATTGTCGCAAATTACTGCAGTTCAAACTAGAAACTACGAAATTTCGGGACCAAAATATGGTAGAAGTTTCACGGAAAACATTTGTTTCTTGACCACATCGTGGGAATTCCGTGGGCGACTCAATGTTTCTTGTTGGAATTCTTCTCGACATTTTGCCATCCATTATTATTGTTATTATTCGAAACGAAAATCGATGATGCTTAGTCTAAACATGCAAAATAATTTGAGTGGGAAAATTGAAACGAAATGCGTCGGCTGGCTCACGACATAATCGAGTTTCATTAGTTGGAAATGAATGTATTTCTTCTTTTTTTTTTCTAATGCACATTCTTTTGCGTTTTATCCGTATTTTGTCGTCTTCTGCTAGTTCCTATGAGATATCGAGAGAAAGACTGAGATTGTGTAAAATTTACAACAATTTTGCATTCGCTAGAGCACCTGCTTCACTTGTTCTTGATGCCATTTACCTATTGACCAACACATACGATCGATTTTTCATTTAAATAAATGTTCTCAAATTTCTATATATGTGTCGCAAAGTTGATGTTTCGTATAATAGCATGTTTCTGAAAAAAAGCGGCTCCCTAAATCGGTCGTCACAACACCCAGCTCATTTCAAACCTTATGATCCTTTAATCGATTGTTTTATTTGTTTTAATTCCACAAGTGGATTACGCTTTTCCCCAATTTTATTAGAATTTTCAAATAATCGAATATAATGGTATTGCAGGTTTAAAAAAAAAACTCAAAAAAGCTCTGTTTAAAAACCACTTCAAATTATAAAGAATCTGCATAGTCTCATAAAATTAAAAAAAAAATAGAAAATTGGATTCATAAAATTGGAAATATATGGTTTTTTGAGAAGTTTTATAATCTCGATAATAATTTTTTGGTCATCAAAGGCGCATGCATTTTCCGAACGTCAGTCTCTATTCTCTGGTAACTCAAAACCAATCGGATCCGACAAAATTCGGGCCCGGAATCAACCTTATCCTATTGGTAATTCTACGAATAAGATTGGAAAATTGTCGTATCCGATTGGTTTTTTGGGTTTCTTCGGATCCGATTGGTAATTTGTCAGATCCGATTAGATTTTCTTCGAATCCGATTGGTAATTATTTGAATCCGTTTTGTTTTAATATTTCAATTCGAATCGGATACGACAATTTTCCAATCTTATTCGTAGAATTACCAATCGGATAAGGTTGATTCCGGGCCCGAATTTTGTCGGATCCGATTGGTTTTGAGTTACCAGAGTTTTGATATTTTGATGGTCTCGAAAAACTGAACGCAATTTAAAAAAAACTATTGTCATTATGTCAAGGGGTCTTGAGGATTCCCCAATACGACTTTTTTCCTCCGTATCATTTTTCATTTCTTTTAAGATACAACTATCCTCATTTCCTATTTCATTTTTTTCAATTTTTCTTAACATAGTTTCTTTTTTGGTTTTATCGAAATTTGTTTAAAATTTTCCAATAAATTTTTTGGGAGTTACAGCCGTTTTTTTTTCAAAAAACGTTATGGCTTATTAGCTTAAAATAGATGAAATTATATCAAATTCATGAGATTTTAAAATTTTGTCTCTTTATTCAGAGCAACATTATCTGAAATTTTTTTTCTTTTTGGCCGACCCATTGATGGCGGAAAATTTAAATTCGCAAAATCAGTGTAGATTTACGAATATCGAAAAGTAGGCGCGGGCTAAATACATATTAAATGCGCGTACGCTAAAATGCAGAGTACGCAGACACGCACCGTTTTCATTCCAACTCGAAACACCTGGCAAATAACCAACATTTTAAAAAATTTCGTGCATCGTCTGACGGCGATAATAACTTATCTCGATGGTGTTTCTAAAAAACAACCGTTAAAATATTTTCTATACGACCTCTCGGCTAATATAACATGGTTTGTCGAAAATGAGACCGTTTTATTCTAAAACAAAAAATGGGAGAAATGAGGTAGAATAATGGTAGGGTAGGAATGCTGGGGCAGGAAAGTCGTATTAATTATAATGGAAATTTTTCTGAAGCCAATGAAAACATGATCTTGCACAATATCAAATATTATTGATGCTCATTGGTACTATACAGACTTCATAAAATAAATTCAAAAGAATAACGGCCCTCTAGATTTAACCGGTTTTTTGAGTTTTATCCCCAAAATCAGCAAACTGACATATTTGAATTAATTCTGATGCATTCGTAAATTGAAACATGTAGTTGCGAATAATTAATAATTTAAAATTATTAATAATTCGCAACTGTTTAAAAAATTGTTAAAAAAAACTGAAACCCATAAATGATTCATTCAAGAATTGTCAATATCTAACAAATTTCTGTAATGCCTATGATAAAATATGTTCAACTCATAAAAGAAAATTTATTTGCGTATGCGAACCGTGCTTCTCGTTGACTCGATAAAAGTAACTGAATGGGTAGGCTTTGAAGATACCGATTAAGAAATAATAATGCAAAAACGAATATCGTTATACATAAAATTTATCGGGCTATCGATCAAAAAATCTAATTTCTTCCGAAAGCTGAAACAACGGCAGGATTACCGTCAATTATCCGCTGAAAAATTGTATTTAAGTGGTGACGCTTAATAATAATAATAATTGAATGTTTTTCATCTATCTTCCCCTCTCCCTCTCACTCAGATGTCGTTATTTTTTCTTTTCCTTAGTGCTTTTCTAATTTCAGTTGAGCACATCGTGTTTTAATGGGTTTTTTCTCTATTGATTTCCATTCAAGCGGATCAAACAAAATCCGTTTGGAACGGACAACACTTGTTACTCGCAATACGCATATGTGTTGGAATTCTCGAAAAACACTGCCCTTTTCTCTTTTTCGATGATGAATTAGGCTTCAGTGCATTTTCGTGTGTTTTCTTTATTCGAGTTCGCACCCCCATGTCCATTCACCAAACAACGCGAGAATATTGTGCGTCTGCCGCCGACGACGACTAGTTGTTCCACTCGAATCGCGTGCATACTTTTTCGGATGTGTGCACTTCACTCACCTGAGCACGCAATTATATATTGAGATTCGAATCAATTTCGAATTCGAAATCTAGGCCCAATTTTGACATCACAACGGATAGCCAATTGGTGAATGATGTTTGTGCGAAATAGTGCGTCAACTCAAGAGGTTTTTCATAACGGACCACCCGAGCAACAACTTGAAACGTTTTCCTTTTTGTCACGAAAAACACGTTTCAAAAATTGCTGAATAAGTCTATCTCTGTATTGCCCATTTTTTGATTTCTTTTCTCTTGCCTATCAATATATTGATTCGAATTATTTGCCGATTTTTATTGAGGCTGCGAGGCCATTATATTGATTCCTTCACACATGTGCCTATAAGTTTTACAGAAGACAGCCTTTTGAAATTTCAAATTTATAGATATTCGACAACAAAAAACAATTGTTTTCTGAGGCTCGAGATTATCGATTAATTCACAACCCTAGGTTTAATTGAACTGAGATTTGCACGTTGACGAGACAGAGTGTACATGTAGACACATTTATATGCACATGTATATATTTCAATTTGATTTGTTCCATAAAATAAAAAATCCCTGGGGGACTCATAAAATACAAGCCGAATACTTTTCGGCTCGCAGTTCTCTCCGTTCTGACAAAATATCATCCATTTCACTTGGTTTCATTCATCAAGTGTCAGTATGTTTTATAAATTCTGATGTAAAAATTCGAAGGAAATAGCATCTGAGTGATGTCCTCTGAAGACCGACTAGCCAGCAGAATTCCATACATTTTCGAAGCGTTTTTGATGGTCCCAAAACACACAATTTTTCACTCAGTTGTTGGGCTATGTATTTTTTATTGATAAATGAATCTTCAACACATGTTCAAGTCCAATTGGGAATTCAGTAAATGAACGGATTCTCTACTAAAATTCAATCAGTATTCGACTCTTTTAAATTTTATGGTCTTCTCTTGGGTTTTTTCAAAAAATTTGAATTTGCGAGAGAAGAACATACGTCGTTATCCGCATGTAATTGGCTCGAACCAGCTTGAATGCTCATAACTTTTTGTTTATTCTCATTTTCGAACTTTCTTCTGCAGCTTCTACAATTTTCCATGCGTCGAAAGAAGAAAAGCAAAATATCAACACTAACAAGAGACAACTTTTCTGCCGAAGGCAACGACTCTTCGAAATTCAATCTTTTTTGTTTCATTTTTTCCTCGTCTCGAAACTCGCCTGTTTACGAATTTTCAAATTGCTCCCCCCAAAATATTTACCCACCGTTCTTCCTTGTGCTGAAATCTCTATTTTCAATAAAATTCCCCCAAAAAAGCGGCGGTTTGCTCATTTTTTTAGAGCAGGCGAATTTCACAGAAAACGTAATTATGTATAAGAAAAATTGTCGAACATTGAATAAATTTGGATGCCCAAATATCAAATTACTTTGCTCGTTGATTTGTTGACTTTTGCCTATTTTAGGCATCCGTTTCATTTTCATCCATCCAAACCAAACTAACAGCTATTAAATTCACCACTTTCAACATTTTTGTAATCGAAATGAGTCAGCACACAAACAGAAATATAGACAAATGAGGGCATTTCCGCCGTTTCTATGGAGAAATTGCAGTAATCATTCAGGCATGTTCAAGCGTCTTTCGACTTCTTTTCCCCCCGTGTTTTTCAATTTTTTCCCCTCCATTTTTCAGGGTACAAATTTTGTTATTTTCAGAAAACAGTGATTTTGTGGAAATATGGCCAATAAATGACAAACATGGAAATCGATAATGTAGGTTTTTTTTTCTAAATTCTAACAAGAGTTCTCCGAACTTGTAAAAGATGAGACTTTTAAATCAAATTTCGCGTTTTTGCACGAAATCGTTTTCATGTTTTTTTCTTGAACTTTTTCGCCATATCCTTCATTTGGAAATGTTTCCCTATTCGGCTATTTTTGGCGATACAAAAAAGGTAAATTAATAATCAAAAGAGTGAGAAATGTTGATAAAATGTCACTAACAGAGTTTTTTTGTTTTCTCACTGCAAAATGCACAATTGTTGCGATTGCGTATGACAGAAAGACGTCAAGAGAATCTTTTTCTTCTCCGATATTTGTTTTCTCGTAAAATATCAATACTAATAGAATTCATGTTAATCTTTTTTAAAAACAATTTTCACACATATAAATCATTTTGGGTCAATTCATTCAAAAATGTAAAATCGATATTTAAAAAAATCGGCGGCAGCCGCGTTTATGGGAATCTTCCACGTTGGCCGTATTTGTTGATGATTTTTCACTCATCGGTTCTGTGTTTCAGATGTCGAATGCGACCCAGGATGCCGCCGATTCGCGTAATATTTTCTTCCTAGGCCTGTGCGTCCTTTTCGGCTGGATGATTGTTATTCTGATTTGTGCATCTCCTCATGTAAGCCTTATTCATATTCGCAACATTCCGCTATAAATTCGTTTAGTTATTCCGAAATTATTTGAAACGCTGGTTCCAACACGATGAGGATCCATTGACTGAAAAAATTCGAAAGGTTTGATTACAATTCGATTCCTTTCATTGCCACAGCGGGTGGTCGTGTATGAAGTCCAATTCGATTTCATTTCATTCATTTCTAATATTCAACATATCGTTTGCAGGCAGAAGCACGACTCGAAGAAACACTTCGTCTCGCTCAAAAACCGTCAAACTTCCTTGTCGATCAGGCAGCCGTCATGTCAACGATGTCAACGAATCGATCTCAAGAGGCTAGTCGATTTCTAATATTGAACGAGTCGCGCCTTTAATACATCCATGTTCTCATACCCGTAAATCCAGTTATACGCCAATACTGTAATAGGTTTTTCCGCAGACTTCGACATTACTAAATATCAACAAATTCTCTGTTAATCGAAGAAATATCAAGCTAACATTTCAAAATGCCTAAATTTGTGCATATTCTTAGAAATCACATGACATATTCGTGACATTAGGATCACCTGGCTGAATTCGTCAGCTGAAAATACTACCGTATAAATATACGAAGCCTAGTCATTAGTATTTTCAAGTATATCTGGCAATCACGTGTTATTCAAAATATTTAAGAAATGAAAGACATTTGTTGAGGTAGTAAATCGAGAAATTCAAAGAATTAAACGTAAACTTGTTTTATTATACGTTAATTGCTTGTTTTCAGACACGCCTGCACATGCGCTTGGATTTGTTGAAAGAAGAAGAAGAAGAAGATGATGATGAAGATGAAATCGAGCAAAAAGCGGAAGATCAAAAATGCGGGAACGGCGAGACAACTTGCGAGGCCTGAATACGAGTGAGAAACACAACATCCAAATATTTCACCTTATCCGTTTTGTCACTTTTCCCACACCGACCACTTATCCATTACCGACTTTTATACGATTGTTTCTATTTCAATTGCTCACCAGTCTATTCAATTTGTGTTTTTTTGAAAACGCATCGAAGCAAGATGAAATTGTAAACAATACGCATAGAGGACATTCACTTAAATCCGCTCAATTCATTTATTCTAATTGCTATTCGTATGCTAATTATTATATCGTTAAATTCATATCAATTAATAAATACAAAGTTGAATTATTGAAAATTCTTTTATTGAAACAAAAATAAAGAATAATAAAAATTGAATTGGGACTGAACTGGAATACACTGAGATCAGTTAATAGGAAATTAACGTAGAGTAAGAATAAACAGGAAATTATAAAACATTGATGTATTATTTATGATGTATATTGACAATAAGTCATAATTAAGTATCGTTCCTTGGTGAACAATTATTCTGACGGTACTTCAGACTTCTGAAACAAAAAAACTAAAAAGTTATATATTTTATGATATTACCATTTCCTCAATTACGACTTTTTTCTTTTTGTTTGCTTCTTGGAGTTGACCGGTATTCTCAGGAGTCGGGGCAAACATATTCATATCATACAATTCCGCAGTCCCGTACCAACTATTTTGTTCTTCCGTTGAGACTTCAACCTAAAATTATACTATTAGGAAAGCTGCGAATAAGAGTTTACCTCTTGATCAACACCCATTGAAATCGCTGGCGGTACATTATCATCGGTCGTTATATTAGCCATGTTCACAAATCCGCCCTTTTTCCGTGACTTCGCTGGAGTTTTTGGATCTAAAGCATATCCAACCGAATCGGGAGCATAAGCATTCTTGCGACGACTCCGTCGTTTCATTGCTTGACCAGTAGCATCAGGTTCCTTATCTGGATCCTGAACCATTCGTGACTTCCTCTCTCTACGTCTTTTGGGACGTTCGTCCAGAAATTCTATCGATGGAGTAAATTCTGTTAAATCTTCTTCAGGGAATCCCTCTTTAGCTTTTTGAAGCAGCAATTGGTCGGGTAGAGAAAGAGTGGGTTCAATGTCTTCACCATTTGGACCACGAGGCGGCGAATCAGGACGATTACGAATCATTCCACGTAAATGACTGAGGTCGACTTCAGGAAGTGTTCTTCGGCATCTTCTTGGCTGCGATGCGTTATTATTTCTTCTACGACCACAGCCAAGTTTATCAGATGATTTGTAAAGTTTTGTCCGACTAAATATTGGCGTTATTCAAAGAGAGAGAATCAAAAGTTATACCTTCGGATCTGTTCCATCATATCTGCTGCTCTTTGAAGTGTGTCTAGTTCAGGCTCCTTGATACTTTTCACTTCAGCCTCAATTATGCACATAATACGAGCAATCTGAATGTTGAATTATTATTATTCTTTTATCTATGTAATTTATAAAAACAAACCTCCTCAGATAAGCCTTCCATTTCCTCTAAAGTTCCTAATTGATAATCGTTGACTGAGAACTTGTGAGTCAATGATGCTATTTCTTTAAACATCGCATCAACAGTCTCCAGAGCCAATCTGAATATATGGCTTTTGAAAAATACATCAGAATAAAATCAAAACTCAAAAATTTGAAAAATTTTAATTATTTTAATTAAATAATAAATTAATTAATTATAAAATATTTTCGTATAAATCGCGACATGAATACCTTGCAAATGCCTTCATTCGATCTTCCCTCTGCTCCTCCGTCAAATTGATTTGAATCTGTTTTTCGTATTCCTCTAGAAATTTCAGTTCCATCGGGGTAATTGCCTCAAAAAGAGTATCTCGTCCAGATTCCGGATCGTAGACTGAAACATGATCAAATTATATATATATATATATATATATATATATATATATATATATATATATATATATATATATATATATATATATATATATATATATATATATTTCAATTTAAATAATATCTTACTGAAGCAGTCATCAATATTCAAATTAATTTCGACGTAACGTCCCTCTTCCTCTTCTTCTTCAATAAATTCCTGGTCGAATGTCTCTACATCGATTTCTTGTGTCTCAAAATGCATTAATAAGCTTTTTTTGATAAAAATACAAACCGGTTTTGTATCGACTTTTTGTTCCATTGGTGCATCAGAACTCGTATGTTGTGACTCCGGCACATTCGGCTGCTCATCTTTGGAAGCATCTGAGAAATTTTTTGAAAATAGATAAAATAATACTGTGTAGAAGTCGCGTAACTGCGGAAAATTAGTTAAATGCCAAGAATTATTTTCTGGACTCGCGCGCCGTTGGCAACAGTAAAATACGAAAAAAAAAAACATTTAAGAACATACTATCTGCTTCTTCTTCTTCTCCTTCTTGCTGTTCTTCTACAATATCTATAATTTGAGTTTTCTCCAGTTTTTCTTCTTCTCTGCTTTCCTTTTTGGTTTCTTTCACATCCTCGTTAGTTTTAAATATTCTACCGATTCCACGCAAGGGCTAAAAATAAAAATTGGAAATTGAATGTAGAAACTACACATTTTCTTTTGAAATTTGCGCTCACTTTTTCAATGATGATTTTATTTTGAATCGGCGGTTCAGTTCTCATGCCTTCATCATTTCTTTCTAAGTCTTCTTCGGGAAAAGACACTGAACAATAAATGAGAAAAATTCCGGCAAAGAATCTACTCACCGATCTCATCGTTAATATCTGCATGATAGGCTGTTTCGTAACGTTTTATAGATTCATGAATGTCCATTAACAGCTCAGCAACATCCTTAAATTATCAAAATGAATAAAAGAAATTTCAAAAAAACATTACATTTGCAGTAAGATTAACAATTCGATCTTCAACGTCCGATCCAGGTATACAGTAATCCTTGGCTTCAGCTAAGAAAAAAATAAATTAAAACTTGTTTGCACTTGTTGAATCTACCTTGCATGACATATTGCATAACGGGAATTGGCAATCGCTTCAACGACATGTCATAAAGACGTTTCTTCACAGCAAATGGCATTCGAAGAGTGTCGTTTCCATTATCATGAATATGGAAATAATTATATCGCACATGAATCGCTCCGCTGTAAACATTTGGATAAAAATAATTTTTATTGAAATTTCTCGATTACAATTGGTATGTCTTAAGAACGAAAGCTGTGCAAGTGTCGACAACACGGCCATTTACATCATCTATGTCGTCTTCCATCATTTCTGGCCACATCTGTAAGAATGTTATAATTGATAATGAAAATCGACTACTGATACCGGATCTTGTCTACTTGCATAGTTACATTTGAAGAATTGGACAGAACCAGGCTGAAAATTTTAAAACAAGTTATATGAAAACACTTGAATTATTGAATTACTTTCGATTTTATCCGAATATTCGGCTTCGGACCGAAACGTGACGTATCGTAACCGGTTCTTGAAACCGAATTAAGGAAATCCTAGAAAAATAGTGAATGAAACAAATACTAATGGAAAAAAATAGGCGAGTTTACCTCAAACTCTTTTTCTGAGAAAAATTCAGCACGTCGAATTATAGTAGGAGCAGAGTGCAAAATGTGCAAATGATCGCATAGCTTTTCAATAGTCGAAAGACTATCAGCACATTCCGGACATCTATATTTTTTCGGTATTCCCGCGGAGCAAATTCCACTAGCGCTGATCATTTTCATATGTTGTGTGTGAACTCTTGGTGTTAAAAAGTTGTTGCAGCCATGACATTTCGTTAGCTAAACCAATAGTAGATATAGCTTTAATTTCAGATAATTTATCATACCTCAGGCGCATTAATTAGTTTATCAATATGTGACTTCACCTGAATGTTAATTTTATTAATCAAAAATCGAATTATATACCGTATCAATTCCGCTCGTTTTCAATGGCATCATGCTCAGAGGTCTCCTCGAAACTTTGGAAGGTGTCACGTTGTTACGAAAATTAGGTGTCATTATTCGTCGTTTCTTGACGTTTCGTTGAGGATTAACAGGTGACTAAATTCAATTAAATCAATCCACGTAAATAATTTAATTTATTTTTTCTGCTAATTGGTAGTTTCATACTCAAACAAAACTTGTTTTTATTGATTTTAATTATCCAAGACTATTTTCAGTTATTCTTTTTCCTATTTCGATAAATATTCAATTTAATGTTGCTTATTTAGTTCAATGGAGCGCATTTGAAGCCTTTTTTGATTTATTTACTATTGCCATTAAATTATATTGAAACTTCGCCACAACATTTCTCATTTAATTTTTCTTCACACTTCTGATTTTTTTTTTGAATTTTTTTCGTTGAATTTCCTATTATAATAAGCTACATATTCACTGTCGCGAACAACGAAAAATCGGCACGAATACGAGGATTTAGTTTTCCGTTAACGTTAAATTTCCCGTTCGCAAATCTTCATTTTCGCGCGAATTAACTCTTCGCCTTCTTGTGTCAGTTGGCGACTGCTGTACGCGGGTAGATTTACGGGGATGCGTCTTTCGAAATGGTCTCGCAAGGACTAACAGGTTATTTCAAATTTTACGGACCGGTTTGATAAGGATTTAATCGCGTACAGCAATCGCCGGACGCCGACTATAATTATACTGTATTAAGCATGAAAAATATTGTAAAACATTCCAGTAATTTGAATATTGTTTTTCTTATGTCTAAAAATGTTTGTTTTATGATTTATTGTTGCCTTTGTAATCATTAAATAAAAAAATTCAATTACTTGACCAATAATTAATGTTTAAATACCTCAAAAAAAATTTTTCGAATAACCAACCTTTTCATGTTGTCGAGATTTAGCAGTTTCTTCTGCTATCGATTGAAATTTGGAGCGCAGATATTCCGGAAGATACGATTCTATTTGTCTCAACGTCTCGCTGAATTTTGAAATTGAAAAAAAAAACCATTTTAAATATTGGCTCACTCTTCATTTGCAAGGGGTTTTGTTTCGGCTGGATATGGCGGTTGCGGAACTCGCGTACTAGCACTTCTAAGTGATTCTGCAAATACTTTTGTATCAAAATGATGTTGTTTTCACTATGTGGGTTCTTTTTCATGTACATATAAATATAACAGTCCCAAAAAAAAACGAGCACACTGTTTTGATTTACGGAAAGTTAGTCTCGCATCGCTGGTTATCCGTGTACGGTAACGGAAATTCCACAGTTGTAATAAATTCAGATTTGGATTACCGCAACGAAAAAATTATCCAAATTGTTCAAGGTGCTCGTTTTTTCGATGGTAATACTTAATTTTTTTTCTTATATCTTACTTTGAAACGGTGAACTTGTGCTAGGGCCAGCGCCAGAGTTGTCATCACAACTTTCTCGTTTCTTCACTTGTGGTGATTTTGGCGGACTTTGCTGGTGTGGCGGTCGTCTTGATGGTCCAGGCATTTGGCTTCTTTCCATTATTTCGTCGGGCATTGTCTCATCAGCTCGTAAGGAATGCCCAATATCTTGATCTCTTAGTGGTAATTGCCTGATGATTTCATCGCTTACAACTTCAAGCTTTCTATTTTCTGCGACCATATTACGTACTTCTGAAATTAAATCCCTTAAAAATGACAAGGCTTTACCTTCCCCTACAATTAATAAATTATATAAACCCTAAAAATGTTATAGTTTACCGTTCCCAATTTTTTTTTCGAAAAACGACAATAAATAAGAGTAATATCCGGTTACCTTCCGGAAGAAGTCGCTCGCCATTTTCATCCTCATACACAATAGTATACTGCATTCCATCTTCTCCGTCGATAAATTCTTCAGTTATAATTTCTTGCGTTCCGTCATCGAACAAAACTACATCTAAAAATTGAAATTGCGACATTTTTGGATTTATTTTTAATAACCTTCAGATATATATTCGTGTGTTACCAACTCGCCATTATCATTAAATTCTTGACCCGGGTGGTGTACAACTTGCTCAATTTCGTTATCTTCTATTCCAGGAATTGTTTCTTCAATTACATTTTCTAAAAAAAATTGTTATTATTGTCACTATTTAAAAAATCAACCATTTGTTGGAGGAGACGACTGAGATGGAGGCCTACGGCTGGCAGGTAAAAACGGTCTTGATCTTCTTATCCTTTCGAAACTTTGTTCCGTTCTGACTGGCTGCTCAGACACTACTGAAATAGTAGGCGGCCTATTATTATGACGAGTCGACATACACTCTGAAAATTTTTGTTGAACCATAAGTTTAAAAAAAATCTCGTTTACGAAAAAATTCACCGTAAATTATTCTATGAGAAAATGTATTATTATATTCTTCCAAAATAATGGTTGTATGGAAGGCTGTAAACCAAATGAATAAAATCAGAACCATAGAGATTTTTTTAAAAATAGAATTTCAATTTTTTGAAACGACTAAACATTTTTAAAAAATTTGTTTGACTAATTTCGTTTCTTTTATTAATAGGAACCTAGGTCGCATACCCTCAAATAATTGGCCGCGAAATTTTAAATTTCTATTTAAAAAAAATTTTAAATTTCGCGGCCAATTACCGCACTAATTTTTGATAAATCTGTGTGACTTAGAATAATACCTATTTTCTTCTAAATTAGAAATGGATATGATTCTATTTATTTTACATATTAGACATGCCTTTTTAACAATTCATTAAGTGGATATAAGCTTTTAAATAAAATGCGTTTAATCACCTTTCGATGCATGCACCATTAAATTTATTAAAAGATATCATCTTGGATTGAATATATTACAATATATGTTTCCTAACTGTATTGATGCAAATCTGCGCATAACTGCGCTTTACTTATTACAAATGTGCAAGTAATCAAAAAACGAATATAAAGACAGCAGACGCGCTCGAAACGCACTATGTTCTATAGAGCGCATTTTACCCCTCGTGACATGAGTGGCCTAGAAGTTTCTTGTAGAAACTTAGTCCTTAGGCCACAGCCATGAAACGTGAAATTTGAATTTCGGTTTTCTTTTTTTTCATTTCTTGATATGTGTGTTCATGGTTGTTAATAACAGATATAAAAAAAAAACAATTAAAATATTTCATTGAATTTCATGTCCGAATGTATTAGCTTACTCTAGTTTGGATGGAATAAAAATATTGAAAAATTTCAGGTAAAATTGTAGATGAATGAAACGCATTTCTCTAACGACCAGGTCCCCAAATTTGTGGAAGTGAATAATGAAACCACCGGAAAAACGAAACAAATTGTATATTATATATTGTGATTCTCATTAGCAGAACATTGATTTTTCAGAGAACTGAAGGTGCAGACTTTTCGTCCGATTCGAATACTGTTATAAATACACTTCTTATATGCGGATTATTAGTTACAGTGCAGTTGGCACTTGGACTTGGGTCTTATTCAGGTATTTTTTTTGGAGTTCTCCAACGTAATTCATTCGTAGGAGAGAATAGCCCACCCATGTATGGCGATTATGAAGCACAACGCCATTGGATGGAAGTAACAGTCAACTTACCAGTTTATTTATGGTATAATTTGCCCAATTTTTTGAAAATGTTTATTAATTAAGGTACATCAATGGAAGTAACAACGATTTATTGTATTGGGGATTGGATTATCCTCCCCTAACAGCTTATCATCATTATGTTCTTGGCAAAATGTAAAAAAAAATTTATTTTTAAGTAATATCAGATTTAGCGCGAAAATGATCAACCCTGATTGGGTGGAACTCCACAAATCTCGTGGGCTCGAGTCAACTTCCCACAAGATTTTCATGAGAATTTCTGCAATTGTTCCATTCTTTATTTTCTACATTCCCCCATTGTTTTATTATTTATTTAAATCAACGGTCAGAAGTAAATTTGTAACTCATGTTGAAAATTATATTTTAGTCCAAAATTTCGCCAATGGACCGATTTCGATTAATGAGTTTTGCTGCGTTATACCCTGCAATATTAGCTGTAGATAATGCGCATTTTCAGTAAGTAATTCAGATAGTTCAAATTTACACATTTTTCTCGCAGGTATAACAGTATTTCGCTTGGCTTATTTCTATTTGCATATGTGTTTCTGACCAGAAATCAGCTTTTCGTCGGATCAATTTTTTTCGTTCTCGCTTTAAATTACAAGCAAATGGAGCTCTACCATTCGTTGCCAATTTTTATTTTTATTCTTGCACGAAGTATAATACAACCAATGGCTGAAAATTTACCATTCATGTAGGTTTAGAATGTTTATTTTTAAGTTGCACTAAATCATATTTAAGAATGATGAAGATCTGCGCGATTGGTTTCACCGTAATTGCAACATTCTGTGCAATTTGGTATCCCTTCATAACGACCGACACATTTCCATATGTGTTGATGAGGGTGTTTCCATTTGACAGAGGACTTTACGAGGATAAAGTTGCCAGTTTTTGGTGTGCATATTCATTCGTTATTAAACGTCTTCCACAATCATTTCAGTCGTTTCAAATTGCTTTGAGGTTACAGATTCTAGAAGGCGAAACGATTAATTTTTGATTTCAGTGGTCTTTCGGTCATATTCCTCTCAATTCCATCCATAATTGCGCTGTTCCTTCGTTCAACCGACAAGAATTTCCGATTGGCGCTTTTCAACGTTTCGCTTGTGTTTTTCTTATTTTCATTTCACGCGCATGAAAAAACAATTCTTCTAGCCTCTGTGTAAGTTTGCACACAAAATACGCGTTTCATCCTAAGAAATTATACAGGTGTGCTCTTTTGCTGTATCCGGATTACCCAAACGAAATCTCGTGGTTTTTAAATATTTCAAACATAAGGTGACACAATACGGAAAATTTTTATAAATAGATAATTGTTTCAGTATTTATTCGCTTTGCCTCAAAGACAACAATCCAGGAATCCTTTTACTATTCGTTGCATTTTTTGTTTGTACTACTATCTATTCAAAGGTATTGTTGTTTTGGTCGGACGACCTGGACTGGTCCCCTCATTGTAAATTGCGGACTTTTTTTTCCAAAATCGCGCGTTATTATTTACCGTTGTTTAGTAAAATTAGGGTTAGCATTAATTCAAGGACCCTGCAGGCCTGTTTTTTATTTGACAAACTTACCTATTGTCGGAGTTAAATGACGGGGCAAAATTTAAAAAAAAAGATTGGCTATGTGTCGCGAATTTGAAGGCACATTCCTTCAGTCGTTTGACGCCAACAATATATAAAGTGACACTTATATTAGCAACGAGGCGGGGAGACCCAGAAAATTTTACCGTTCAAAAAACTAGCACTTGCTACCTGTTAGGTTAGAAAATGATGTGATTCGGAAATAAAACACGCGTTTAATTTATGGTGCAATGTAGAGAAAAATACAGGAAATTGCAATGCAGAAAAAAAGAAAACATTTTTTTCTGCGAAATTTTGTCAATTGTTTTCTTCTTATATTTTCTCTAAATTAGCCTTTAAAAAGTTTAAGCGTTTATTACGCTAATATAGTTCTATGCCGTAAATTTTGTGTCGTTACGGGTCGGCAATATTTTCTGACCTGCCACGGGTCGATGCGCAATTAATGATTACAAGTCATTTCTAAAAACAAAATTTCAGAACCAGTCTGGTCTTCAACCGATTTCTATTATCGCCGGGTTTATTATTTGCTTATTCGAGTTATTCGGACCAATTCCACCCCGTTATCCGCATATCTATCAACTTGCCAATGCATTCTTTTGTTGCAATCACTTTTTGATGTTTTTATTAGTATTTGTTTATAGAATCTGGACGAATATGAGTGAGAAATCGTCTTCTAAGCGAAAACGAAAGACTGATTAGATAAATAAAGGAATAAATGTTAATTTTCAATTGGAATTTCTTTTACGGGAATGTAGTCACAGTTCATGTTTTTTAAACGTTCGATTACTTTACTGATTCCTTCAGTTTCCACGAAGTTTGGTGGTTTTTGAAGAGGGTTTGATGGCAGAACGCACTTAAATAAAAATCAAAATTGATTGGTTTTAAAAATGCGAATACCAATAAGTAGTCAAGCAAGTTTTTATCGGATTCAACTTGCTGATAGCTACTGGATTGTTGCAAATACTTTCTGATAATTGTTTCGAGCTCTTTCCTATAGACATCAACCTTCTGTTCAGTAAACGGAACATAAATTCCGCGGGTATCAAATGGAACGTCGACAGTTCTTTCACCTTTGAAAACATCGATGTCGTTATTCCACGACCCCTGTAATTCAATATTTGTTTCAAATGATAATAAAATATTTATACACCTTTCGATTTGATACATGTTTGGATATTTCCAAAATTTGTCCGAAAATCTCAAATTCCATTTTATATTTTCGATGAATAAACCCAATTATCTCTGCGACTCGATGGTCAACAGACTGAAACTAGCTCTTAAATTTTCAGAAATTAATATGTAAAACCTTTAAATTAATAGATGGAATGTTTTGAGAGAGAAATGCTCGCATTACCCATTCTGCATCATTAACAATTGAATCGATAAAGTATCTACATTTGAAAATAATCGAAGTAGTGCGATGTGTCGACGTACCCCCCTTCCAAAACTGCAGCTACTGGTATTCCAGTGTTTGTAAGCATACGAATCATTGTCGCATACCCAGCTGGAGTAACCCTCATAAATCCCTCCGGGTCTCCTATAATATATATATGAACAAAACCAGAAAGGTTTAACATTGGACTGACCTAAAGCCGCGTCGAATCCACATGAGATTAATATTAAATCGGGTGATTTAGAATAAATCAATGGCATAATAATTAATTGAAATATTGCCAAATACTCTTCATCACCGAATCCGATACCATTAAGGGGGACGTTTAAAGTGTTCCCGACTAAATATTTACATATTGGAAAATATATTTCATTATTTACTGTTTTTTACATTTATGACGGACTCCAGCTTGAGGCAAATTTGGCCAAAACGTTCCATCTTCGTAACGATGAATGCTTATAAGTTGAATTTCGTCCACATTTTCAATGCATTCTTGAGTTCCTTGACCCGCGTGAACATCAAAATCTACTATTACAACGTTTTTCGCTCCAGCTTTCAAGGCGTGCTTGGCGGCAATCGCAACGTTATTGAAGATACAGAAGCCGCATCCTGCATTTGGCATCGCATGATGTCCTGGTGGCCGAACTAGCGCAAGTCCCGATCGTCTAGAAATCAATAGTGGTTGATGAAAGCTGAAGCAGCCACTATCTCACTTGTTTTTGAGACAATTTGTTGCCAAATCAATAGCACATCCAGCGGCCATTTGAGATAATCTCCACGTGTGCTTATTCACGTAAATATCTTCATAGTTTGTACAGAAGTGTTCCTGTTCATCCTGAATATATTCGATTTAGAAAATTTATTTAATTTCTGAGATAGCTAACTGTATTCAATATCTCAGTCGATTTGATATCGTCAATGTATCGCCGAGTATGAACTATTTCAATTTCGGCTTCAGTGGCAAGTCGTGAATTCAGAACTTCAATATTCTCATTTTTAGTGAATCCGACATCCTGAATAATCATTCTTTCCAAACGAAAGTTTTATTGGTTTTGGTTGACTCAAATATATTCCTGATTTGAATTAGAATTTTACTGCAACTAGGAAAGGAACAAAAAAATGGTTCAAACTGTGGAATTATCTATTTTTCATCCAGTTGTGGCCTTTTCCGAGATGCAGTGGAAACCAATTATATTTTACAAAATTTTAAAAAATTAAAAGATTGGATTTGAATAAACTTAAAACCTCAAAGCGATTGATGATAGATCGTAATCTTGTAGGAACTTCAATATGATACGTCGGCCACGGACATTCATGTTTTTCCATTTCGCGATCAAATATCAAATACACTTTCTCGCAATCCATCTGAACGTCAAAATGGAAAATTCTGCTTCAGAAGACTACGTTAGAAATAACGGCGAACACCACAATTTTAAAAACTAAAAAAACAAAAACATTTAAAACTTTTATCGCGTTGAGAATACATATTTGGTAATTGATGACAACATTAGATATCAACGTGCAATATATTGATAAATGCGATAAATAATGCAGTATGAACATTAACAGAGGAGAGTTAAGAGAGTAAAACGTTTAAAACTACAAACGAGAGGTAAATGAATTCAGAATTTATACATGTATGATGAAAAGGATTACGTAATAAATAAATGGGTGGGAAATATCTAAATACATTTCAGCCACTAGTAGTGGGCTGTTGCTCACTTTCAGCTTGCTGACGAACGCTTGTACAATGCGGACAGTACCACTGCCCTTTTGGTGGGGGAAAAGTGATGCCCACACAAGGATAGTGAAACCAAAGATAAGGACACTGAAAAAAGCGATCAGCATGAACTAATATTATATGATATTCTTACCCCAGGCCCGTCACAAGCAACCATATCACCATAGCTTTTTTCGTTACAGAAACACCAACGGCGCGAATCTTCGCTACCTTCATCATCATGATCAGATCCTTGAAATAGATCAGTGAAATGTACAACAATTTAATAATGAATATTATCGCAGAATAGCACTTATTGAATTTCTGAGATCCTCCATTAGAAAAGCAAATTATTACCGTCGTCGGTAGTTGACCGCTGACGAGGAGCCGATGGTGGTGTTTGAACAGTGGTCGGGGTCAATGGTGGACGTTCCTAAAAAATTAATATAAAATTAATTATTTGAGTGAATAAGACAAATACGTTTGGGATGGCCGCAGCCGGAGTTGTCACATGGGCATGATGAAATCGCTGCTTAGAAAGCGATTGATTGAACATTTCTTGAGCTCGAGAGGTTAGTCTGAACCAATTTTACTTTATTTATACATACTTGAATTTGATTACTTACTTTCTTTGTCTTCCGTGTCGACTTTCAGAACTCACAAATGTTGGAAGTATTGGTTGAGATTGCGGCGTACCAAAATTCTGAAAGAATATGTGTCAAAGCTGTTTGGAAATTCAGGAGCATTGTTAAAATTTTTAATATTTAAAACGTCTAAATTGATAGTACCGATCCTGTTGAATGTTGGGATTCTTCAACTGTAGCATTTGACCAATTATGTTCAGAAACATTTGGAGACATTTGTGATGACGAATTGCGCGGTGTTCCAAACTGGGATGGTCGAATTGTGTTCGCATTAGATCGACGCTAAACAATGTTTGTTCAATTATTATAATATTACGAAGAAAATTTATAGAATACCCTGACACTAGGAGTTGTTAGTGGTTCTTCAGGAGCTGTCGAAGAAAGCATTACACTACCACTAGTTGGGTTCTGAATCGAAAACTTCGGAGGACGACCACGCGGTGCAGGTGATGGAACAGATGAGGATTGAGCCGATGGGGAAGACTGAAGAAATTTTTCGTAAGATATATTAATAACCCAATATATACCGATTCATCAGATTGATCATTTCTCTGTCGGGAACCTTCTTGAAGAATTCTATAATAACATTTTTTCCGTTTTTATTAATGAGTCCGCATCAAAACGTAACTACAACATATATGTACATATATACATTTACAGTTTTTTGCTTGTTGTCGCTTGTATCAGATTTTATATAACATACCTAGCAATTTTTTCGGTCGACTCCTTTGACAGAATCCCATTTACTACACTATCTCTTGAAGAAGCCCCAGTGTGTCTACGCTTGCGTTGTTCTTTACGACTTGCGATTAAGCCCTCAATGTATTCGGTATAGCCTGAAAACCGTTTTTTTAATGCTAAAGAGAAACAACTGACGTTTCTCTATAATTCCAGTAACGCCAGAATTGTCAGCTTCCATTTCACATTGAAATGCCGTTTTCTCCTTTTCCAAATGATTCTGATATTTGGTGAGCAAGTCTTGCATTCGTTGCGCAATGTTGTATTTTTGTTCAGCAATCGCCCGAATGTGTTTATATTCCTAAAATGAAACCAATACGAAATTGAGCAACTCTCAAGAAACGTTCTGTGCACTTTAAATAATGAAATATTTAAAAAATATATTACATCCTGCAATCCGTTATATCGATTGACACGCTGCTCATGTGTCATTGTAAGACCGCTTCGTTCAAAAAAGTCGTCAACGGCATCACGATGGCGAGCAAGAAGTCCTTTAAAAATTATTATTACCATCGCAAAAAAAACGAGCCTGGAAGAATTGTGAACCATCACCCTATTTCGAGGCGGTAATTCAAATTCGAATTTAAACATTGGGAGTTTGAATACCGTACTGCGAATAACCTGCGAAGCTAACTAACTGTTATTTAAAATAGGTATTATCAAAAACAGACAACTGGAAAATAAAAGAATTTAGAGATTTGTTTCTTGGCACAAATTTAACAATTTTTTGCATTAGTTTTGATGCATATTATAGTTTTGCATATGATTTGTTTTGCATATATAATACACAGTCAAATGGTAAATTATTGCGAGATCAAGTTGCACCGAATTTTTACACGCCGCCGACCGGAAATGTTCTGGACAATAATAAATAAGCCGCTTACTTTCCACTTCAATATCCAATCTTTTTATTTCATCGCTTCGTTCTTTTAGTTCTGCTGGTAGTTCCTCGAGCACTTAAGCAGGATATTCAGTGACAAAAAAAAACAAATTAAAAACTACTTTCTAAGAAATCGTCGAGGAACAGCATCTCTCGAAACTTGATGGCGGCCAGCGCCCCAGCGATAGTTACCCTTAAATATAACATATAATATCGAACAAAAATACGACAATAAAAGTAATGAATGCGGAATAAAACCAGCATGAAAATACAATCAATTATGTTCAAAATTTTATTGAAAAAAAAAACCACGAATTCACCGACTAAAACTAAAATGATAACACCTCTATACATAATAACTCTGCCCTCTAAACTCGTCGTTAAACAAAATCAAAATCAAATGATTGCGCAGAAAATGGTGAATTTCTTAAATACTCGTCCGTTTCCATGATTTATTCCAAATCGAAGGAATAGTTGGTGATTGGATATCTTTGCGGATCTTCAAACGGATAAGCTCGATGGAAATCGTAAGGGTATTGTTTTGGCATCTGTAACGTTTGTATTTTTTATTATGAAGAAAAAAGTCAAATACGTACCACAGGATTTCTCCAACGAAGGGCATTCGGATGGTCTGTGCAGAAATACCAAGTAATAAGTGCCATTGGAACGAGAACTCGAAGACACATAATAATTGATCCCCAACTGAATTTATATTCATTTTCACATTACTTTTTTTATTTTCAAACGTTGTGAAGTCTTCAGCCTCCAATCCTGTGAACGTCAATCTATCTCCACGGTAACGCATCATGTCAATTCCGACCTTAAAATTATTCCAATCCATATTTTATGGGCAATATTTTTAAAAATATTTACCAATTCTCCCCAATTTCTGCGATTTTGTCTATCAGACCATGCTTCATAAGGATCTTTATGATCATAGGTAATCACTCCAAGCTCTGGATAATCTCCCGCAAATCTAACGACATCGTCTTTATCGATTGGACGATAGTCTTCCGGACGCAATCCGTATCTATTAAAAAATGAATAGTTAAGAAAAATTGAATGAAAACGTTACTTGATTGCAGCGGCGCGGCGCTCTTCCTCATTTTTTGGTGGTGCATTTGGCTTGTGATCACGGGGGTACCATCCATCAAATGTCAGTGGTCCACGCACTTTAACCAAATCAAATTTTTTAAATAATCAATACATTTTTCTTACTCGAAACAATTTTCGACGTGTGCAGAGATCGCCTAGCAATGGCCGCTCTTAAAGAAGGGGCCAGCATACCTGAAAATGGAAAATATGTAATTTTTAATACATTTTTTATTATGTAAAAAACGGAGTACATTTAATTTAAACCTCTTAGAAAAATTTGTCGAGAATTAACATTTATATTAATTTTTCCAGAATCACGTGAAAAAAATAAATTGTAGTCAACAAAAATATAAATTTAAACATAAATTTAAAACAAAATTAAATACTTTGAGAAATCTTGACAAAGAGCTTCAAATGTAAATAAACAAAAAATAAGCAGAATCAATCGATCCGGACGCTCTCGCTCAAGAAATTCGCACACGTGACATACTGCTACCGTACTCGAAAAACGCGTCGAGAGACTTGTCTGCGTCTCTCTCAAATGCACGTTGTTTTCTATGTTTTTCATATTATATGAAAAAGGAATCGCGAGAAAGTGCTCACACAGAAACTTTCATCTATACTGGCTCTGTATATATGAACTAACAAAACAAATTATTTGCTAACATGTTTGTGATTATTTTAAAATGTTCAAATTTTAGGTTTCATATTTTCAAGGTTTTTTCATTAGTCAAAATTTTAATGCATTTTATCTCAAGCAGAGTTCTCGCAATTTTTTAAAAGAGACCTTCAGAGACCGTTTATCTGCTTTCATGATGCCAAGATTTGTCAAGTTGTTTTCCATTGCAGCTGCAACCCTTTTGTTCTATCATTTGATCGAAAATATACAAGAAATCACCTGCGAAATATGCGCGAGGAGTGAGATTTCATCACATTCCATCGCACTTATAATTGCGCAAGTGTCATAAAAGAAGACTGCATATTAGACTGCGTTTCTGCAGCGTATCGCTCACGTGATCTGATAGACAGGTGTTCAGGAGGTAGTCAGTCTATCCGGCGATTGCTCACTCTACATCTACGCAATATTAATTCGCGCAACACTTGTACTCAGAGTCTACTTACTTTTATAAACTATTTGTATTAATATTCGAAGTCTTTGCATAAAAAATAGAAAAAATTGTTTCAGGCTGCCATCGTCAATATCACGAAGAACTGCATGCAATGTTCAGATCGATCGTAAGTGTTTAAATTGAATGTTTCTAATTTCTAAGTTTCACTGGCTTCGTTTTTGATTGTACCTCTTTCTAAGTGCAACCCTTGCTGATACGAGTTTCTCAAACCCAACCTTGAGTTTCTACTGATAAGCGCAACATTAAATTGCTTTGTTCATATTGCAAACGATCAAACTCGAGATTTTGCAATTAAACACAATTTTACTATATTCCAGAAGCGTGAAAAACCTGCCATGTCGGTGGAAGAAAGAAAGGACGGTCCGAAGCAGGAAAAAATCCGCAACAATCTAACGAAAGATTTGGAAACTGTTGTAAAAGCAGCGATTACTTCTCCATATTCATCAACCGAAAACATCCCCAGGTAATATTTGGTTAATCATTTGCGCGCGGTACATTGATACATTTTAAGCGAAATTACCCAAAACCTCTGCAATTCAATCGAAGCAATTTTCATTCATGGTTTACGTGATCCGTTTTTCTTAAAAGGAACGAGATATTCGAAATATCCAGAACCGGTTTGTTTCATCTTAATTGCATATTTTCTGAAATATCGTTTTTTCTCAGAATTTTTGGCCTTTTGTTTCAAAGTATTCCCATAAGGACATAATATTTCAAATTACCCGACATCAACAAATCAAAACTGAGATCGGAAAGAGTCGCGCATGGATTCGAATTATTTTAAATGAGAATTCATTGAATCATTATCTAGATTTGCTTTCGGCTGAAAAAAATGCAATACAGTAAGTTTTTAAAAGTATTTTAGAACTATATGTATTCAATTTAAGGCAATTTTATGGTGAAGAAGCTTTCCTTCGCTATCTAGGTGATAACGAATACTCGGAACGAATTCGTGGAATTCTTAAACCTCTATCTAAACTTCCTATTTGCGTGAGATTTTCGAAAGTATTTTACAACTATATTTTTTCCCTTTAGGCTGCCACTAATAGCTCATTTCTTAATACATGGACCCCAACCCCGTTAATTTTGGCAGGATTGATGGACGGAAAACCATTGAAAGGTAACATTTTTGGTAGATACGTGATGTGTGCACTGAACTATGTTTCAGTTGGCACACTCCAATCTCGCCGTAATCCGCGCAAAGGTAGTGAAACAGAAGAAATTGCGATAAGTGCGCTTGACGTGCTTGTACCCGAAGAAGATCATGATATTGGGTCTCCGAACCGATTAAGAAGGAAACGATTAGTCAGCCGGGCAACTCAACGTATGTCCTCAAATGTGCTCTTATTTGCAATTTTCAGTACATAAATGATTTCAGAGAGTGAAGATGATGATAGATCATCGACATACTCACATCCGTCTCTCTTGGATACAGGAGATATGGGATATCAGCATGCCGCTTTTTCGTCCAAAGTGAACATCCCGCCTTCCTCCGGTATTTTGCGTGGAAGTTCGAGCCATCGCTTGCAATTACCTCAATCGCCATTGTTTTCATCAACTCCTGTTGAAAACACGATTTTAGATGTAATTGAGACACCTCAAGATACAACAACTCATAGTTTTCCGGTACAATTTTAAAAATGTTTAAAATTAAACATGAGTTTTTAGCCATTGATTGTTACTCGTCGAAAAAAACGGCCTTCAAGGAGCTCGAAATCGCGAAGTTCGAGCGAGTCGGCTTCGCGAGAAGAGATTATTTCAAATCGAGAATCAAGAGCAAATAGCGAATTGCCTGCAACGATATTCGGAACCATTCCCAATAACTGTTCATTTTCTGTTGACGAAAAGTTTTCTGAAGACGACAGTGGAATTTGCAATCAAGAAAAACGGTATATTTTTATCAACAAACGGGTAATATTAGAAACTTTGAATCTCAGAAGGTCAACATCCCTTCTGGAAGCTATGAATGAATTGGCTTCGTCGACTCCAACGGACCCTGTAATTGAGAACTTTTTATCGCAAAATGAAGCTGTAGAGCAACGCGCTGAAAATGAATTAAAAGAAGTTTTAATCGAAAGGAGAGAGACCATAGATGAATCTGAAGTTTTTAACGGTTATAATTAAATTTATATTAGGTTTTCAAAACCGTTATTTTAGTGGAAGACGAGCCTGAATCTCCTCTGGACATTGAAGAAAATCAAAATAACACAAACAGCTCGGATCCGCAGCACGAGGTAATTTTAGTCTCATTTTCTTTTAAATTAAAAAAAGTCAATTAATAATCTTTTATTTAAAAAAAGCCAACTAGTAATCGCTTAAAGTCATTAAATAAGAAGGATAAATAATTTTTAGTAGCGATTTTTTGACTTTTTGGTATCCTGTATTCGATAAGAAAATGTTCTCGGTGTGTGCGATAAGTTTTTGATAATGAAATGTCTGCTGATTTGATGTTTCGTTATTGCGTTTCCATTTGCCCTTCAGTTAACCCGCGAAAATGTCGATTTCCAAATTTGATTATAACAATAATCGACAATTATTCGTCGCTTCTTCACCTGACATTTCGTCTGAATTCATGACGAGACCTAGAATGTCACGTCGACGAAGTAGTCTAGCAGATGCAATACAAGAAGTCAGTCGTGCTAAAAATTCAATATTTCGGAAATTTGTCAATTCGGTGCTAAAATCGCTCAACATTTGGCGAAAATCCGATTTGTCTTTGAAAAATAGATTATTTAATCTGGTAATTTTTTGTCTTCTTTGTTTTAATTAATGTTCCTAAAATCTTTTTTATATACATACGTATGGCTGCCGAAAATTGTATCTTATGCGCGTATTAGTATATATTTGCTCTGTGTTCACGAGTTGCTCATATGACTCTTTTCTCACTGATAACCGATATACTTATTTGGCATTTACGGAGACCAAAAATAATAACTATTATTATTAAATATTGTTATTCTTAAAAATCAAATCCTATGGTACGAATTCGTGAATAATCTTGGAGATTCGCGATAAGATATTCTTGATTTTTGTAGAGCGACTCAATTCTGGGAACTTCTCTTCATGATGATCTTCTTCAGGCACTTCCTTCAAATGAGAACGAAATTTATGAGGTTTAATTTTTGAGATTTGTCTATAAACCATCCAATGTTTTAGGCGGGAGCTCCAATTTACATTCAGCCGCCAGAAATGATGGGAAACAGTTTAGCGGCTATATCGGCTAGAAATCAATTGGCTTGGGAAACACGATCGGAACGTTCTCGCCTGTCATCGTCTTCGGATTCTTGTGGACCTGTTGTCAGTTTTGGACATGCTCTTCGAGCAGCCATGGATTGTGGAGGAAATGACGGGGTTTGTAAAAAAAAAAAGATGCAACATTTATTTTGTATCCCCCAAATATTGTCGAAGTCAAACGACTTGACAAAAAAATTCGAGGCAGCGAGATTGCGTACATTACATTATAACGTACGCACATTAAATATTCAGTTAACGATTAATTTAAATCTACACTGATTTTGCGAATTTGAAGGCTCCGTCTCCCTTCAGTCGTTTGACGCCGACAATACAAACCATTAATATTTACTATTTGTTTTCAGTTCAATGATTCGGCATGCACATCAATGCCTGAAAACTCGGATGAACTCGATACATCTTCAAGCTCACGGAAATCGTCGAAATGCTCTTCGGTAGCTGCAGAAACCACAGAAAAATTATGCAGAATTCCGCGTGAGAAAGGTCTTGACGTGCAGGATTTTCGATGTGCTATGTGTAAAAAATCAGTGGGAGGAACGACGTTTTCAAAGTTTGAGTAATATTTTACGGAAACTAAACAACTTTCTCACCAAAATTTATTCTAGAACGTGTGGCATGGATGGAATGTATTATTGTACAGAGTGTATGCGAAATGGCGGAAAGTCCGCAATTCCTGCCCGTGTTCTCATGGATTGGGATTGGCGAGAACGGTTGATTTCCGATAGGGGACGTAGCTGGATTGAAGCGAATAGAGTATTATTCAATTGTCTTTATTTTGAATTATCAATTTTTATAATTTTTAGGAAAAGCCATTTATAAATGTTTTGGAAAAAAATCCGAAACTTTATTCACATGTTTCGGAAATGGAAGCGACTCGAAATCTTAGAGAAAAACTACAATTCGTTTCAATGTATTTATTTAATTGTCGAGAATCAGTTGCTGAAGATTTTCGCCGACGAGTTTGGCCTAAAGAATACCTACACAATGATATTCACAAATACTCATTCTCGGTATGTTTCATAGTTTGCTAACTTTGAGTTTATAGTAACATTTTTTTAGGATTTGTGCGATGTGAAAAGTGGTAGTTTGCAAAAGAAGCTTAAGATCCTTCTCAATCATGCTGTGAGTCACGTGATGAATTGCACGTTGTGTAGGCAAAAGGTAAATTTGAATTCATAATTGGAAACATTTATAACCGTAAAAATGGCCTTAAACGATTTTTTGCGAATAATTTCTAATAAATTCCCACGCATTATCAAAAAATTCAAAATAATTGTTAAGGGGTTCATCTGCGAACTGTGCTCCGTAAACGACATCATCTATCCTTTCCAGACAGAAGAAACACATAGAGTTTGTTATTTGTTCTCGGAAAAACTCAAATCTTTTGAATTTAGTGCACAGTTTGTTCGGCAGTCTTCCACAAGCAATGCTGGTCAGCATCTTCCGAATGCCCGAAATGTGTTCGTCGGCATCAATTCGAACTTCGTCGTGCCCAATGCGACGAACCATGCGAAATTCTCGCTTTTCAACCGTGAAAAGCCCTGTTGAATGTACAAATGTATATAGTAATTTGTTGGTATCTGTTACTATTATCTACGATTTGTATAATAATTCGTTTACGAGTCTTGTGTTCCACTCAGGTGCACAAATTCATTTCGCTGTTTTCGACCTCATAATTTGTAGTGATTTTTACCATCTGTTCTTTCATTTTGCTGCTAAATATTCAATTAACGTTGTATAAACTTAATTTTTATTCGGTGAAGCGACTTTTTCTTCGAAAGAACAATATTAAGGCATACCCGTACAAGGTTGCGCAACAATAATAAATATAATACACATATTAAAAGACATGAAAGTGAAAAAAAGTTAAGGTAAAGATTCACTGGGATCTTTTAAAAAGCAATCAAAGGATATTAGGCTTTTTTTTTAATCATTTAAACCGTAAAATTAGTTAATTTATTTATTGTGGAGTTGTTTCCTTTTTTGCGGAATTGCAAGCATCGTCTGGAGTTGTACTGTATCCCTCGTCTTTAACCTTAATTTTTCTTTTCTAGATATTTAGTTTCTATTTTTACGAATTATTACCTCTGTTAGTGGTTCTAAATTTGTTTGACTAATAATCGATTCGCGTATAAAAGAAGTATCGATCGATGATCGCGGCATCTCAATCGATAACGACGGCGTGTCAACCGTTCGGAAATTTTTCGTCTCATCTTCCTCATCGTCATCAAATCCACTGAATTTTCCAATTTGTCCTCCCGTTGGCACATTTTGAGGAAGATCGACATGAATTGATTGCATTGGAGGAATTTGGACAAGACTAAGATCAGAAGCAGGGACCAACGATTCACCTAAAATATAATTGTTAAATAAATAAAAATATTTTAATTTCAAACCTGCTCCTCCTCCGGTGGTATCCATGGCAGATGTTGTTGGGGTATTTGAAGTAGATATTGGTCGTACTGATGAGCCCATAAAAGAAAATCTTTGACCAGATGATGATGATCCAAACGATGGGAACATCGTCTGTTGATGATGTGGAGTTGATGGGAACATTCCGAACCCGCCGAATCCGCTTCTCATCTGATTCAGTTGCTGCTCTAATTCGTTCGCCTTGCGCTTATAATATTCAACTTTCTTCTTTTCTTTTTCCAGTTTGTCGTTTTGTTGAATCATAATCTTCACAACATCATTCTTCTCTTTTTCGATCGTCTGCTTCTCTTTTTCGAGTTCTTTGATTTTTGACCTATCTTTAAGACGTTTCATTTCGTAATCATACAGCTTATCTTCGTAATGCCGTCGAAATCTTTGCTTAATTTCCTTAAAAACGCATAAATCAATTTTTAAGAACTGATTATTAATTACCTGAACTTTCGAGTCTTCATAATCAGTGTCCTTTTCATCATCATCATCATCAAGATGGGATTCATAATGACGATGATGTGATCCAATTGGTGAAGTATTCTCACTTCCATATTCAGAAGTTTCCCATCTCGAAGAGTAATGCTGTCTATCATCAGTATATCTTGAAGACCTCGATTTGTGTGGTTGGTGATGATAAGACGATGATGACGGTTGTTGATTATGTCGTGATCGCTTATTCTCTTTATAATTGTCAACAGCGAATGATCTGTGAGAATTTCCACAGTCATACTCATCTCCGTAGCTAAAAACCCAAGGTATAAAAAATAAATTATTATTTGAATGAAATCATACCCTCCAGGACAGCTTTGCGGCCCTTTTCGTAGTTTTGGAGCATTATTTGTGTGATAAGCAGCGGTTGGAGGAAGCATGTTGTCATCGGCAAATCGCGTAACACGAGATTTCGACGCTCTCCACGATCTTCGGCTAGAATCACGTTCCTGAAATTAAATGTTATTTATTATGAAGCTCATAATAATCTAATCAATTTTTACTTATTTTTTTTTTCAAAAAATAAGTTGAAAGAAAACTCACTAAAACTTCATCTCCAGCTGAAGCATCTTCTTTACTTTGACTTTTCTTGTGGCGGAATAAATTTCGAAAAATGGTCGCCATAACTCCACTGAAAAATTGAAAATGGTAGAAAACAGGAAAAAATAACAATACGAAAAATTGAGGAGAATAGAGATGATAAAAGAGGATGAAGCGAATGACAACAATGAACGAATGTTCACACGATTGACTAGACGCGCAAAATCGAACGAAACGAAAGCCGCGGAAATACGCTGCGGCCGACACGGACACGGTGTCATATGCAAATGATGAATGGAATTCGTTTGGTCGTTGACATATGATGAGCGAAGAAAATAATAAGCAGCATCGGAAGATACTTGAACACCACAAACGATTATTTATTTGTTGAGTTGTTCGACAGAAACCCCACAAGTGATACAGATAGGTGTGGCTTATTTGGCTAAGCACAGATATGGGCGGGGACTGGCGATTCGGGTGAAGGGGCAACGTTGCGATCGGCAGCTCGGGGCCGCAGTCGGAAATCCTTTCGGCAACTTCAAAACGAATTACCGACGACACACCGTTGGAGCGAATGTGTCAAAATGTGCGAATAGGCACTTTCTCGCGAACTAATCTTGGGAAACACCTTTGCAACAGCTTCCGCTCAAACAAGAGAGCCTTTACAACGACAAATTTTACAAAAAAGTATTTGAATTAAATAAAATATGAGAAAATTTAGTGCCACTACAAAAACAGAAAAATATCTAAACGAGAACTCAGATAGTAATCAAATATATTAGCATTTCGTTAGATTTTTCAGGGAAACTATTTTGAAAATTTTAAATATTTTGAATGCTTAGAATTACATTGCTATTCAAATGTTAAATTAAGTATAAAACATTACAATTAAAAACTGACCTTGCATAAATATTCAATGGGTGGATTGCGTCACACCAGCTTTGCGCAAAATTTTGGTGTAAATTGAACCTGTCTTGCGTATTCGCAGTGGCACTTTTCTTGGCTCGTCGGCGCGCGCATTGAGTTTTGCGTAATCCATGCTACCGCAACCAATTAATATTCGCTTTTTGTGCCGCCAATCGAGGTGGGATTATAATAAAGAGTCGGAAGCTGCCGCTAAGAACAACACAGCCTTTTTCCGTTTGCGGCGGCGGCGTCTCCTTTTTTTTGGGAATTGGGTTAATTGTCGAGACATGGCCGATGAAAACATGAAAAATCAAAATCAAAGAGAAACGCTGTACCGCGCTCGCATCGTGTTTTATCGCTTTTTTGTTTGATAACACGACTGACGCTGCTGATAGAAAATCTACGTTTCTTTTTGATTTGTAGTTGCTTAAATTAACGCGCCGGCCTTATTCGACCTTAACAATGAAGGAAATTGTGAAAAAGGTGAAGGGGCGAGTCGACGAAATTCGAATGAAAATGGCGGCAAACATAAATCGACGGACGCCGACAAAGTGAGACAGACATGAGATAGGCATGACGAATTACAGAAAAAAAGGTTTAGTCAGATTAAAACATTTTTGGACAACGATATTTTTCTTATATACGTAACATTTCGTTTATACATTAGTTGGCGAAAATTTCTATTTCTGTTTATTTTTATTGACTAAAACAGGTTTTATCAATGTACACTTTTATTTGTTTCTTTTTTTTTCAAAAATACTAAGAAAACCACTAACACATTATAAAGGTATTTTCAAAATTTTAATTTTTTAAAAACTATTAATGATTTCTTATTTTCTAATAGCAATATTGTCAAATAAGATAAAGAAAGCTATAAAAGGAAAAGCCGTTCCCACGTATATGGCGGGTCAGGCCGCCACTTTGAAGATACGCAAATAAGTAAGAAGATGGCTAATATAAAAGAACAGAGGTCCGAACATAGTGAGTATCTGTGTGCGCGCTGAGCGGCGGTGTGCGCAAGCCAATTTGAAAAGACGCGCGCGCATACGCACATCTTGGCCGACAGCCAGACAGTCGGAACCCCTTTGACATTGGCTGTGTTCATACGCCCTCCTTTGGACCGTACCGATTCGATTGATTTGCACATCTATATACTTGATTCCACTGCGATTCGACTATCCCGCCTTTTATGGTACTTGTTGCCGCTTTGTTACACGTTAATTAGTCGAGAGGACCGATCATAACTTGTTATTATATGGGAATTAATGAATGAACGACACATGAAACTCGCCTACCGACAAGGACATTCAGTACACAAAATTATGATCTGGACAAATGGTTACATAGTTCAAAACAATGTAATATATTAGTAAATAAAACAATAATTAATTGCATTTAATCGAATACTTACAAATTTTCTGCAAACACCTTGTCAGATTCATGCGTAGTTTTGATATACAGTAACTCATATAATTAAATATTTTTGATTGACTTACAATTGTTAGTTAATCGTGTCGTAGAAACGGCGAACAAACGTAAGATTGAAGACAAATGTTACCGTCTTCCAAAAACACGCACTCTCTCAAAGATTTGTCTGCGTTTCACCGAAATCTCTATTCACCGCCGTTTCTACAGCACGATTTCGAAGAAAAATGAAATATAAATTAACTTTATTCGATTGAAAAATTCTATTTGATTCTATTTGAAAACGTTGTTTCGATTCAAAAATTTTCGACATCGATTGATTTATTTCTCATTTTTAATATCTCAACGTATACCGGTATACTGGAGTTTTATTTGAGTTTTTCTAGTTTCTTCCCAAAATCTGCAAAGCATCATTAGAAAAAAAACGAGTATTAATTTTTTCCGTGAATTTGTTACTCATTAAAAACTGTATTTGTAATTTTCAAGTTAGATAGGGTTTTCACGTAATGCTTAATTCTTTTCAAATATACTAGGTATTTTGATCTCTGACTTCCAATTTTTCCTATATGGTACGAATGTGAAAACTATGAATAAATCTTTATTAATAATCCGTTTAGAAGCTTCTGTATCCGCGGTTTCCTTGAACACCCTCCGATGGTGGGGCGCGGTCCGGACAATGACAGTACTCGGCATCCTTTCCTGGACGTCCATCCGGTCCTTGGTCTCCTGGAAGACCGTCTGGTCCTTGTGGTCCTTGGCGTCCTTGTGGTCCCTCTGGCCCGACTGGTCCTGGCTCTCCTGGTGGTCCGTTGAGACCATTCTGTCCTGGAGGTCCTGGTGGTCCCTGGTCTCCGCGTGGTCCCTTTGGTCCCGGGCGACCGATCGGATGCTCGGCATCCCTTCCCTTCTCTCCTGGTGCTCCTGGCTCTCCAATCTTTCCAATTGGTCCTGGTGGTCCTTGCTCTCCTGGATGACCTGGCTGTCCATCGCGTCCTGGATTTCCGTTCTGGGCCTTTGGTCCTGGCAATCCACGTGGTCCTGGGCGACCCAAAGCTCCTGGTGGTCCAACTGGTCCTTGTGGGCAGGTGAAACATCCGACCGAATCTCTTTGTGGAGAAACATCCTCAGCTGGGACTCCCGGAATTCCATCAAGTCCTGGGATTCCGTCTTCTCCCTTGACTCCTGGAACTCCTTTCGGTCCTGGTGGGCCAGCTGGGCACTTGTTATCGGCATTGCAGTTGCATGTTGGTCCGTTTCCATTGGCGCCGTTTGGAGTTGGCGGCTGCTTGAAAACTGGCGGGATGGCTGGTGGGTTGCCTGGTGGTGCAGATGGGCTTCCATCACCGTGTGGTTGTGGTGGTGTCCCCTTGGTTTCTTCATACTGTCTGCGGATACGCTTGTTGGTTTGTCCCAAAGTCACAATATCGCGCCACATGTCGTCAGTTGTCAGCTAAAATCGACGAATATTTGGCTTAATTGAAAAATAATTGAAACATACGCGAAAAACTTTGACTTCGGACTCAAGCTCAACCCAGAATCCGGAAACGTCGGAATAGATCGAAGACATGGCGACGAGGCATGCCATTAAAGTGATTGCGCTCACCGAAGAGGCGACAAAGGTCGCGGTTTGTACCTTCATCTCTGGAAAAAATACATTTTGAAAACAAAATGTGGAAAAAAATTGGAAACGCACCTGGGATTGGTTTGAGAGAGAAAGTCTAGGATCGGAGACGATTTGGTGCGTTTTATACGTCCAAGTTTTCAAGTTTTTAGATGCTTTGTCCGATTCGAGAGATAACGACGACATCGGAGACGCAGCCATTAATCGAGAAATGAACTGGATAAGGCGATTTCGGAATGCGGAGTTTCGGTTTTTCTGTTTTGTGTGTGAAGAATGCAAGGAGCTGACATCAGTGGAAGGTTGAATGTCTTATATCGCTCGAAATAAAAAGATCAATCAAACGATAGTCGGAGTTGTTTAGTTGAAGGTCATCGAAGAGATAGATAGAATTCTTTCAAGTCATTTGAATTTCGAATGTCGTAAGGATTACCATTATGCAACTAGGATTCATTCATAGTCGATTAATATTGATCAAATTCGAAATATTTATTTTTGAAATTATGTTTTTATTAATCCACGAAACGTATCAGAATTATAACATTCGAATTTGAATATTAAAATAGGAATGAGAAGACTTTTCAAAATTAATTAACGATGTTAGCATTTTTTCAAATAGAGTAACAAATATCACAGAATCATTATAAAAATCAATTCAAGAATTAGTAGAAACGTTTTTAGATGAACTCGAAGAATGTGATAATCACGAAAATTGTGAACATCAAAGCCGACATCATATTGTTGAAAGCCAAGTAAATATGACGCCAATCTTGGGTGTAATCAACCTGAAAATTGAGATTCTCAAAAATGGATGTAGCAATTTCAGGTAGATGCCTCATTCGAAACACGTTGGTTCGGATTGTTTTCCATCGATTCCTCGACGTAACGATGATAAGCATCCGATCGTTCCGGTTCAATGCAGCAGATAACTCGGTTGATCTGTAATTCGTTTTTATGAATCCCATGGTCTCAAATTCCTAATGATGTCATAAATGTTTGAGTTTATTTTTGAAAACGCCGGTTTATTGCAGGGGACTGAATGCCGACAAATAGATGCGCAGCTGTGCAACACTCTAATAAACTTGACACTATCTTGATATTTATGTATATTAGTACCAGAACACAGCAGTAAAGGGGTTGCTAGCGGAATGGCGTTGGTTGCGAAAACAAAAAAAAAACAATATGTCTAGCACGGTTGTAAAACTGGCTCATATGACAATATAAAGCCATTAAAACAATTTGTTGAAAAAAAACTCATATTAGAAGTTGCATCTGCGGGTGTCTAGCATATGATCAATTTAAAAATCTCTATATTATTTTTAAGAATTTAAACTAAAAAAATTCAATTTTCAAACATACCAATTTCGAGACTAAAAATATGCGATGCGATGGTGGCACATTTCGTTTAACTCGACTCAACGCCATCACCACCAATGTTACCATGATACTCAAAAAGCTGATGCAGAAGACAATTTCATAAAACTGATCTGAAAATGTTACTCTATTAAAAATAATGTTGTATTGTGAATTCTTACAAATTCGCGGTCGAACTCCAAGAAATCCATTTGAAGGTGTGATCGAGCATAGATATAAGAAGCAGATCGTTTGCACATGAAGTGTGAACAATTTGACGAATAACTGAATTCGAAGATCGCCAAACAAAGGCGATGCCTATGTTGTTTCAATATTTTTTCGATCATGTAAAATTCAACTCACAAGCATCACATAAGTAGCCAATGTTACTGGGAGAGTCAGCGCCATTCGAACCGTCGACATTTTCTTCTCGGCTTTAATGCAAACATGTAGAACTTCTATCGTATCAATTCCTTTGAGATGCGAAACTTCAACTGTTTTTTCCTAGAAATATGTATATATTATTATCAAATGTTTAGTTCATTTTAAAAGATCAATATAAGTGGTTAATGCCATAAATTTGGCATACCTATAAATAGTTCATATGCACATGTTTCGGAAAAATTTTATCGGAACAAATATTTTTAATTTCTATGAGAAATATGAGAAAAAAACAATTTAAAATTAGAAACGCGACGCGTGTGAAAATTTGAAAATTGGCGCGAAATTGAAAGATCGTTCAAAGACTAAAATATACTTACGCAAACTTTTTTTTAAATGAATGCTTGTTTTTTTTAATTTAAATGAGTCGTGATATACGAATTTTAGAAAAAAAATTCAATCAATTTTCCTTGTTGAATCATTCAGCGTCGCAAATAAATTTAAAAGAAAAATAGTAATGTACCGTAATCACCCATGGCGAATGTTCATGGTTGATTTCGCCGAGTTTCTCGTCTTTTGAGAAGATTTTCTGCGAATACACAGGCCGATTCATCGTTTCTTTATTTTTTCCTTCAACTTCGAATTTTGTCTTCCGCGTATATGCTTCGAAAGCGGTAAAAAATATACAACAGCTGTCTTCTTCTTCGGGAAACCTTCAATAAATTCAAAGAATGGTCACAAACTCAACACATCATTTTGTACTTTCTATAATCCACCCCACAACTCGAAACATATTTGAATTGTATTCTTGCAAAAACCCGCCCATCCTTGTATATATCAATATCGTCAATTCCATACTGGCATCCGCCATCTAGGCAAAGTCTGAAACAATTTGATATCTCAGAGCACGGCTTTGTCTTGCTCAATTATACGCATGATCGATGACATTAGGTGTCCAAATTGCACTTGAATTAAGCAAACTTAAATGCTCGTTTTCTTTAAATAAATCTTCCTTCTCCCAAGCCAATCTTTCGTCAACCCAGTTCTAAATAAATTATGAAAATTGACTAATTTTATATTTAAATAACGAAACCAAATAAATATCGCCAAAAATATTGAATTGATACGTAGATCCGTGAACAAGTTCGACATATTTTATCAGCACAGTTTCAATCTGAAACAATCAATATTGATAAGTCCAACACTTTCTTCTCGATTCTCACGTTCAATTTCATTTCATCAGTTCTTGGTGGATAAGTGGAAAGTGCGTGCAAATTTCCGTCATTAGCAGCAGTTTCTTTCTCAAGCAAAAAATAGAAAAGACATTGCTCATTTCCATCTGTAATTTACACCTATTTAAATTTATCCTAAATAATAACAAAATACTTTTTTAAACATTCGTTTTTTTTTCTATAAAAATGAGAAAAATGGTTGAAATGATATTAATGTGTGAAAGTGAACAAATATAATTTTTTCTTAAAAAAATTTAAATTTTTCGAATATCAAAACAGACAAAGGAGTTGTTGCTCTGATCAAAATGAACTGTTAAGAAAATATCAATTAAAAAACCCGTTTTAACTTAAACCTGATAAAAAAATGCCCAATTCATACTGAATAAAATACAATTACCTTCCAATTTGAAATAAATAGTAATCTCGAGTATTTTTCCATTTTGAACGTCCAAGAATCAAGCCCAGGTCGGTCTATTAGAAACCACCCCGACTTTTTAACCCCTCCTTTTATTTATGATACCACCCCCACTTTTTCACCCCCAATTTTTAGGTTTCACCCCCCCCCCACTTTTTCACCGCACTTCGAAATTTGCATTTTCTAACAATAATGTTTAGCAGTAAATTTTTTTTTTAATTTGCAATAATGCAAGTTATCAAGAGGAGATTCCCAGGACTGATGTCTAAATTAGATTTTTCAGAAACAATGTAGTGTTCTTATGAAAGGCTGAAAATTTTAACAAGTAATGAACTATTCTCTATTCTTCTATTCTCGGAAAACCCGGTTCAGAAAGATTTCGTATTTCGTAAGATTTTCGTATTTTCCAGCAATTGTCAATATTTCAAGTGTCCAATTGTGTATTTTGATATCAAGCTTCTTTGCAAGCCTTTTTTAAATTTACTGCTAAACGTTACTGTTAGAAACTGCAAATTTTGAAGTGCAGTGAAAAAGTGGGGGGGGGGGCGGGTGAAATCTAAAAATTGGGGGTGAAAAGTGGGGGTGGTATCATAAATAAAAGGAGGGGTTAAAAAGACGGGGTGGAATAGCAGGGGTGGGGGTGGTTTCTAATAGACCGCCCAGGTCCCATTTGGTGAAATGGGGTCTTGTTTTATAAAAACCAATTTTACATTTTAGTCACTTTCGTTACTCAGTCCCTACTCAGTCCCATTTGGCATTATCCAAATTTTTAATTCTTCCAATACGACACTCCCATTAAACATGATTTCGTGCAAATCATACTTTTTCAAACGTTTTTTTTTTTACTTTTCTGATGAAAGTCTCTAGAACGTGAACGTTTTTAAAGTGGAAGTTAAACCGACTCGATTAAATAAACCTCCCAAACTCGATGTGCTCATAAAACTGCTTATACGGAATTAATTATGCGTCTATTACCATCGCAAAAAAGTGAGAGCCTTGAATAATTGTGTACCATCGCTCTCTTTCAAAGGAATAATTTAGATTTCGACATTTTTATGACATTTGCGTCACGGTGCTTTCACTTAATTTTGGGCGCTCCAAGTTATTTCAATTTCTCTGACACCACAAATTAATAAAGCAAAATCGAAAACAGGAAGAAATGTTCGCAAGAAAATTCAAAAATTATCACATGTCCGCGATTTTGGCGGCAATTCAAACGCCTTTCTCATTTCTTGAAAATCTTAGTTTGACTGGAATCTTACACCGAAACACTTGGAAACTCCTTAGAAATCCGTGAACAATAACCAAATATATTTCTAATCAATAAAAATTATCCTAGATTTTAATTATAAATCAATAATTACCATCCAATCGGCCGGTTACATTTCTCGCGTATATGCATGGCGAATACGGAGAATTCGATGATAATTCGACAAATAATAAAAGAATAAACAGCGGCACCTTCATTCGGTTTTCTCGAAAGCCACTTGTGGCCGGCCGAGAGGTTTCTTGAACTCGCGCCGTGTTACCTTGGCGACCGCGCGATTGTCTGTTGTGCAATGCACATTTATGCTGTGTTCTATCGATGCATGTAGGCGTATATACATTTTTTGTTTGGCACACTTTGTTGCGCACAACGTTGACATTTTTTATCTCGAACAACATCCCATGATACATTAAATCGAAAATTATTCTATAAACTAAGGCGTTTCGGGAGACTATGAATATCGCAAATGAAATTTTGACGAATTTTTTCTCATCTAATATCGAACATCTGGAACCTTCGCATCTCCAACGTTGAACGTCTGCCACAAAAGTGGTCCGCCCCAGATTCCACTCGAAGTTGGTTGAGCGACCATGCCCTTAAAAAACAGTATGAAACGAATTGATGCTAATGCGAAGAAATACCTGGAGACCGGTCTCGGAATGACGTTGGTATTGCCAGAAGACTCCAAGGATTGCAGTAAATATCGCGGCAGAAGTACCCAGAGCAATGTTGCTTTCTGAAAGAGAAGAAACACATGCAAATAAAACAATTTAAACGAAAATAAATTAAATTATTGGCCATTGACCAGGTATCTCGATGCAAAAAGAAGTGCACTTGTCTGCGTACTCGGAATTTCAGCGTACGCGCAGTTACTATTTGACCATAAGTTTACAATTTCGTATATCTCGTACATTAATTCTGTGAATATGAATTTCCCGCCATCTATCAGTTATTTAACTCCGACAATGTGCGCTTGTTATTGTCGGCATCGAAAAGAAGCAATCCCACAAAATCATTGAAGAGTTACGGGCGGACAAATTCACATGCACACTTCCCTTTGCGCCGAGCACGATCGCTTGAATCCGTCAGTATGATTTATTAATTGGTTTATACATACTTGCAAAATTCGGAAACGACCCGACCCGCAACGAAACTCAAAATTTACAGAGTAGACCACTTTTAGCGAATAAAAGGTATCCAATTAAAATTATTGTTTTTATTTCTAATCGCATCAATTTCTAGCTGTATTTCGTTAAAAAAAAACATAATTTTAATCACTATGTCGATCTTGCCGAAGTTGGAAATAAAAAAAACTAGGATCGGTAAAATTTTCAGACTATCCCATTTCAATTAAAACTTAAGTGGGGTAAATATGTATTAAATGAGCGCACGCAAAAAGGCAGAGTACGCAGAAAAAGAAAATCTTACTCATGGTTGCAATGGTAGCTCCAACTGCAGCACTTGCAAAATAGTGATTGTAAACGTCATCCTAAAAATAGAAAAGTCCATGTGAAAAGGAAAAGGAAATTCACCTTGTTGCGAATGGTAGAAGCCGCTGAAAGAGAGAATCCCCAAGCAAAAGCAACCGCGATCGGGAACGGCGCGATCTTGCAGTATCTCTGAGAAAAATTACAAAATTAAAATAGCCATGAAAATAATGAAGATACCTTAAAAACATTTCTGGGTGAGAAATCTGGAACCTTGACAGTGTTTATCGCGCGAATCTCCAAAATTGTGTAAGGAGCAGCTAAATTTTTTATTATATAAATATATGAATATATATGCTATTTGACTACGAAAAATTGGCTAAATGCTAAAAAAAAAATGTCATTACTCGCGACGGTACAATAGGTATTTTTCCAAATAATTATTACCAAGAATAGCGGCATACTTAGCGCAAGCAAGACCCTTCCAGAAGGCTCCCTGATTGAGTGGAGAATCAAAGAATCTTGGCCCAAAATCATACCAGGAGTTTGGAATAATTGCATTTCGACCGAGTTGCGACTTTGGAACTTAAAAAAGAAATTAAAGAAAATATATAAAACAAAAATAATACTATTCATCAAGTCGTTGAGAGTTGGATTAACGTCGAATCCTGGATGTTCCTTGCTGAGGTTGAATTTTTCAGCGATTGATTTGAATTGATGAGATCCCTCATAGACCTGAAAATAATCGAAAAATGCTAAGCATTGAAAATAGGGAATACTTTTTTCTGGAAATCATCCAAGTTTCCTGGCTGATCACCTTTCTTGGTGATGTTCTTAGTTTTCTTCGAATCGAGCCCTAGTGGTCCTGCCAGTGATGTTCCGTCAGGAACCTTAGGGTCGAACCAATCGGGATCTTCTTCACGGTAGCGAGTTCGGTAAAGACGGAGCTTTCCAGATCTTACAATAGAATCTGATTCACCATTCTCCTTCCACCAGTCCGGACGTCCCTTGCTAAACAGAAATACAAACATGTTTCCATAATTTTACTATTCTTACTATTCACGGCTACTCCACAATCCGATCCATGGTGGTCTTTGGGTTTTGTAAGTAGCGATCAATGGCTCTTCTCCATGGCCCATTATCTCTGTTTAGTTTACCTTAAAAAGAAAATGCTTTCACCGTTATCGACACATAATCTTCACATATCAAGGAATAATAAAATAAATATATTGAATGATTTAAGCTTGTACCGAGAGAAATTATGAATAACTCCTATAAGTATTTCTTAGATGACGTTTACAGCACACAACACATAAATTAAACGACAAATCAAGAAATTGATCGAAATCGAAATCGAAGGAATCGAAGAAATGTTTTTTTTTACAAATATTATGTAAGAATTAGTGGACCAATTCATGAAATAAATGAATGTTTAAAAATACGCAATTTTCTAATGTGAGGTTATATAAAAAGGACACGACAAATGTATTTTCTCTAAACATTTTTTATAAAAACTAAATTTCATGAATAGCTCCATAAATTGAAATTATTCTACGAAAAAACGGGTTACCACAGAAAAGAAAATGCGCATGAGCGCCGAAAAGACGCAAGCAACGCAAAACGTGTCAACAACGTTTCTTGACGCATTACAAGATTTATTTTTTATTTTTTTGAATTTGTTTTTTTATAAGAATATTTACATTTAAAAATTTTAAAATGGGATATTTAATTATCGTGACATTTGTATTTTTTAATTTTTCCAATAAGTTCTTATCAAATTTAATAAATAACATTAACGCATTTTTTATTAAATAATGTGTTTAAGTTGACAGATTAATAAACTGTTTTAGAAAGTCATTTTAATTATAATTAAGAAATAATTTATATAATTTCTGTATTGTATTTTACGTATTCTGAAACAAAACGTAAAAAGTATCAGATTATCTGTTTAAATTTATTGCATCATTATTATAGGATAAACAAACCTCGATGTCAGTTTCATCAAACTCTTCAGTATGTGGAGATGCTGAAGGAGATTTATTATTCGAAGAAGAAGAGGAACTTGATTTCTATGCAATTTTAAATGTTCCAAAAGACGTAAATACTTTTTTCTTTTTAATTTTTAAATATTCTGTTCCAGGCAACTGATGATGAAATTATCAAGGCTTATAGAAAACGATGCCTGATGTTTCATCCGGATCGTTTTACCGATGAATCAGAAAAAAAAGACGCTGAGAGAGTTTTCGTAAAACTTCGCCGAGCTCATGAAGGTACTTCCTAAACAAGATTGTTTGGCGTAATACGAATTCTCTCAGTTTTGCTCGATCCTAAGCAAAGAGCAATATATGACGCTCTTGGTGTACAGGGTCTTGATACTCAAGGTTGGGAGCTTGTTTCTCGCTCAGCAAATCCTGAAAATATTCGTCGTGAATTCGAATTTCTTCAACGTCTGAGAGATCGCGAGTTAATGTTACAAAGAGTGCATCCGACAAGCGCGTTTATTTTGAAAACAACATTTGCAGGACTTTTCCAAGAAAATCCTGATGATAGGTAAACTATTAAAGAAGAAAATTAAATTCTCTGGCGTTTTAGATTTCCACCACAACTGTTGGGAGTGGCGTTGACACAATCAGTCGATTGCTCTCTAACCGGGAAGGATAGAGTTGGATTGACCGGAAGAGTGAAAACTGGAAATGGTAGAGGCGATGGGAATGTATCAGCGGTTTGGAAACGAGTTGCCGGCCAATTTAATGTTGAAGTAAGCAGTCCTAAAGCCAATTTTTTTCAAGTGTTTTATTTCAGAATATAATAACAATTGCACCGGATTCTGTAGCGCTTACTTTCAAAGCTTCTCGGAATATTTTCTCTCGGGCTGCCATCATTATCCAACCGCAATTACAATACAGCCTTCTTCATGAAGCCATCATTCCTTCTTTAGCATTCAGTAAGCATTTTCTTTCTAATACGTTGTTATTTTAATATTAAACTTATATAGGACTGTACTTATATTATTATCATTTACCTCAACATCTATATTAGGGAATATTTAGTTTACTCCATGAGATTGCGTGCTCGACTTCAAGGAAGTATAATTCTAAACGTTTCACCAATTTCAAACTCAATTACAACAACAATCGTACATACAGAAAACAATCATCCAAAAGCAATTGGTAGTCTTACGGTAAGAGTTTGGAAAATAAATATGAAATAAAATTGATTTTAGTTATCACCCATCAATTCAAACATTCGCTTGGTATACTTTAGACGTCGTCCGGAACATGATTCTGTAACCGAAATGGCTGTGCAAATCAATACATATGGTTTGACGATGGCTTAATTCAAGAAATAAAACACACATTTCTAGGAATTTCGCCTTCCATTAATATGGAACGGAAATTATCAAGATACTCAAGAATCGGACTCTCGTTTCATTTCTCTTTTCCGTCCTGTTTGCTCCAATCCAAGATTAAGTTTAAAAGATTGTCTCTGTATCTTATAATATTCTAATTATTCAGACTTAAAACTGGACAATCTTCGTTTGAATGGCAAATTGTTTTGTGTGATGATAAGGAAGCGTTGACAAGAAGTATCATTTATGGGGTGGCAATGCCTTACTTCGCCATTCAGGTTAGTCACTGCGAGCTTAAACAAAAAGTTACAGCTTCGAGCTCAAACAACAAGTTACAGCTAACAAAACTTATGTTTCGACCATGGTGGGAGAGATTTGTCTCAATCTTCGATGATAATTCTGCCGAACAAGATGTCGATTTGGCAAAAAAAGAAGAGGCAGCAAACGTGACTAATCTGATGAGACCGACAGCCGATCGAATTCGTAAAGAAGAAGAGGCGAAACAAGGAATTGTTATCGAGAACGCGCGTTATGGACAATGCGATGTAAGCGGCTCGCGGGTGTATCCATTAGCCGGAGATCGCACCGTAGATGTAACAGTCCCTCTTCAAGCAATGGTCAATGACAGCCAACTTCGTGTTTATACCGTTAAGGTGGAGCATAATAACAAGCCAATATCAAACAAAGTATATTATTCAATTTCAGAGCCAACTTCCAGGCTTTTATGATCCATGCCCAGGAGAGCCAAAGATGCTCACAGTTCAATATTTGTTCCGTGGCGAGGCACATTCAGTGACAGTCAGCGATGAAATGCCGTTGATGATCCCATTGAGAGGTGGGTTTTTATTAAAATAAACGAAACGCGCAAGGTTTTTTTGTTTTTTCTCTCGTTTTTTACTTGTTTTTGCACACACACAAACTTATCATTTTTTCTGAATATCCTCAAACCTCTCTGAATTGGAACTTTGCGTCTGACATGAATATATTATTCTATTAAAAACCAAAGAAAATCAGTGTGACTAACTGTAAGTCTTGTAACCATTTTAAATTTGGCCTATCAGGGAGCGCATTAAAAACAAGTATTGTCGACGTCGCGCGACTTCAAAAAATTCGCTAAATACCAAAAAATTGTGTGTGCGCCTTTAATCTATTCTTCTGTATATGCCCGTAAATCTACAATTTTACTTTTTGCCCCAAGATCAATGTCATTGTGTTTTTGGCATTTAGCCATGTTTCTGCAGTCGCGCGATGTTGGCAATAAAATTCGCCCGTCTTCGACTATAGTTAAAATCTTTATGCTTACAGGTTAACGTTTATAAATTTTGCAATAAAACATCGGCGAACTTGCATTTTAGTCTACGCTTACAATCGTTTTTTAAACAAATCAAATTTTCGAAACAATCTGAATTGTCAAAAAATTTCGGGCTATGCTTCCCCTCCCCCCAATTTCTGGTTTCACGATAAAATGTTCCCCGATTTCTTAAAACAGTATTCACAATTTTGTTGTTTGTACAAAGTTTATCGCGCCTGCAAACAATCGATGCGGTGAAAAAAAGCACTTTAATATGCTGGTGGATGGTGTTTTAAATCGTTGCCATACTATGCTTCAAAAAGCGACCGACTTTACCGTAGTCGATGATGACCTTATTACATTGAATCATAATGTTTTATTATTACAGCTCATCGTTTGACATCGGCGAGTGCTCAACAAAATGTCTAAACCGTGCTCTCTTCGATTCGCCACCTTTCGCTCTTTCATTCGCTCAACCAAATGTCACAGGTTCGTTCGTTTCTGTTTGCGCCGTCATCTTTCAATGGACGTGTTATGTTTGGCGAATAGTTGTGCCATAAGTGTTTTTGACTTATCAATATCAATGATAACACTATTAATTGCTGATGATCTATTTTTTTTAATTTATGTATAAAGCTTGATATATTCACGTTTCAAACGAAAAATTTCTTTTGTTTCGTTCGTTAACATTCGATTTTCTCCATAATTTATCAATTAAAATAACGTGTTTTCATCTCATATATTCAGTAACGAAATTTTACGTTTTAAGTATGAATCTCAGAATTCTTAAATGAACGAATAATAATTAGAACATTCGTTGTGAGAGATGTTTGCGAAATGACTTTCCCAAAAACACGTCATTCGTTCGAAAGCGATCGATTATCACTCGCCCCCTCCAAAAACATTTTCACAAAAAATCGCTTTGACACGAAAGTTTTGATGAAGCCATGCTGATTTTTGTGGAATTTCTCAAATTACAATGAGTGAAAATTTTGAATGTTCGGTTTAATTGACTATATTGGCCTTTAAAAAAGGTTTTTAACGAAAATCTTAGTATGTCAATTGTTTAAGAAAGCTGACTTTCAAACTTTTCATTTTCAAAAACACGATAATAAATCGAGCAATTTTTTATATGTTTTTTTTTCAACATAAAATACAAAAAATCATTTTCTCATTATAAAACGTGTATTTAAGATATCGTAAACGTTTTTGGTTTATTTCTTTCTTGTTAATACGAACATCTGCTGTGCAGCTGAAATGTTTTATTTTCTTCTTTCGAAAACTTTTATGTTTTATTAATTGCGAAATCGAACATTATTTTGGCGCGGTTCAATGATGCGCAAAGTTTTGGTGTAAAATCGCGTGGAAACGAGAATCCATCAATTTTCTCGCAAACAAACCAGATTTGTTAAGAAAATTTGGGGTCTACCAACGAGATCAACAATTGTGTAAACTTTTCTCGTTTCCTCTTTTTTTTTTATTCAAATCATTTCTTTTCTTGATGTCCTATTATAGGTTTCAAAAGTTTTTGATTCCAAATAAAGACATGTTTATCGAAATGTCCGAAAAATTGTATATTGTTATTTTAATCAAAATATGATTACCATTGGTCTCTTCAATCAAAAGTTGATTTGACGTTTTTTTTATCAAACATTTTTGACAATCTATTTTTTTTTAATTCCGCGACTGCGATTAAAAAAGTCACATTGCAGGCCATTCGTTGTCGAATCATTCTCGCCGGTTCATCGAATTGCCGCCGCCCCCGACGCAGCGGTTTCCCACTGGAATCGATTGATTCGCCGCTTTTTGTTCATTTTTAGATGTAAACATACTGTGCCTGTTAATTGAATTTCTGTGCTTGTTTTTATAGTTTCCTAGGTATTTTTAGGTTAGTGCACCCTCCCATCTTCCACCCTCCACCAAAATACCAATCAGCTGGTTATTCTTGCTGTTCCTTTTTCAGAAACACAATATAGTGTGGAATCGATTGATTTCAATTCCATACCAACGAATCGCTCAACCCACCCATTTTTCTTTTTCTCGTCGCTCTCTTGGTTAATTGTTATTTATTTCTTCGTGGTTCTTTTTTTTTTAAATTTCTGCCTATATTTGTATTACGGTTTTTCATTTCTCTTTAGAAACAAGCTCAACTGAAAAAAAAAATGAGATTAGGTTCTGTAGTTCTTTTTGCGGTGTATCGTGTTGAATAGAAGAGTAAATACTTAATTCAATATTATTTTATGCATTCTTTATGTCGTTTCATTTTATTGGGCTTTAAAATGCCTTCTATATTTTCGTTACCTTTTATATTTTATATCGTTTCCTTAAAATATTTTTATTTTCATTTTTCAATTCAACTGGTTTTTTAGATTAGAAAATAATGTCCGACAACGAGATGAAAAAACAGCCGATGCCGGAAGAGGTTGGTTTTTGTTGGGATGTTTCATAGAATGAGAATTTTGATTTTAGTCGAGAAATCCTGCCGAAGGAGCGAGCAGTGCACCACCAATGGAGGAAGCAAATACTCAGAGAAACAGGTGTCAACGAATTTTAGAAACTCAACACGATTAACTTGATATTTTTAGCAATTCTTTCGAAAACGTCGCGAATGCGCAAGTGGAGCGTCAGCCGCCGCCTCCGCCAGGAATTCGTCCATTGGCAGATTTGCAAAACCAGACAACACAGCCAAATAACTCGCAACAGTCGCCGTATGACGCTCCACCGCCGAGTTATCAGACAGCGATGTCGTATCCAGCTGCTCCGACGTATGGGGGTGGCGCTGGTCCAAAATACAATGGCCAGCCACCAATCTACAATCCCCATCCGCTTCCTGCTATCAGTAAGACAATGTAATAGGAATGTCGATTGAATTCCTGATATTTCAGCTCAAGTCAGACTCCCGCAACCACCGCAAACCGGCAACACGATTCGCGTGGAAAACATTACTCCAAATGTCGTTCTTCAGGTTCAGAGTGGTCCAACATGTCCGCAATGTGTAAGTGTTATACCTTATTTGTTTTTTTTTTTTTAAATCGAAGGAACTAAATCATTTTCAGAGAAATGGTATTGTTATAAGACAGACTGACATGTGTTGCCTTCTCAGTCTTATTCTGCTCACAATCTTCACATTCCCATGCGGCCTCATCTTCCTTTGCTGCGTCCCGTGCACCATCCAGAACAGATGCACCAACTGCAATCGCCTTGCCGTTTAACCGTCGACGATTACACTGAATTTTCACTTTCTGTTCACAATTTTTCTGTTAAATTTTCTTCTGACCAAGATTTTCCACAGTTTTGTCGCTTCTTGTTTGTCGATATATTGGTCATTGTACTGGTTTTTTGATGTTAAGTGTAAAACTCTTTTTCTAAACATTTGTATTTTTTTGTATTTAGAACACTAATTGAAATCGATATAACAACTAGCAAATTTTTTTCATTTTTAATTTCAAGTATGACCTTCTTTTTTCATTTTCTTGGTATTGTAGAAAACAATTGATTGTTGAATTCAAAAACTATATCGAAACCAAAATAAAACGACCAGTTTTTAAATTTTATCCAGGTTTTGTTGATCTTGAAAATGTTTTTGAAACAATTTCCGTCTATTCTTCCGGTGGAATTGTATCGGTTATCTCAAAAAACTTGGTTTAAGGTAAACAATTTAAATAATCCCATTGTTTTTCACAATTTAAAAAATAACAATTACAGGCAGTTACACTATTCTAATTTTATTTGAAATTAAGTATGAATATCAAACTAGCAATAGAGTATGCAATAAAATGGAGGAAACTGAATTCGCTTTATGTGATGACCGTTGGTGCTTTGCGGTTTGTGAACTGCTCCATTTTGCAAACATCCAGAGCGATGAGCACAAGTGGTTTGAGCAATTCCTATTGTGAGCAAGGTTGTTTGGAATTTAAAATTTTATTGAAAATACCTGAGCTGGCTGAAGAAGCCGCTGTGAGTCGCTGGCCGGGATGTACGAATCAACGTACAATCGAATTGTGGCGCCAGCGGAGCCGGTTCCGGAGAGACGGAAAACAAGACGCGAACCGTCTTCGAAAAGAATTCGAAGTCCTTGTTTCGTGGCAACTGATCCATCAACCGGATCAGTGTATTGGAAGTTATCGGCAACGGCCACCTGCAAATCAAGAACTATCCACATGCTATGTTATAGCCCATTCACCTTGTAAGTGAATCCATTGGCTGAAAGCTCTTTTCCGACGAATGCGGCCATTTGAGCCTCAAGGAATGTCATGAGCAAATTGGCGCCGGCAGAATCAACATTTTCATAGTCATATCTCGTGAACACATTTCTTCCGTATTTTTGCCAATGGGCTTTGACGATATCTTCCACAGATTGCTTACGTTCTGCGAGAATTTGGAGCCACGCAAGAAGCGCCCAAACACCGTCCTTCTCTCTGATGTGGTCACTGCCTGTTCCGAACGATTCTTCTCCACAGAGAGCGATTCTTCCGGCATCCATAAGATTTCCAAAATATTTCCATCCGGTAGGCGTCTCATACACCTGAAGTCCTTTAGCTTTTGCGACAAGATCAACAGCTCCAGCGGTTGGCATCGAACGGGCAAATCCGGCAACTTTTTTGCTCTTGAAATATGGAATCGCGTCGATGTTATCAGCGATAACAGCAAGAGAATCGCTCGGAGTGACGAAGAACGAAGATTTACCCAGAATCATGTTGCGATCCTGAGCAATTTGAATTGATTTCAAAATTTCTTCAATTTAACATACACCATCGCCATCAAAAGCAGCACCAAGATCATGATCTCCACTTTTCATCTGCTCAACAAGCGCTTTAGCATAGGTGAGATTAGGATCTGGATGACCTCCACCGAAGTCGGGTTTCGGAACAGTTCTGAATTATTAATTGTTATGAAGTAACATTTAGTGGCATAAACCTCAAAAGATCTTTTGAATCAGATCCCAAGAAATCGCACAAAATTGTCGAAACATAGGGCCCGGTAGCGCCATACATCGAATCCAGCAAAACTCGGAATTTCTTTCCGGTAGTTTCACCAGACAAAAAGCTTTTGATCTAATAAATAATGATTTCTGTTAAAAAATGTATCCAAATATGCGATACCTTGGCGAAGTCAAAAATCGACTGCATGAGCTCAACATAGGCTTTCACTGAATCAATGACATCGACAATGAAGTGACCAACGCCATCAATGTCGTATTCATATCTGAAACAATCCGAACACATTTTAAAAGTTATCGATGTAGTAAATAATACCTCCCAATCTTAGTGAAGTCACATTCCAAATCCTTTGCAATAGAAAATTTGCTTATCTTTGTAGTAATGTCATAGATTGCATTGGTAACCTAAATACAGAGAATTGTTGAACTATATGTAATTTTCAATAATCAGCCTCCATGCGGTTCAACTATTAGGATAAAACATCATTCTATTAAAATGACTACTTTTGCTGTGAGAGTGAAGTTTTTTGTTAAAAAGTTCGATTATTGGATTATACCAAAAATATATTTTTGAACGAATACTTACGTGATCTGGAGCGGGTCCTCCATTTTCACAGTTGAATTTGATACCAAAGTCTCCTTTTGGACCTCCAGGGTTGTGACTCGCAGTGAGAATGATTCCACCATCAATTGCTTTGCCCTCATGTCCCTTACGAATAAGATTCGAGACAGCCGGAGTGGAGAGGAATCCATTTTGGCCAACAATGAGCCGCGAAATCTAAACAAATCAATTATTTACTAATGATTAATTGTTCATTTACTCCATTGGCAGCGGAAATTTTGATGATAATGTTCACGGCTTCTAGCGACAAGAACCTTCCATCTCCTCCGACGACCAATTGAGCACCTTTCTTACGCGATCCCAATCCTCCATCGAGAATTGCCTTCAAGTACAATTCATAGAAATTAATGCATTTTATAAACACTCAACCTGGATGAAGTTTTCAGTGTAGTTCTCTTGCTGAAATTCCGGAACACGCTTCCGGAGTCCACTGGTTCCAGGTTTTTGTCCTGCGAAAGGCTTTGTTGCGACTTCAACAACCGCGATTCCCATACCTTGAAAATGCGAAACTTAACAAAGAAAAAACGAACGATGAATTGTTATCTAATCATTATCTGTTTGTGGAGTGTTGAGAAACGAAAGATACAAGTAAACAAGACAAGAAACATCTAGCAGTGAAAGATACATTGGTGAAAATTTGGAAATAGCCGCAAACCGATTGATTAAAATAATGATTTGAAACTTTGAAATAATCTCTTATTTGAAAGATAAAAAATTATTTTTATGGACACCAAGGAGTACGCAGTGTTACACAAAAAATTTTTAAAATTTTAAATTTATCAGAAAATTCATCGAGATAATCAGTGGCGCTTTTTTTTGAAAAAAAAAAAAACCAAAAAATATTTGTTCAAAAAACGATGTAATAAACATGAGTTTTTTTTTTTAGTATTTTGATGTACTAACGTTTAAAATAAAAATGCAGTAATATCTTAATGTAATATTTAGTTTCAAAAAAGCGAAGAAATGTGTGGATTTAAGAAGATCAAATAAACTGTCGGAATGAATCAAAATGAAGAATAGAAGTTTAAAAAAGAAAATTCGATGGAACGAAAAGCACAGACACGTGCGGAAAGAACAAGAACAGCATAAGAGAGAAAAAGAGTCAACGTGCAATATGAGAGAATATGTTTTGGGTGTGTTGTTCGTATACCGACAAAAAAAACGGGCATTGCCACCAGAAAATATTTCACAGATAAATTTATCAGGACAATGGCCAGAAGAGGCGTGAAGACACTGATGTTAGAAAACCAGCGCAATCGTGTAATGACCGTCAACATTCAAACAATGTATAGTTTGTAGTGAGCAGAAAGCATAATCTAATCTTTTTCTTCGAATGATCGTCATCGTAAAAATCAGTTGAAAGAAAAACACCGAAACATAGGAAAGCAATCAATAATTGGTCAGCGAAATGAATTTTTTCGAACTGGAAAATATAGGTGCGAAAATCAGTGATGGCTTCTCCAAGCATGGCTTTTTTTGGGACTTGCGGCGCGCTATCGTCATCAGTTGCTCATTGCACTGCGATTTTTTTGAAAATATTAATTTAAAACTCTGTTTTAAAAAACTTTCAACATTTTTGAAATGAAAAATCAATGCAAAAAATAAATTCAAATTGAAGTTTTTTTTTCGATTTTCTGTGAAATTTTGTCACGGTGTTTCCCGCATTTTTTGGGCGTTATCATTTACAGGGTGTCATTTAAGTTCCCGCACAACTTTGTAGACGTACATTTCTGAAACTAAAAGTCCAAATCAAACGAGACTCGAAATATTTTTTATCTATAGTATAACAAATATTTATCAATTAACTCTTTTTGATTCGGCCTCTTTTCGCAGCTATGACTTCACGGAGACGCTTCGGGTAGGATGTGACTGTGGTACGCAGGTATTCGATGGAAAGATTGTCCCATTCCGCCAGTAATGTCTTCTTCAGAGCCTCTACACTTGAGTTGGGTTTTGCGTTGACCTTCTCCTGCAAGACCCCATCACGGAAAAGTCAAGCGGGTTCAGGTCTGGGGAGCAATCAGGCCATTCGGATGACTTGATAAAGTCGGGAAAATGGGTCTGGCACCACTCCTGAGTAGTTTTGGCAGTGTATGCGGGTGCTCCGTCCTGTTGAAAGACCCATTTCTGCCTACCGAAATGCGTTTGGGTCCAGGGCATCAAATGCTTCTCCAAAATGTTCCGAACGTAGACTTCTTTGTTCATTTTCACCATCTGATCCACGAAAACCAGGTAGCACTTCCCGGTTGAGCAGATGGCACCGAAAGCCATCACACTGGCAGGATGTGAGGCTGGATGATATGTTCTTCCTTTCTCAGAAGCTTGCTGGGATGTTTGGCCAAGTACTCAATGGTTTTGTGAGTTGAATGCCGCCTCCACACTGAACAGCTTCTCGTCGGAGAAGACAGTGACGAGGTGTTCTCCAGACCGCGTGCGAGCAAGAAGTCGTTTTGCTTTTTCGAAGCGTCTCTGCTTGTTGACGGCCGATAGAATTGCCGCTTTTTGGACACGATATGGGGTCAGTACAAGCTTTGTTTTGACGATTTGTTCCATAGCAAAGATGCTCATTCCCATGTCTGACGCCATCTTTCATCCTCGATTTAACGGCGTTGATCTTCTGAGGAGTGGTTACTGAGACGAGTCTTCCTTGTCTGGGACGGACACTGGTCGTATTTAGCTACTTGAATCGTTTGATGGTGTCGCAAACCGTTCTACGAAGCACACCGACCCGTTGAATGATGTCTCTCGGGCTCACATTTTGCTTATGAAGTTCGATAATGGAAGCGCGATGGATGTTAGCCTTCGCCATTTCTCGGAAACACATCCGAATGAGGTGAAACTTGGGAAATAAGTAAAATACACCTTATTTAACAAAAATAAATTGTATTGGTGCACAAAAAGTGCGACAGTCAATCTCTTCATGGCGTCAAACTTTTGTGCGGGAACTTAAATGACACCCTGTATTGTCAACGTCGCACTTTAAAAAAGGTCTCGGTGCGTGGTGTGCTCTTTTAACCTATACTTATACATAGGCCGTAAATCAACACTAACTTGAAAGTTTTGTGCCAAGACTTCTTTTTTGGCAATTTTCGAAGGCGGTATTTTTAACCATACAATTAAACATTATTTCGATTTTGAAGGTTAAAATGTGTCAGATTCGGTACACATTTACCGTTTTTCCCTTTTTGACCATATTTGGTCTGACAAATTTCTAATGAAAGGAGGGGGAAGGAGGCGAATTATAATGAGTGACACAAAATTGGGAGGTGGTAAAAGCCAAAAAAAAATAGAAATAAAGGTTCAAAAGTGGAGTAAATGACGTGAGGGTCCCGTCAAATACAATTTGAACCTCGCAAGTGGCCTCTGTTCGCCATTCTTGCAACGAGGCGGGGCGGGTCAGGGTGAGAATTTTACTGGTTCCCGGAACGATCCACCATTTTGCCGAAATCTGGTTCAATCATTGTTTGGGAACTTCAATTTGTGTTCCAAGTACAATTAAATCTACTCAAAATAATACAATTCGAAATTCTTATTACGCTAAACAAAGGCCTCGCTGTAAACGTGGAGTGTCGTGTGCGGGTCGCGAATTTTTTTTACTGACCCATCCCGACCCGGAAATTTGCGACGAATCTTCGAAAAGTTGGAGGAAAGTGTGTTTCAAAATAATATAGCATATTTATGACAAACAATTTTCATTTAGTATTAGTATGATAAATAGATTAATTACGCAGATAGAAATGTTATTCCCAGGATTGATGAAGTTGTTTGAAATATATTTGGGTTTCATCGTGCGCTGATATGCTAGGAATAACCTTAGTGCGCTCATTTGTTTGAAAACAGTGAATGAAATCCTGTAATCAAATTCAAAAAATATCAACAATCATAAGAAATTGTCAATTACTGTAAATGGTAGAGATTTGTAGTACTTTAGAAGAAACATAAAAAGAAGTGGGAATGATACAGCACCTCTGAAATTTTCAAATAAATCGTGGCATTGTTGTTCTTTGAATTACAATGCAAGTAAAAAGTCAAAAAGCGATATCAAGAACATCCCAATTGGAGTGTTGAGTCCAAAAATGTAACAAGAAAATAATAAAATGGCGGCAATAATCGTTGTACAAACACACAAAATTATGAATGCTACTTTGAGAATCTAGAAATATTTGATACTCCACTTATTAAAATATACAATTGTTTACTTTCAACATTTTGATGTTTTCTTCCACTTGATACTTTTTGCCCAATGTGTAGGAGACTTTTACCAGTTGAATACTGTTGTTGAATTTACAGTTTAATCTTTTCAGTTCCTTTTTGTTCACCTCATTCAGTTTCAATAGAAGCTGAAAATGGCTATACATATAGTATTTGTAGGATTATTTTTCAATAATGTTACACTCAAAGCAGCAACCGTAATGATTCCGATAAATAGAACATAATAAATGAATGGTAAAATACCTGAAAATGATTGATTGTGCGGATATTATGAGGAAAACATACGAAAAACCATGAATATTCCAAACAGAAGAGAAAACACAATTGCGATAAAAGAACAGATTACAGCTACCCAAACGCGACTTTTTGCTTCATAATCATGCACAAAAATGGTTGCAAATGTTCTGAATAATATCTATTTGAAACACATCAAATGCGCCATAAAAAGTATTCTAGAATAATTAATAATTTTGGAACGTTTTGGAACGTGTATATCAATTTGAATAAGGGAATAATTATATTTTGCACCCCTTTTTTTGCTTGGAAACGCAAATGGGTCTGATTAAGAATATTATCTATAATGTGAGCACAACTGCATTCTCAGGTCCTATGTGGAAAACGGCTCAATTTTTGAGAAATAGGCATTATTTGCTATCTGGCCTACATTTGGCAATTCCGACTTGGTATTAGCAAAAACAACACCTCAGATATTCTGAAAACTTGGGCTCGCCAACCGGTATCTACATAAATTACCCCCTTCTACTCCCCTTTTTCATTTGTACAGCTTGGCGGATTGTTAGTTGCCAACCTTTCAAAAGAAACAATAGGCATGAGCATGACAGTAAGACCGTAATATGCTGTTCGTATAATACTTATAATTAATGTCGCTAAAGTTTCAATATCTGTAAAAATCGATTATTAACCATATATGTACATATATGGCATAGTATGCAATATTACCGGTAATAAGTTTGAGCTGGATTAATAATAAATACAATCGGCATATTGAAGAAATCGTGTGGAATACTACGAAAAAGTATAATAATCGTATTAAGTTGACGTGCAAGATTGCTGTTCCGTGCACAAAATTAGCAAAACCAAACATTGCGAGAATGCCGAGAATATTGAAGAAAAATTCCGAATAGAAAATGCAATATAAGGCGATGGTTGGCGTTTGTTCAATATCGACGAGAATTGGGATGTAAAATGCATTATTCATCCATTTGCTCTCGAGGAGCGGTAAAAAGGTTTCGCCAAGAATTGTAGTTATGTTCTCAATT